TTTAAGGCAGGTCGACTGCCCCTCACCTGGGGAACTTATTTTCACTCTCCCTATTAAGCTAGTCAAAAACATCGCCGTTTTAAAAAGCGGCATGTGTAATATTTTTTGAAGGGATCACTAGCAGTTTCAGCTCCTTCATTTTAATCTTGGTTTACTTGGAGGTTCTCCTGCCACCAAGCGCTGTTTTCTGAGTGACATGAAAATAGGATCCATGCTCACACTTGTGCTATATCAATCTCAATTGAGTTTATAATCATTCCTAAGGATCAGTTTCTGAAGGGCTCATTTTGGACCAGCCTGCTTTAAGCAAGCTATGTCTATTGCCTGAGATTCACTCGGGTTTAGCTTTGGAATCTCTTTATTGTGCCAGGGTTTAGTTGTCTTAAAGCAAGGGCACCTCTGAGCACGTTTAGAGTGCCTTTTCCCCTCAACTACCACTCCTTACAGCCACAAGCCTTGACACTACTCGGTGGGGAATGTTTTTCAGGCATGGTGGAACCTTCATGCCTTTCTCTGCGATGTGCAGGTAGGCAGAGTGTTCCAAAACGCGATGACTGGACCTCCGAATGCACACACAAGATAGAAAAAAAGGGAAATAGACACGATGCCCCTCTTTTTGCTAATATGCTCACACATTCCTGCCACCCACCGTGCCTTTTAGAGGAACAAATGAAGGAGAATTCTGCAAAAACTATTAATTACGAAGAATGTTGTTCTCCTTCTGGCATCCCAAAATAGTCACTTTCAATGGCCTTGTAAAGACAACAGAGATTGCTGTATTAATTATATTGTTGGGATTTGTATTAGGAACCAAATGCGGACTTCCGAGTCCAGTAACGGTCAATGCCTGCAAGCATTTAAGTCCTGCACAATCCATATTTCTTACTGCAGTTGCTCCAGCTGTTGCACTTATGAACAAGTATGAACCTATTATAGACTTTTAGAACTTGCAGATCAGCTAAATGAAGGATTGGGAACAGGGTTTCCAGAAAGAAAACTACAGAGGGCTTCAACAGGTATTGCTTGTCACGCAACTAGCAACACCTGAAATGCCTTCTCCAACATAACCAGGAAAGGAAAGAGTGGTTCTCAACCTGGGGTCCCCAGATGTTTCTGGTCTACAACTCCCAGAAATCCCAGCCAGTTTACCAGCTGTTAGGATTTCTGAGAGTTGAAGGCCAAAAACATCAATCAAACTACCCCTGACAGATGGCCATCCAGCCTCTGTTTGAAAGCCTCCAAAGAGGGAGCTTCTATTCCAGTGGTTCTCAACCTGGGGTAGGTTGAGAACCACTGGAATAGAAGCTCCCTCTTTGGAGGCTTTTAAACAGAGGCTGGATGGCCATCTGTCAGAGGTAGTTTAATTGTGCTTTTCCTGCATGGCAGGGGGGTTGGTCTAGATGGCCCACATGGTCTCTTCCAACTTTATGACTCTAAATCATCTCCTGTTTTCACTCTGGCAATCCTGGTTAAGGAGAGTGCCCACCACCATTCAAGACAACAGACCCTGCAATTGTTTCTCCTAGTTTTTATGAGAAGGCTTCTTTGTAGCTTCTCATTACTTCTGGAATAGCAGGACAGCCCTTGGGATGTTTGGTATTTGAAGAGGGTCAGATTCAGCAGGTTCTCCAGATGGTTTGGACTTCCATCTCTTAGAAGCCCTCATCACAGGCCATGCTGGCTAGTGTTTCTTAGGTTCTGAAGGCCAATGCAGCTGGAGGACCAAAGGCCAAGAAACATTGCTGTAATCCAGCCAATTTTGTGGAATTTTGAAACAGTCGTGATTAGGGCCACATAGTGGGGTATATGTGAAGGACTAAAGACTTACCCCCCCCCCCCTTTCTACTCTGTATACCTATTTATTTGGAGTCAATTGGTGCTGCTTCTGTATTGGGTCAATTGGTGCATTTTCTGAATTAGGTCAATTGCTGCTGTTTTTGTATTGGCCTCTCCTGCCCTGATGTTAATAAAGCAAAAGCCAATTCAGTTTTCTTTTTGTAACCTGAGTGCAAGCAGGTGGTCAAGTGCAGAAGGAATTTAACTCCCTTTCAGCGACAAAGAAAAACCCTTCAGAGCCCCAAGTCCTTTCAGTAAAATTATTACTAAGACAGTTACTAAGGAAATCAAAATGGTTTTCATAAGTAAATGCCAATTAAGACCTATTCGCCTTTCTGTCTTAAAGGCATGCAGTTGGTTGGCAGCTCTAATTCAGCATTCATTGCTGCACATAAATAAATAAGAGCTTGGAAAACCTACTTTTTGGTTATATAATGCCCAGAATCCTCCAAGGAACATGGCTGAGTGGTTTGGGAAGTTGTAGTCCCAAACGTCAACTTTCTAAGCTTTGTAAGAAGCATATGATGAACAAGCTGGTGAACTGATTTTACATGCCTATTCTTGCATTTTGTCTGCATCTCACACCTTTGGAAGTGCAAAGATGTATTGTGCACATTACAGTCTGGAGGAGGATTCTGGGAGCGGTAGACCCCGAAAAGTAACTACTTCAAGCTCTGACATCTAAACAATACTTTAAAACATGAATGACTGCTCCGAAGAAAAGGGTGATGCAGACATGAGCCAATGGGTGCTGTAAGCAGTTGAATTCTGCTGCAGACAGGCGGAACTGGGCATTACGTTCTGGGAGTCTTACACACTGCATGGTTATAGCCGCTGGATTCCACTTTAATTGCCACGACAACATCCTATGGAACCCTGGGATTTGCAGTTTAGAGGGTCATGCTTAGAATTCTCAGCCAGAGAACGCTAATGCTTCCCCAAACTAGAAACCCCAGATTTCCACAGGATGCAGCCTTGGCAGTTAAGGTGGAAGTAAAATGCTATGACACTGTCATGTGAAAGGGCCCCCGGAAAAGAACAGTTTCCTGCATATTCTCTTCATGATATCCTTGGGATATTTGTCCTACACTGATGGCTTTGTCCTACACTGATGGCTTGTAATGTTTTTTCCACTCTGCTTTGATTGTATATTATTGTGATATGCCTCTTTTTTCTATTGTAAACCAGTTTGAACATGTGGTGGATATACAGGACTTGTTTGACACAAATAAATATGCTGGGAGCTATAGCTTGGCTGTAATCTAATGTAGACACAGCAACTTGCAGCCTGTGATTGCTTTCGTGGTTCGTAGACACACGCTTTCAAGACCTTTGTATCATTCCTTACACAGAAATGACCTTCATTAAGGAAATTTGAAAATTTGATTTGATCTGATGGAGGGAAGGGGGAAACAGCTATCCTATCTCCACTGGAAAAAATGCTCCATCTAAACCCCAACAGGTCTGATAGGAAAAAGAGTTTGCATGGAGACATCTCCCATTGTATACAGACATGGCCTCCCTAACAGTTTGACAAACAGCTGTTTGGCTGGCTCTCCAGAGCTAGATTTTACTGGGGAAGCAAGATCTATTTCCCATCCCTGTCCCACATAATGGCTAGGATTCGGGGAATGCCACAGCCTCCTTCTCCCATCTCAGAAGGCATCCACCCTGATCTAAGGCACCAGTGACGTCTTGCCTTCCAGCTGTTTTGGGCCATAAGTTTGCCAAAGTGGAGATTCGAAAGCAATCACATGGCCTTGAAGGGTTGCACCAAGCTTCTTTTGTGCTGAAAAAAATGTGAAGTGTTGACATGACCAGTGACAGGTGGAGCTGCCTTTGCAAAACTCCCTCTGTGCACACTGCAAGTGGAATAAGTAACTTCTGGAGTTTTGCTTGTGATTTGATGGGACTTTTTCTCACCCTTTTGTAAAAGGAATTTCCTATACTGGGTACTTTGTACATATTTATATTGCCTTTATTAAAAAAAAAGCAGCAACAAAAATTCAAGGTGTCGTCTCTTTCTTTGTCGCCCTTTTGTTCAAAATGCCCAGTTTTCATGGAGTGCTAATCTCCATTGGCGTTTTTCCTGCAAGGCTAGCAAAATAAGAGTCTTGTGTTTCAAGGAAAGCACCTGGGCTGCCAAACCCGCCTGCCTCAGCTGATCCTTGAAGTCAATGAAACCCACCACGATGGTTGCTCCTCTATCTGAGGAACACAATTTTGGAGTGAAGTTCTCATTAGCTGATCAGAAACAGTATGAAGTCCTCCTCCACTTTATTCAGGATATATACCTTATTCAGGATATATACAGCAGGCCCAATATCATTGGTAGCCCAGAGCTTCCCCTCTCCTACTCTAGTCATTGAACTTGAATAAACTTGTAGTGTTTTGGTAAGCTGTCCTGAGTCGCTTTGGGGAGATGGTGGGTATAAATAAAAAAATAAAAAAAATCTGGTCATGCACTACAATCTGCATGAGAAATCTGAATCCATTTCAGCACTCATCTCATTGAAAGCCATGCAGGAGCCCCTGGTGGTGCAGTGGGTTAAACTCTTGTTCCGGCAGGACTGAAGACCGACAGGTCGCAGGTTTGAAACCAGGGAGTGTGTGGATGAGTTCCCTCTATCAGCTCCAGCTCCCCATGCGGGGACATGAGAGAAGCCCCCCACAAGGATGGTAAAACATCCGGGTGTCCCTTGGGTGACGTCCTTGCAGACAGCCAATTTTCTCACACCAGAAGTGACTTGCAGTTTCTCAAGTCGCTCCTGACATGAAAAAAAAATGGAAAGCCATGCAGCACACAGAAGACTGCACAATTGCTTTGTGGCCCATCATTTTTCTGCCTGTACATCACAGTCCAGAGAGTGATACACTCATGCAGGCCTGGTCATAAAATTAAACCAATATGTATACATGCCCCCCCCACCTTATTCAGGATATATATTTCAGGTCTATCCCATCATCACCATCAATATCCCCACGTTTTGTACTCTGCGCAGCTTCTCAGCCCATTGCAGTAAAGATAGCCGTTCGCAAATTTCTCCCAAGTTAATAAACTAGGACCTAACAGAGAACTGGGCCTGAATATATGGCAGAGTCTTAAACACAGATACAAAATTCAAAGATCCAAAGTTATGTTTATGTTGCAATATTCACACACAGAGAGTTTATATCATTTTATTTGTTACACATATATCCCAGCTTCAACCAGCTCAAAGTGGCACAGGTGGCCTGTATGGCGCTGCTCCTCACAGCAGAAGTAAGACTGACTGCAACCAGGAACAGTCTCAGTGTCAAGTAGTAACTTCCACAGCTCAGTGGAAGAACCCAGGTCCCCCACCAGTCCAAATAATCTCAGCACTACACCACACTTGTCTCCCTATTCAAATCGGTATGAGATAGAGGACGGACAACTCTGGGGACTCCTTGTTATATCAATTCTGATTAAAACACATGTTTTAAAATGGATTAATGCAGAACAAGCCTTAGGGAGATGCATGCCACTGAAAGTTAGGCATACAATACTGTCTCATGAGGTTGTTATCATTATTGTTTGCTTATATAGCGCCATTGATATTCTAGGAAAACAACCAAAACCATTGGGTCCTGTCAAAGATGTTCAATGTAAAATATATGTATGTATGTATATATGTACATATACATAGAACACTTGGTCCCAAACATTTCAGATAAAGAAAGTTCAACCTGTACAAGATTATAAAACAACATAACAAATTCCAAAAGCTTTTGAAAGCAAGAAAATGTATGATATGATGGCATGATATTAATACATGGACAACACAAACACCGTTAGGACTGGGACCAACTTTCAGTTTGAGAGCAAATTCATTGAAAGACTCACTTGGGCAGACACAACTTGGAACATGGGTTTCTCTGAGAACATACAAAATGCTCTGGTTGGGTCAAGATAAAGCTTCATTTAATCCAGCATCCTATTTCCAAAAGTGGTTAAATACATGCTTGCCACAGTGACCTCCACCAAAGCTACTGTTGTTCTCCACAGCTCATACATTCCATAGCAGGGTCACATTTTTGGATTGCAACTCCTAGAACCCCATACCAACATGGTCATTAGTCATGCTAGCTGAGGGATTCTGAGTTGTAATCTGTAAAGGCAACTCTCTGGACATGGCAGTTCCCTTTAGCCATCATGACCACTAGACACCAACTGTGAGACCCCTTCTTAAGCCATCTGTGCTAGTGGTCATTGATGCATCTTGCGACGGCCAGTTTAATCAATTCATGATGCCGTGTATGAAGAAAGTGAGGGAGAAATAAGCCACACCTTCCAGTACTTATGCAGGCAAAACTTCCTTTCTTCCCACCTCCTCAGCCCCAAAACAGGATGTCTCCTACTCTATGCTATTTCCTGCGACAACCTAGAACTCAATACACCTGGAAATGTGCAGAGGTGGTACCATCTTTCCAACATCGCAGGGTTTCCACAGATGCAGAGCGGCAGAGAGGGCAGGTCTTCTCTCGGTCAAACCAAAGGCAGAGGCATTCTTCACAAAAAACATGCTGCACAGACAAAAGAGAACCCTGAATGAAGTGGTATGCCTAGAAAAACAGATTCATAAAAAGACTAAGGTCCTGCATGGCGCCTAGGTGCCCCAAATCTTAGACACATTTGTTTTACATCCTCCCAGCTCACCCAGATCACTGTGTCAAGCAGATTTAAGCTGCTGATGTAAATTTCCAACCATGCTCAATGCCTGAGGTAATATTTGTCTTGGAAATTGTACGCCAAAGGAGAGCTTGGCTCATATCTATCTACTGTTCAAAGCCCAAGACAGACATCACTGTGCCAAGTACTAATGCCAGACCTAAATGACCAATATATTGACTTCTGTGTCACACACCAAATTCTGTGCTCAGGTGTTCTGTCCTCTGACTGAGGAAACACACATTATATGCAGGTTTAAAGAAGAACGGTCAAATATGATGACACTTTGGCAAGGCCAAGACCCGCAAGGACAGGCAGATATATTATTATTACTATATAATTATTTCTAGTCACTCTTCTCTGCACAGGTGTCCTAGCTGAGTCTCTTAGCAATAATAATAATAATAATGGCTAAAAGACTTAGCTAAAAGATTCAGCTAGGGCACCTGGGCAGAGAAGAGTGACTAGAAATGATGTGCAACATCTATAATATAGAATCATATAGTTGGAAGAGACTTCATGGGCCATCAAGTTCAACCCCCTGCCAAGAAGCAGGAAAATCACATTCAAAGCACCCCCGACAAATGGCCATCCAACCTCTGTTTAAAAACCTCCAAAGAAGGGGCCTCCACCACACTCTGGGGCAGAGGGTTCCACTGCTGAACAGCTCTCACAGTTAGGAAGTTCTTCCTCATGTTCAGGTGGAATCTCCTTTCCTGTAGATTGAAGCCATTGTTCTGCGTTCGAAACTCCAGGGCAGCAGAAAACAAGCTTGCTCCCTCCTCCCTATAACTTCCCCTCACATATTTATACATGGCCATCATGTCTCCTCTCAGCCTTCTCTTTTGCTGGCTAAACATGCCCAGCTTTTTACACCACTCCTCATAGGGCTTGTTTTCCAGTCCCTTGATCACTTTAGTTGCCCTCCTCTGAACACATTCCAGCTTGTCAATATCTCCTTTCAATTGTGATGCCCAGAATTGGACACAGTATTCCAGGTGTGGTCTGACCAAGGCAGAATAGAGGGGTAGCATGACTTCCTTGAATCTAGACACTATACTCCTATTTACGCCAAATAGCCTAATGTCTTTTTTAGAATGTAGAAGCACCTGGGGGAGGGCTGAGTTAGATGAGCTCAGCCATTTCCCTTCATCCAAATCAAAATTCTCCCCGCTTTACCCATGATGGCCCTAATGTAGTACTGTTCCAGGGCACTGGGGAATGAAAAAGATGACCCCAAATGGCCATTGGTGGATAGCCAGAGGTCATCTAAGTGTTCCTGCCTCTTCAGTAAGCCCACCAGAGGAGCCAAGGTTGTAGAGGGATGCCCACAAGAAATCACCCGGCTCCAGTCTGCTAGGTAGCAAAGACAAATATCAATCCTAGGACTCTACCAAAAAATCTGTACTCCACCAGTTTGCTTTGCACTCCACACCTCTGATGCCCACAACTGACTGAGCAGCTCAGCAAAAAGAGCACCACTGGACAGGTTGCCCTGTGCCACCTCACTCCAAGAGAGGAAAAGAAAGAAAGAACCTGGCATAAGAGGATCAGCGGCTCTCTAAACTCAGCCTGGCAGATGGCACAGATGTCACCCGCCTCGCTGCACTGCTGGTTAGTTGCACGGACCCCATAGCTCTGTCAAAGAGAAAGCACCCAGTTCAGTGTTGTAATACAAACAGTGGCAACAGCCAGTGATTTATGACCAAAGAAATTCACAAAAAGATAAAAGCAACCAATCTTGGGCTTAGCAAAAACACAACCTGGATGGTGGACTCAAGAGGCCTTGGGCTTAACTCCCTTTTTTTCCTTCTTTAGAGCAGGACTGGGAAGCCTGTGGCCCTCCAGAAGTGTTGGACTACAGCTTCCACAATCCTTGAACCTTGTTCATCGTTGGTAAAAGCAATGGAAGCTGTATGCTAAAACCTACAGAGTGCCAAAGGTTCTCTCCACCCCATCTTAAGGACTAAGGGGAAGGATCAGGTGACTAAACAGCAGGCTATGAAAAACAGATTGGGAGGTTCTAGTCCTAAGTCCTGTACAAGATCAAATGAAGATAGATCATATTTGTGGAGGGGGGGGGGGGGGGGGGGGGGGGGGGAGGTACTTCTAAGGAGGTGACAGCCAGTCTGATAGGAGCAAATCCTTTAGCACCCACAAGAGCAAAGAGACAATTATCTTAATTATAGGAATGCAAAGCAGCTGCCTACCTACCTGAGGGGTACAGAAGAACTTCAGTGCCTTCCGGACGCTTCCCACACGGCCACAGATGTCAAAGGACTAGGGGGGAAAGATGTAGACATTTCTTACAGATTGCATGCAAAGTGTCATCACATCTTCAGAATGTGGCAGAAAATTTCTCTATATTGAATATCAGCCTGCTGCATGGCTGTTACAAATAAGTGAATGCCTTTTATGTTTCTTGTTGACATATGGCAGCCTCATGAATTGCATAGGGTTTTCTTAGGCCAGAAATACTTAAGAGGTGATTTTGCCAGTTCCTTCCTCTGCAATAGAGTCAACAGCACCTGGTATCCATTTGGCAGTCTCCCATCCAAGTACTAACCAAGGTTGACTCTGCTTAGCTTCCAAACAAAAACGGCTCCTGAGTGGCTCCCCAAGGTAAGCTGGGACCAATTGGCACCCAATGGTGCTTAGGAAAGTGTTTATTGATGCACCAATTCCAAGGATGGGTCTTTCTTGTCCCTCCAGATCAGTGGCTCCCAACCTGTGGTTCATGGACCACCAGTGGTCTGCAAGAACTAAAATATGGGCCGCCGCCTCACCATTTACTACACTGTTGCAACAAGAGCGACTTATCTCGGAAAACCCTTATAGTGCCAAGGCTTACTAAATATGTTTTTCTGTGGGTGAGCAGACGGTGACTACCGGGTGGCATATGTTCTGTATCAGAAACTAGAGCTCTTGTGGTCTGCCCAATGCAATTTTCTGAATCGGCACCCCAAATAACCAAACCAAATCTAAAGTTGATCAAAAATCGATTCATAACCCTTTTGATACTCATGTTGGAGAGTGGTCCCTGGTCAAAACAAATTGGGAACCACTGCTCCAGATGATGCTTAGACTGAAACTCCAAGCATCCTGCACCATGGCTGGCTATAGATGCTGGAAGTTGAAATCTCAACCACGGACTACAATATTGGATTGTGTGATTTTAAATAATTGGTTTTAAGGTTTTATATGTTTTTAATGATTGTTTTAATGTATGTTTTTTATTATGTGTGTTTTTGGCATCAAATTGTTGCCTATATATGTAAGCCGCCTTGAGTCCCCTATGGAGTTGAGAAATAAATAAATAAATTGACACATATTCCCATCTAGTCCAAGGCTCTTTTCCCTAGCTCCTCAGAAACACAGGCAGAAAATGTCTTCCTCATCACTTGCTACCTAATCCTGTTCATGGGAGATGCTGGGGATTGAATGAAGGTGTCGAAACAGCTGTAAGGAAAGTCATCACAGAACCACAAGCCATCAACTTACTTTGCAAAGACTGTACATGATCAGGAGAATCCCTCCAAGGAAATAACTGCCAGATGGATCATCGCCCATGATGTACTTGTACCATAACTGAATGGGAACCAGGGAACGGAAGAGCTGGCTCAGCTCTTCAATGACTAGGTAGAATTTCCCCTGAAAGACACAAAGGTGAGCATAAGAGAGGGGAAATGTGGTCTCACGGCTGAAGCACAGGACAAGAACTTTGAAGATCCAGAGTCCAGTTCTAACACAATGAAATCATGAAAATAACTGGGGGCCCTTCCACACAGCTGAATAAAATCCCACGTGATTTGCTTTGAACTGGGATATATGGCAGTGAGGACTCAGTTAACTCCGTTCAAAGAAGATATTGTGGGTTATTATCCACACTGCCATATATTGCAGTTTAAAGCAGATAATGTGGGATTTTGTTCAGCTGTATGGAAGGGCCCTCAGACTGAAGGAACCGAAGAAAAAAGCACATTTATTTGATTAAAATTTCCGAATAAGCACATTTTCTTTAAATTCTGTAAAAATCAGTAGGCCACAAAGTTGTCATGTAATATTTTATTTTGAAGTCAAAGCCAGTCCATTTCTATGGAATCTGAATTCACCCAAAATTGCTTCCAGCTGACTCGACAGCCCTGCTCAAGATCATTGGAAGAAATGCAGGATATGAATGTAAGAGGCTGGAAATAACAGAACCATATGATAAAGGGCCAACCCCCTGACATGTAGGAAGACATAAAGTGCATTTTAACACACATTCGCTGGGATCCTTTTAGTGGCAAACACAAGTGTAAAATGTGCTACAACGCAGAATGGTGGGGTCTGGGGGTGGGGAATGATGCACAACAGTTGTAACCAGCTGAGAGCAGCATAATTTGGAGCATGGGATCATTACATGTGAAATGCATTAAAATAATATCTCTGTGTTGTCTTTCCACCTTGTAGTTGCACAACAGAGAGTCAGCCATGTGTACTGACCATTGATCCACATAAACTGGTTCACTATAGGACTTGTAAATCCCCTGAGGGATATTTTTACACTATGCCAAAGTGATGTACTCAAAGGACATGCATCAGAAAAAAGGACAACCATTCTCCCTGAAACGCAACCTGGTTAAGCACACTGGCAGAAGGTGCAGCCTCTTTGTTGAAAACTTCTGTGCATGTGCCTGTATACATAAGTCAGTTCACTTAAACACAATAAGCTGCTGAGGGACCTGCAAGGCAATCTTGCTCAGTGTTTACCTCCTAGAGGAATGCACTCAGGGGGCTGGAAGGACGGCAAGAAAAATACAATCATCGCCACCTTTCATCCCTAGGAGACAGCACTCTTGCTGTATCATCACTCCAATACCACTGACCAAATTTTAGCCTTGTTTTCATGTGCCTTGATGGTTGACCGACTTAAATTTAGCTGCAGATTTCAGGGGCAACCTGTCAAAGGCATCTGCACATTGCCACTACTGAGTAAAACCTCTTGGAAAATGGGGACATCATTAATATTCACTGTATTTTTATCCTGTCTTTCAGCCTATATAGGGACTCAAGAGGACTAATTCTTCTACTGCTTCCCATCAGCACTGGAGATCTGAATCAAGTCATCAGGATGTGGGGTACTGTTCAAGAGGAGATTGCCTACAGACCCAGAAATGGAAGGTTTTGCTTCCCCTGCCTACCGCACACATTCTCTAACACTGCTCCCTTGCCAAAAGCGAGTAAGAGCGGCAGGGACTGAGCCCGCCAGGGTCCCCAAGGAGAATGGCAGGCAAGGCCCACTCCCGCTGGGTCCCCCCAGGATGAGATCATTCCGCAGGCTGTCCTTGCGTGGAACAAATCGAAGCCTACCGAGAGCTCCGGCATCCACATGATCTCATATCCCTGGGGAGACCCAGTGAGGTCATGCTAGCGCTTACTCAAGGACCTGAGCTCCCTCCCTCCCAGTTTAATCATGGGGGGGGGGGCTGTGGAACATTTCTGTAATGGCAACAATTTGAGATCCCAGTTGCAGGCAATTTAATAGATTAGTAGGGAGGTGTTGGACAGAAAAGCAACCCCAGTGCACTGCATGGGGAGTCATTTTGAAAGCATGAAAGCAATAAAAGATCCAGAGCCCTAGCAGAGGTCAGGCCTCCCCCTCCACTTCTTCCTGGTGCAAGCCCTGGCCAAGTCCTCCTGCCCAGCACTCATCCCAGCTACCAAGACTGACCATGCTTTCTTTATTATTTGACTTATATTCCACTTTTCTATTACAACTGGAACTCAAGGCAGCTTGCTCTTCAGAAGACCTTGGACTGCTCAGCCATGGAAACCCACCTTGATCATGTCACACTGTCTCAGCCTCAGATGAAGGCAAAGCACTTCTGAGAAAATTTCACCAAGGAAACCCTTAGGGTTGCTGTAAGTCGGAAATGACGGGAAGGAATACAATGCAAAGCAACATGCCTAACTAGCTCAGGGAGATTTCCAAACAGGTAAAATTATAAGGCAACATTCAAAGCTGAACTGAAATAAGGACAGCTGTGCATAGATTAGACTCAAATCCTTTCTTAGTCCAGGATTTTGTTCGAACAGTGGCCAACTGGTTGCCCATAACTCCTGTGCTATGCGAAAACAATAGCACTTTCCACCGGAGCAACTGGTACACTTACTCCCTCTGGTACCGGAGGCAATATACAGCTATCATGACCTGTAACCACTGACAACCTTTTCTTCCAAGCAAGAATGAACAGAGTACCTCTGATCATGTTATCCAGTCTAAAGTTTGCTGTCCATAAGAGAAATAAGCTCACAATTCTTTTACGCAGAGGTCCACGTCTAGCCTTCTCCAACTTTCTGCATTTTAGCATTCTAGTGTAAGAGTGTGTGTAAGTGAGAGGGGCCTACCCAAAGAGCCACCTTTTGCCCAACCCTTGCATTAGAAAAGTGGCTCCCAACCAGCAGGCAGCCGCTGAGTATATAACAACCATGCCTAGGAGCCACTGAGAACCTCCCTCCACTGTGAATTTGTCCCATTGCCTTTCAAAAGGTTTAAGGAGCCCTGGACTAGGCAAAATTCAAAATTCTTCGTTTACAATTTTGCCCAGTGGAGGCATGCAAGGCCCTTGACCCCTGGTCTGAGCATCTCCTCTCCTCCCACTCATCACAACCACTGTTTTCCTTCACCCAAAAAGTCCAAAGGTTGCCGGAGCAGGAGTGCCGGAGCCCTGCTGAACAGCTGCGCTCCTCCTGCCCTCAGGAGAGCCTTGGCTACACCTCTGGTGTGTTGACTGTCCTCCATTAAAAACAAACAACAAGCACTTACCATTTGGCTCAATAGAAAAATGAATTAAAGTAAATTAAAACGGCCTGAGCCATGTGGCTCTTGGAGGCGTCCATTGTTATGCCTGTGGCAAATGGCAGATTCTCATTTACTCAGCTAAGGAGAGACAGCTTGAGGGGTGTGGAGCATTAGAAAAAATGGAGGGAGGGCAAGAGAAAGAAGCAGGAATGCTCTGGGTGGAAACTAAGGAACTACCAGATGCCTGGTTCCCTATTCTTCCCCCCATGGATTCCTCTTTTGAATCTTCATTCAACTCACAAGAAAATGTCACAGCCATCAACTCTGCTATTAAAAAAATCTCCCCTGGAAGATAGGTTAATGTGGGAAATGGGATTGTTAGTTGAAAAATAGGACAAGGCTTGTATCACACAGAGGAGGGCAATTCAGCCAACAGAACTTGTATGAAAAGCAATACCTGTTCAAATCCTACACAACCATGAGCTGTGTATGGTTTTTCCACTAGCAAAAAGCAACATACAGCCACAAACAAATCACCTTGTGGGTTTCATGGTGCATGAACACATGTGTTTGGACACCGCAAATAGCCACAGCTTCCTGAAACCCTTCCTTTATATTAGGGGTCCACAAACTTTTTAAACAGAGGGCCAGCTCACAGTCCCTCAAACTGTTGGAGGGCCGGATTATAATTTGAAAAAAATCTGAATTCCCATGCACATGGGGAATTAAAGTGTTATTTGCACTACAAATAAGATATGTGCAGTACATATCTTATTTGTAGTGCAAATAACACTTTAAAACAATACAATAATTAAAATTAAGAACAATTTTAACAAATATAAACTTATTAGTATTTCAATAGAAAGTGTGGGCTTGCTTTTGGTTGATGAGATAGGATTGTTGTTGTTGTGTGCTTTCAAGTCATTTCAGACTTAGGTTGACCCTGAGCGAGGGCCAGGTAAATGACCTTGGAGGGCCGTATCCAACCCCCGGGCCTTAGTTTGAGGACCCCTGCTTTATATGCTTCCCTTCACCCTTAGAGTTGGAGAGTTCAGCCCACTTCCCACAGCCCAATTTTACTTTTTCAACGTAAAAGAATCATATTGAAATTGTATGTAATGTAGAATACATTAGTAGAGAAAATTATTTAAAATCACAATCCAGAATTTGCTGCATGGATCCTCTACAACAGTGTTGTTTGCAAGTTGGCAATAATTTGAAAAAATAATGAAAAGGACAGAGACTCAAGCTGATGAGTGTTGCAATCAAGATGGAACGGTTCAGAATGGGGCATCTGCACGGAGAACCATTAGAAGGCCCCTGACAGATGCAATCTTCCCAGCCTCCTTGTCTGGTTGAAAATACAGGCCCAGTCCCTTTCTTCTCTTGGACAAGGATTAATGAGAACCTGGGAGAGCTCTTAGACAAGCAAGCAAAGGCTGTGAACCTCTTCCAGCGCCGCAATTTGTCTTGGGCTGACTATACATCGCTCACGTGTCAGGTGGTTGAGTTTTTTCTCCCTGAAGCTGGATTATGCTGTGACCCGGCCCATTAATCTCCTCAAATAAAATAATAATAATCATTATCATCAGAGGGGCGAAGATTCTTTGGACCACTGCCAGGGATAAATTAATAGGCCTTCTGAGCACCCCGTGCACAAGAACAAACCTTTCCAACCAAACCAACCCACAAAAAAACCCATTTAGAATCGCTTCTGTTCCTGGCTTGAAATGTTGGCCCAAGCTGAATAATAATAGTGTACATTTAATACAGAGGGGGTCCTCCATCAGTCTTCATCACAAAAGCGTTTCGGCACAAATGAAAAGCAGAAAAAGTACGGGGAGCAAAGGAACAATAGAACACAAGGAATTTGCCCCAATTGTAATCCTTGTTCTGATATTTCTTCTTAATTCTCCAAATTTAACTGGCAAATGTAGCTGCTATAGGAAAATTTACATACAAATCTACATCACTATTAGCTTCAGCCACATGTTGTCTCACTGCTAACCAAAGAAACCACAATTTCTGGTTGCTGTTTTCCCATTTCCTTTTTGTCACCTCTCCCTTATGGTCAAGAAAACAAGCCATAGTTGCAGGTTCAAGTGTTACTAGAGGCCATGGGTCAAACAAATCAAAGTTTGTAATCAAATAAAAAACCATGAATTCAGATGACAGTTTGTAAAATGTCAACAAATCATGCATTTCTAGTAGAAGTGGGTCCATGCATCGCAACAAACCAAATTTCAACAAATATGGACTCTAGGAGGAGCAGGATGAAAATGATTTAGGAGGTGGAACGCACTTGATCCAACTAAGGAAACTGAAGTTCCTGGAAGTTACACTCACCCAAATGACAAAACTGGCCCTTCTTGCCCTAGATTTATGTGCTACCTTAGCTACTAAACCAGTTCTGGATCATCTTGTAGCCACTTAAGATTAGAAAGCCAGTAGGAACCAGCCTGCCATTATGATAGAAGAGAGGAAAGAAGTATTTGGCTTGCAACAGGGTTATGTACTACAAGTTTATTATTATCAGAGATTGCCTTCCCACATTCAACCAAAGTCAGCAAAGCAGTTGCCTTATGGTTTCCTTTATTTGTTACATTCATATCCCACTTTTCTTCCAATTAGTTCAAGGCAACATACACTGTTCCCTTCCTTTTCAGGAAGGACAACCCTGTGAAGTAGGTTAGGCTGAAAGTTCAGCCAGTGAGTTTCATAGATCAATGAGAACAAAAACCCACAACTTGAGTTACAGCCTTATCCATAACATAATGAGAACATGTGTTCTCCCCCTCCCACCACATAAGGCGAAAAGAACACTTTCTAAAAGATCCAACTCATGAAGAAGGAAATTTTATTACAACCAGAGTGAGAGGTGATTTTTTTACCTTTGATTTAACGGCCAGAACAATTTTGGGCAAGGCAACAATGAGGCATTTCAAAGCGATGGTAAGATATTTGAGTACGAAGTCAGAGATCCCCACAATCCACATCAGATCAAAGAAATCCAGCTTTTCCAGGTTAGGTTTCAGGAATATGAGGCTGAAGAACACAAGATAGTATGGGGTGAACATTGTAAATTGAATTATATCTCTCGCAGCTCTCCCAGTAAAAAATTGAACCAAGGACTGTAAAGAGAGAACAACCAAAGGCTCTCAACAGTGCTTCTAAAAAAAGTAGCAGATTCGAGTTCAACTCAAAGATCTATGTATATATAGTTGATAAACAGCACTGACAAGTGTCTGAAAGCACAAAGTATCAATAGTTGTTCACTATGACATCTAGGAACAGTGGGGAAACATCAGAAATGAAAGAAATTAATTACTTTCCCCCCATAAAATAAATCACACTTAATAACTGTGACAGGTATGGTCTTTTGAAACTCATTTGCTTTGAATGTCAATGTTCATGGTCTGGTACTGGCTTATGAACATTTGTTTATTTTGAACCACAAGGGAAACAAACCAAAAATGAGGAAGACAAACTATGGCTGCAAACCATAAAGTCCATGGTTGAAACAACAAACCATGGTTAACATAAACCTCATGATGATGAGCATGACTGACAGCTACACTGGCATTTCCTAGCAAATGCTTGCTTATCATGGACAATCCAAGCCTCAGCAAGAATTAAGTTCACATCCTCTCCTCTCCATATTTTGTCATCTTCAGATGCAAGAAAGGAGCCCTTAGGAGCGGCACCCAAAAGCACTATTGCATAACCCCAAAACTTTAAAATACATATAATATGAGGCCATTGTAGAATGTTTGCCCATGCTTATGTTAGTGTTCAATGGGGAACCTAGCTGAAAAAAGGTAGAAGTGAGGAATTGAAATTAAAATACTCACAATATGGGCACAGCACAACGGATAAAATGAAATCCTAAAAACAAAAAACAAAGGCAGAAAAGCAAAAATGAGAGACTTGACACTCAACTGATGAGAATGAAAAGAAGAAGAACTGCACCCACAAACAAGTCAGCCAGGGAAGTGAAGGAAAACAGAATAACTCCTAAGTGATTATGGCACATTCCTGATAAAAGATGGAAATGAAGATGTGGTGAATCCAACCCAACAGTGGCTAATGGTGTTCCATCAGATTCTTTTACCACATTATTACTTTTCTACAGAAGAAGGACCCACCTGACCTGCCACTGCCACAAAATTTCAACCTTCTCTCATTTGAGAAAGGAGACCCTCTCAATTCTTCTTGTTCCATACCCACCCCATTCCCAGCACATAAAGTGTATTCACCTGTTATACAATTGTTGGGAGCTGAATGTATAGAGTAAATATAGAGTGTTCCCTGCAAGGAAGGCCAGGATCCAGAAAACCATCATCACTGACCTCTTTTCCTGAGAAAGGAAAGAAAATGTGAGTTCTGCAACTTTTAAGCTTTGTAGCTACTTTGCATTTTAAACAAAGGACTGTAAAAGAAAAAGAAATCCAATCTGCTGACCCTCTTTACTCCTGTCTCTACTTCCCTTCCATGTGTCGTATTAGAGACTCTAAGTACTGCAAGGCAGGAACCTATTCTCTTCCATTGGTACAAAGAAAATAAATAAATCTAAATGTTGAATAACCAGTGCAAAATATTAGAAGCACTGGGTTGTTGTAGGTTTTTTCGAGCTATATGGCCATGGTCTATAGGCATTTTCTCCTGACGTTTCGCCTGCATCTATGGCAAGCATCCTCAGAGGTAGTGAGGTCTGCTGGAACTAGGAAAAAGGGTTTATATATCTGTGGAATGACCAGGGTGAGACAAAGGACTCTTGTCTGCTGGAGCTAGGTGTGAATGTTTCAACTGACCACCTTGATTAGCATATAATGGCCCGACAGTGTCTAGAGCAAACTTTTGTTGAGAGGTGATTAGATGTCCTTGTTTGTTTCCTCTCTGTTATTGTGCTGTTGTAATTTTAGAGTTTTTTTAATAATGGTAGCCAGATTTTGTTCATTTTCATGATTTCCTCCTTTCTGTTGAAATTGTCCACATGCTTGTAGATTTCAATGGCTTCTCTGTGTAGTCTGACATGGTGGTTGTGAGAGTGGTCCAGCATTTCTGTGTTCTCAAATACAATGCTGTGTCCAGGTTGGTTCATCAGGTGCTCTGCTATGGCTGATTTCTCTGGATGAAATAGTCTGCAGTGCCTTTCACGTTCCTTGATTCGTGTTTGGGCAATGCTGCGTTTGGTGGTCCCTATGTAGACTTGTCCACAGCTGCATGGTATACGGTAGACTTCTGCAGAAGTGAGAGGATCCCTCTTGTCCTTTGCTGAACATAGCATTTGTTGGATTTTCTTGGTGGGTCTGTAGATAGCTTGTATGTTGTGTTTCCTCATCAGCTTCCCTATGCGGTCAGTGGTTCCCTTGATGTATGGCAAGAACACTTTTCCTCTGGGTGGATCTTCGTCTTTATTCTCATGGCTTGTTCTCGGTCTTGCAGCTCTTCTGATGTCTGAGGTGGAGTATCCATTGGCCTGTAGAGCCCAGTTGAGGTGGTTCAGTTCATCTTGAAGGAGGTGGGGTTCACAGATTCTTTTTGCACGGTCTGCCAAGGCTTTAATGGTGCTTATTTTTTGACTTGGGTGACGGTTGGAGTTTTTATGTAGATATCTACATATAGTTGATAGCCCGAAAAAACCTACAACCCAGTGATTCCATCCATGAAATCCTTCGACAATACATTAGAAGCACTACTCAGGCAATTCTGACATTGCTGGATTTCCAAATGCTTGGAGGACCTCCCTATAAGTTTTAACTCTACCATGGGAAAACACTTCTCTTAGCCTCTTGGCCTACATACGGTATTTCCGAAGAGCCTTTAGATCACTCTGAACCATATCAATTTTCAAGCTACTCTTTAAGAGGCCCAGACCACCCACCTTCAAGGAGACTTGCTCTCGGAGAGTTGAGTTGGCATATGCAAATGTGCTGGCCATGCCAATACACAGAGCAATTCCTAAAAAAAAAACCAAAAAACAAAATTAAAAAAAACACAAGTGAGGAAAAACTTGTATGCCAAGCATATAACAATCAATAGTCACCCCACCTTGTACCGAGGCACAGTTTTCAGTTCTGCACATTTGCAAAACAGGGACATTAGCAGGCTATATCCTGTCATCCACCATCTAACCTTCCTCAACCATATGTTGGATCACAACTTCCATCAGCTGCATAGTACACCCCGGCTGGAGAGGATGGGAATGTTGAACTACACATCCCCATGTTATATTTCTTTATTACTAGCTGTCCCCTGCCACGCGTTACTGTGGCCCAGTCTGGTGATCTGGAAAATAAAGTAACGAGAAAGTGTTGGTTTCGAATGTATGTAATTTCTTGATGCTTGTGGGTAAACAGTATTTCTTGCCATTTCTTTGTCAGTGTTGATGTGGAGATTGTCTGGTTTGCCTACTCTGGAACATGCAACATATAATTGTCCTTCTTTAGGGGTCCCTTTCAAGTCTATGATACTATATCTGTCATATACATGTGTGTGTGTGTGAATCATATATATCTATCTATCAATATCTATGGCTGGATGGCTCTTTGTTAGGAAGGCTTTGATTACATTCTTGCCCTTGTGAAGGGAGTTGGACAGATGGCCTTAAGTATGGGGGTTCTGTGTGGGATGTTTGCCCCAATTCTGTCGTTGGTAGGGTTCAGCGTGCTCTTTGATTATAGGTGAACTATAAATCCAAATAACTACAACTCCCAAATGTCAAGGTCTATTTCCCCCAAACTCTATCTGTGTTCATATTTGGGCATATGGAATATTCGTGCCAAGTTTGGTCCAGATGCATTATTGTTTGAGTCCACAGTGCTCTCTGGATGTAGGTGAACTACAACTCCCAAACTCAAAGTCAATGCTCACCAAACCCTTCTAGTCTTTTCTGTTGGTCATGGGAGTCCCGTGTGCCACGTTTGGTTCAATTTCATCATTGGTGGAGTTCAGTATGCTCTTTGATTGTAAGTAAACTATAAATCCCAACAAATACAGCTCTCAAATGGCAATATCAATTATAATTATTTGAGTGATGGTCACTCCTTGGGTTAGTAGGTGTCTTGTGGCCAAATTTGATAGCAATTCGTCCAGTGGGTTTTGAGTTATATTAATCCCACAAACGAACATTACATTTTTATTTATATAGATGGCCAATGACCGGCGCCAAAAATGTTGAGAAAGGTTGATACAATCATTGCTGCTTAATAAGGAAAGTTGTCAGGGGACCTCATGCTAAGGCAATGTGAAATGAACTAGAGTTATCAATATGTTTGTACATATAAGATGCCTTATGTCCTAAGGAATTGGTGAGACTCTTATTTCTCCCTTCCATCCAATTCAGACACAATGTTCTGAATGGGTGACTAATAAACTAAAGCATAATAATTCAATCAAGATGCAAAAGAATTTTAATGGGAGCCCGTGTGTCTTGTAATTGCATTGCATTTTCCCATGATGAGTATTATTATATTTTGGCTACTTTAACAAAACGTTTTAAATCAACATTTTTAATTAAACTATTTGTTTTCTTAACCTTTGTATGAACCACTATTTTGGCTCTGTTTTAATTCAACTTGTGAACCACCTCAAGTTTCATACTGGGACAAAGTCAAGACATAAATATATTTCATCAGCTTGGTTGAACCATTTAAAAAGAAACTGTCTCTTTTACTTTTTCTTTATGGAAATATTTCTTACTGTTTCATACAGTACCATTTTGTACTTGTTTTTAAGACATGAATGATCTGGAGTGGCAGCAAAGAAATAGGATACCTTTTCCCTGTTGGTTTCAAGTTTTTGTTGGGTAACAACCCTGCCTGCACCAAGTTAGAAACACTGGACAGGTTTGTCTTCTCATCCCTCAAGACGACCCCCCCCCTATGTTCTTAAATGAAGGGGCTTACCAAGCTTGTGCTGGAAACAGACTTTAGCCAAGAGAATCATGATGAACGGAAGCCCCTTCTGTAACCAAGAGATGACAGCTTTCAGCTCAGAAAGGGCAGGGGCCGGCGTCCCAGGCTGCTCCTCAAAGCCTTCCTCACTATGGCCATGACGGTCACCACCAGCCATGTGCAGGAGGGAGGACCCTCGCTGGTGGCTGTGGTGGTAATGCTGGGGTTGCTGGCGGTGATAAGGACCTCCTTCCGTACGGCTGGCCCCCTCCTCCCGCGGCGCAGGCATCTGAATGAACACCTCCCCGCCTCCTGCTGTAGACCCCAGGACCAAACTGGACTGGAAAGGGGTGGCTGTTATCGTTCCAGATGGGATGCCTCCCAATCCTGAGAAAAGCTGAGGAGGAGGAGAAGACGGCTCTGTCTTCAGGCCTTCAAAGACTCCACCTTCATCCACACTTGTCTCTGAGGTGATAGTTTGATTCCGGCTTCTGCCATGCACAAGAAAGAAGAAAGACATCAACAAATGCCATGGGAGCATTTATCCTTCCCTCCTCATTTACCTTTTTTACTTTAAGGGAGGAGAACCTCCAGGCTTCTGACATAAACCAGTTCATCAAAGCCTCAGGTCTGGATGCTCAGTAAGGGATTTTGGAAGCAGCTGCTGTATATCTTGCCCATTGTAGGAAGGCACACACAGCTACACTGGGATCCCATTCCTTCCCAGCTCAAGCACTGTTCATTGCAGACAGGTTGCTACAACCTGACTCCAAAACTGTGTGCGACGGTCTCCAGGAGTCATTCAGAAATCTGTGAATGCATTTGACTACAAATCTGAAGAGCAGGCTTCAACTCCCTACTCAGCCATGGAAACCCCATAGATTTTTTTTGGCATGTCAGGAGCGATTTGAGTCGCTTCTGGTGTGAGGGAATTGGCCGTCTGCAAGGACGTTGCCTAGGGGATGCCCGGATGATTTGAAAAAACATCAAAACCCCATAGATGGGTTTGGGCAAGTCACACTCTCCCAGATTCAGAAGAAGGCAAAGGCAAATTCCCTCTGAACAAATCTACCAAGAAAACTTCATAGTAGACTTTCTGTAAGTCAGAAATAGCTTAAAGGCACACAACAGCAACCACAGCCTGAAGCAGCTACACATTCTCTTTTGACCTTGCCACCTGCCAATGAAATCGTCCAAGTTCAGAACTAGTGTACACCAGCTATTCCTTTATTATTATTATTATTATTATTATTATTATTATTATTATTATTAAACTTTATTTGTACCCCGCTAGCATCTCCCGAAGGACTCGATGCGGCTTACAAAGGCCAAGGCCTCAACACACAATATAACAGTACAAAACCTAAGCAAATTAAAACAATTAAAGCATAGTAAACAACAGGCAATAAACAATACACTAAAACACAATAAAATAAAACTGGGCCGGGCCAGAGTAATGGGTACAGGATTAAAAGTGTTGATGTGACAGGTGGTATCTAAGGCATTATAGGGCAAGTGCAGTGTGCGGTGTGCAGTAATCTTAATTCTAGTAAAGTGCTTATGGGACTTGGTGTTGGAGATTTCCTAATCTGGGAAAGCACATCGGAACAGCCAGGTCTTCAAGTTCTTTCTGAAGATTGCCAATGTAGGGGGCTGTCTAAGATCTTTGGGGAGGGTGTTCCAGAGTCGGGGGGCCACCACGGAAAAGGCCCTGTCTCGTGTCCCCACCAAGCGCACTTGCGACGCAGGCGGGATCACGAGCAGGGCCTCTCCAAGATGACCGAAGTGAACGCGTGGGTTCGTAGATGGAGATGTGGTAACGCAGGTAGGATGGTCCCAAACCGTTCAGGGCTTTGCAGGTAAGCACCTGCACCTTAAATTGGCCTCGGAAAATAAACGGCAGCCAGTGGAGCTCCTTGAACAGGAGGGTTGACCTCTCTCTGTAGGGGGCCACGGTTAGCATCCTGGCTGCTGCTCGTTGGACCAGTTGGAACTTCCGAGCCGTTTTCAAGGGCAGCCCCACGTAGAGCGCATTGCAGTAGTCCAATCTGGAGGTGACCAAGGCATGGACCACCCCGGCCAGATCAGCCTTCGCGAGGTACGGTCGCAGTTGGCGCACGAGTCTCAATTGTGCGAAAGCCCTCCCAGACACCGTCGACGCCTGAGCCTTTATCCCAGTTCTCCTTGCCAGATATCCCTCAATCTAAACAAAGTATCATCAGGCATCTCTCCCCATCCTACAGACTGAATGCAGATTTTTACAGTTATTCCCAAAGGCCAGGCTGACACAAATATCAGACAGGGAATAGAAGCCATACAATACTTTACAATGTGGCCCTACAGTCCCAGATGAATGGGACACATACTTCTAATAGAGTCTCTGAGGGTTTAGGACTAAAGCGACAGAGACCTCTCAGGGCTGTGAACATCTGAAACACGTACAACGCCTCCAAGGTACCTGGTAGAGACTATGCTCACAATCCTATCCTATGGGGTGCCCCTAGAGTGCAGGGTAACACTTCCAAGACAGGCAGCAAAGAACAGCTTAGTGGGTAATTGTTTTTTAAAAATAAAGTGCAGACGCATGGCTCTTAAGAAGAAAGTCTTAATTTGCCCCTAAAGATTGTGTATCTTTCTAAACAGAGATATTTATATTTATCTAATGAAACCCTCTTACTATTTTTTAAACAGGCCTAATACAAAACAATGCAGCAAAGCAATGAAGCACACAAGCAATACTTGCACATCTGACCAAACATCTATTAACTCTAGCATTCTACATCAATCCCCCCACATTTATAGTTTTGACCATTGTGGATTTGATTATTCATGGATTTCATTACAAATGTAATCTCTAGGTCCTCCAGTGTAACTCTGTGGTCACTGATCTACAATCATGCTGGAGGACTTAGAGATTTCTTGAGAAAAGTTATCTCTAGGTCCTCCAATGAGAGTCTATGTGTAGCTTCTATTTATTTATTTATTTATTTATTTAGGGCATTTCTACCCTGCCTTTCTCTGGTTGAACCCAAGGCGGCTCACAACATCATTAAGAACAAGTAGCATAATGTAAACCATTAGTTAAAACAAACCATAAAAGTAGTAAAAAGCCATAAACATAGTAGTAGCTTCTCACAGACATTAATCACTGGAATACCTAGACATTCTTAGAGAGGTGTTCTCTCAGGTAAAACAGGGCATTGTACTAAACACCTATCCATGTGCAGCACACAGTGCCCAGCACCCCAAAACTACCACAGGATTATAATCAGTGAGGAAGAAAATCCCACAACCATTTTACCATGATCCTGGCACTAAATTACAATAAGAACAATGTAAGTAATGGTTTGCCACCCTTTTGCAATGCCCAGAAACATTTGCCCAAGGCACCCACTGGTAACGTCATCCTTGGCCACAGAGGTAAGTGGCCGTAAGTTGATATTCCATTAAAGAAGATTAACTCACCTTTCAGGAGGAAGGCTATCCGTGATACTGCTGTGCCTTCTCTGCATCTTCCTTAACACTTTAAAGCACAAAACGCTCAGCATGAAAGTGGCAGATCAGTAGGGACCAGCGGTGGAAATAGTTGCACAGGCTAGCTAGATGGTCTTCTCAGGTACCCATTCACTCAGTGACATACTGCATGGAATTCTACTTGAAAAGAGCAGGTCACAATTCAACAGGTGGAAAGCAGATTTCCCAAGCTCCACAGCAAACAGGTTAACTGTATCCAGTACAGAATGGTTTCCAGAAGGAACAAGAAACAGTTGAATCTTCTTTTCATTCCGTACAACATTAAACAGGCGAGTTTCAAAAGCCACGTTTAGGAAGAAAAAAGAAACAAATGGCTACAAAAGGAGGATCATTCGCTTCTCCTTCAGATGCTCCACTCCTGAGATCCAAAGAAAGGAGATAAAGTCAGAAAACAAACCAGGAAAACAAACATTTCCCGACATTTCTCTTAGTCTCCCTCAATTTTTCCTTGCTAATATGCGGTGGGACATAATACATCAGAAATGAATAAAACGATGCATGGGGTAGAGAAATAAGAGAAAATGTTTTCTTTGTCCCAATACAGGTAGATATCCTTTAATCAAAATGCTTGGAACTAGAAGTGTTTCCAATTCTGGAGTTTTCTGGTTTCCCTATAATTGCAGATAGGTACATGAGATATTCTGGAGATGAGTTCCAAGTCTAAACACAACATTCATTATGTTCCATACATATCTTAGACACATAGTCTGAAGGTCATTTGATGCACCAAATTACTGAAAATATTGTGTATGAAACAAAATTTGTGTACCTCAGAAAACAAAGGCGCCACAATCTCAGCCCTCCATAAGTGCAGCATTTTGGGTTTGGAAATTCTGGGATCTGGGGTCCTTTTCTCTGTGGCTAGAACTCTCAGAGTGTAGAAAACTAAGAATGTCAAGGGGGAAAAATACGCTGCAGAACAAATGCAATTTGGCACTACTTGAACTGCCCTGGCTCAATGCAATGCAATGCAATGATGGGAGCTGTAATTTAGGGGGCACAGAAAGCTGAAAACCCTATACTTCTACAATGGCCAGGATTCCATTGAAGTGAGCCATTACATTAATGTTTTTATTAATATTGTGTTTCTATGATCGAGCTGGGGGTTCTGTGAAGTGTTTGGTTTTAATGGGTTTGAGTGCTGATTTTTCATAGTTTCAGTGTTGAATTCTACTGTAATGTTTAATGTTTCCTAGGTTTAAAATGATACATTGTATTGCTTTCACTGTTAGCTTTAGGTTTCTTTTTTAGAGAAACAAAGCAGGATACTACTAGTAGTAATAATAATAATAATTCAGTGATGTCTAACATATGTATAGGCAGCCCCCAAGTTATGAACAAAATCAGTTCTGGAGGTTTGTTCTTAAGCTGAATTTAAATGTATTTAAGTTGGAACAGGTACATTTTTAACTATAACTCCAGACACACACACACACACTATATATAATTTCCCCTCACTTTTTGTTCCTGTGAGAATTGGATTTTGAAAAATGTGGCTTGTTGTGCAAACAAGGATTGGCGATACAGCTTCAGTGGAGACCCCTTTCCCCTCTGATAATAACTCTTCCAAGAGTGAGTTTCCCTTCCTTCCGAGGGGGAGATTTCTCTCACTTCCTGTTGTCTCACCCTCGTTCTTAGCTAGAAGTCCTTTGTAAGTTGGATGTTTGTAACTCTGGGACGGCCTATATTCAAGGTCCCGTGTTTCATCCATGTGTCTCAACTGTGGCTTCTTGTTAAACAGAAGTCCTCTGAAGCTTTATAGTTGAACAGAAGCTCTCCGAAGCTTTAGGTGCTCTTACTGTCTATTACAGGGAAAACTATTGGATCCCTAATCCATCCAAATCCCAGATGTGTCCCTTTCATCTTCAGAACAGACAAACATCTCGAGCTCTGAGGATTACCTGGGAAGGAACCCCACTGGAGTATTGCAGCACAACAAAATACCTGGGAGTTATTCTGGACCATGCTCTGGCTTGAAAGAAGCACTGTTTCATTATCAAGACAACAGTGGGTGCTAGAAATAATATCGTACAAAAACTGACTGGCACAACCTGGGGATCACAGCTAGACACAGTAAAAACATCTGCCCTTGAGCTTTGCTACTCTGCTGCTAAATATGCAGGCCCAGCATGGAATACATCTCACCACATTAAAACAGTGGATGTGGCTCTTAATGAGACATGCCACATTATCAGAGGATCCCTATGCCCTACACCACTGGAGAAATTATACTGTTTAGCCAACATGCCAATGTCTTATATCAATAAATAGCTTCCTAAGATCCACAGACACAATTGCAGTAACACCTCAGCACGTGAGAGTCCAAAAGTGGCACGCTAAAACCCCCTGGGGAGATAGGGTGGAGTACAAAATTTTTTTTTATTATTTTTATTATTTTATTAAAACCCAGAACCTCAATTAGTGGCTGATGCTGCATGAAAAAACCCCTCCTGGGCACACAGAAGACTGGATGACCTGAAAGGCACTGAACAGACTGTGATCTGGCACCACAAGATGCAGAACCAGTCTTAAGAAATGGGGCAACAAAGCTGAGTCCACGACATGTGAGTGTAGAGAAGAGCAAACCACAGGCTACTTACTACAATGCAATCTGAGCCTTGCCACATGCACAATAGTGGACCTTCTTACAGTGACACCAGGGGCACTCCAAGTGGCCAGCTTCTGGTCAAAGGAAATTTAGCATCATGCCAAGTTTTTAAATTTGTGGTTTTTTATACATTATAACTGTATCCTCAATTCGGTTTTGACACAACAATAAATAAACAACTATAGCCTCTTCTACACTGCCATCTAAACTCCAGATGATCAGCTTTGGACTGGATCATCACTGTATGTGTTATATACATAGTATATCACCATCATCATTGTTTTATCATTTGTATTGCACTTTAATTATTTAGATTTTTATGATGTAAATGTGTATGATCAGGGCCCTTCCACACAGCCCTAAATCCCAGAATATTAAGGCAGAAAATCCCACAATATCTGCTTTGAACTGGATTATTTGAGGGCCCTGCCACACAGCCCTAAATCCCAGAATATCAAGGCAGAAAATCCCACAATATCTGCTCTGAACTAGGGTCACTTCCAGACAGCACTTAATCACGGGTTTTAGTGAGGGGCAAAAAATCCCAGAATTTCCACACTCAGATGTGGGATTTCTTGCCTTGATATTCTGGGATTTAGGGCTGTGTGGAAGGGCCTTGATGCCCCCTTCCAAAAAGCTGTTTAAAATCCCACATTATCTGCTTTGTACTTGGTTATATGACCCAGTTCAAAGCAAATTTGTGGTATTTTATACAGTTTTTACTGCCTTGATATTCTGGGTTATATGGCTGTGTGCCCTCAGGGCCCTTCCATGCAGCCCTATATCCCAGGATATCAAGGCAAAAAAATCCCAAAATATCTGCTTTGAACTGGGTTGAGTCCACACTCAGATAATGTGGGATTTCTTGCCTTGATATTCTGCGATGTAGAGCTGTGTGGAAGGGGCCCTGATGCCCCCTCCAAAAAGCTGTTTAAAACCCCACATTATCTGCTTTGTACTCGGTTATATGGCAGTGTGGACTCAGATAACCCAGTTCAAAGCAGAAATTGTGGGATTTTTAGTTTTTACTGCCTTGATATTCTGGGTTATATGGCAGTGTGGACTCAGATAACCCAGTTCAAAGCAGAAATTGTGGGATTTTATTACAGTTTTTACTGCCTTGATATTCTGGGTTATATGGCAGTGTGGACTCTGGGCCCTTCCACCCAGCCCTACATCCCAGGATATCAAGGCAAAAAATCCCACAAGATCTGCTTTGAACTGGTTTATCTGAGTCCACACTCAGATAATGTGGGATTTTCTGCCTTGATATTCTGGGATATAGGGCTATGTGGAAGGGCCCAGAGTCCACACTGCCATATATATCCCAGTTGAAAGCAAATAATGTGGGATTTTATTCAGCTGTGTGGAAGGGGCCTGAGCGAGGCGAGGCCCCAAGATGCCAATGCCTCCCTCCGTTTCCTTTTTTTTTTTCAATGGAGGTTGAGCTTCTCGAGGAGAACAGCAAAGAGGGAAGGACCCGGGGCTGAGACCTCTTGGCCAGAACTAGGCCTCAAAGCCCGCTGGGGGACAAGAAAGGGCATTTCTCCTCCGTTTCCTTTCTGGGTGGCCTTCTCTTCCTCAAGGAAGGAGCCAAGCCCAGTTCGCCAGCCAAGCTTGACCCCTCTCCGACAAGGTTTACCTGTCTCCCGGCTGGCCAGCTCCTCCAAACCTTTCCCCTCCCGGCCTCTGCGTCATTTCCGGTCCCACCCTCATTCCGGAACCGGACGCCCCCGGTCACCCTTGTGTCTCGGCTGGGGGAGAAGGTGGGCCGGAAGTCATCCCTCCGCTCCGCCTCTCCCTCGGCTTCCCGGAGGCTTCGTGGCCCTCTGCGCCGGCCCGCGAGGGAAGAAGCATGCCCAAGGCGGCGTGAAGGCCTCGTCCCCTCATGGTGCAGTTGCTGGGCCTGGTGTGGCGGAGGCTGCTGCGCAAGCGCTGGGTCCTGGGTGTCGTCTTCGGCCTCTCGCTCGTCTACTTCCTCAGCAGCACCTTCAAGCAGGTCAGGCCGGGACGGGCCCCATTGATTGATTGATTGATTGATTGATTTCAAACTTTGACATCCCGATCTTCTCCACCTCTGCAGAGGGACTCAGACCGGCTAACAGCAAAGATTCAATGCTAACACTGAAAATCTAAAACATAATACACAAAATTAGATTACATACATTACATAAAAGCCGTTCGCCAGGACAAGATCGTGTCCAACTCAGTCCGTATGTCCAGTCCATATATTGTGATCAGTACCATTAGTCGATTGCCGGTCTCAGACATCATTCTGCAAAAGCTTTGTTGCACAGCCAGGTTTTCACTAGCTTCCTAAAGGTCAGGATGGAGGGGGCAGATCTAATTACATTTGGGAGGGAATTCCATAGCCAATGGGCCACCACAGAAAAGGCCCTGTCTCTCGTCCCCACCAGATGCGCCGAACCTCCGGTGGCGCAGTGGGTTTAAACCCCTGTGCCGGCAGGACGGAAGACCGACAGGTCGCAGGTTCGAATCCAGGGAGAGGTGGATGAGCTCCCTCTATCAGCTCCAGCTCCTCATGCGGGGACATGAGAGAAGCCTCCCATAAAGATGATAAAAACATCAATTCATCCGGGCGTTCCCTGGGCAACATCCTTGCAGACAGCCAATTCTCTCACACCAGAAACGACTTGCAGTTTCACAAAAAACAAAACAAAAACAAACCAGATGCGCCTGCGAAGATGGCGGAACCGAGAGCAGGGCTTCCCCAGACAATCTTAACACTCTTGATGGTTCATAGGGGAGAATACGTTCAGACAGGTAAACTGGGCCAGAACCGTACAGGGTTTTATAGGTTAAAACCAGCACTTTGAATTGTGCTCGGAAGCTAATTGGCAGCCAGTGGAACTGGCGCAACAAGGGAGTTGTACGCTCCCTGTACCCCGCCCGTGTTAGTAACCTGGCTGCCGAGCGTTGCACTAATTGTAGCTTGCGGGCAGTCTTCATAGGCAACCCCACGTAGAGAGCGTTGCAGTAGTCTATACGGGATGTAACCAGAGCGTGGACCACCGTAGCCAAGTCCGACTTCCCAAGGTAAGGGGGCAGCTGGCGCACCAGCTTTAACTGTGCAAAAGCTCTCCCGGCCACTGCCGAGACCTGGGGTTCCAGGCTCAGCAATGAGTCCAGGATCACTCCCAAGCTGCGAACCTGCGCCTTCAGGGAGAGTGTAACCCCGTCAAGCACAGGCTGTAACCCTATACCCTGTTCAGCTTTACGACTGACCAGGAGTACCTCTGTCGTGTCTGGATTTAGTTTCAATTTGTTTGCCCTCATCCAGTCCATTACAGCGGCCAAGCACCGGTTCAGGACTTGAAAAGCCTCCTTAGTAGCAGGTGGGAAGGAGTGACAGAGTTAGACATCATCTGCGTACAGGTGACACCGTACCCCGAAACTCTGGATGATCTCCCCCAACGTCTTCAAAGGATGGCTCTGCTTGGAGCACCGGAAGTGCTTTCACCCCCTCCCTCTGCCCTGACCCCTCGGTGACCCCCTGTACCCTGACCAGTTCAGGCAGGGAGGTGAAGCCAGACTTCATCTGGAGTACATGAGCAATGTTGACCGGGCCTATGGTATCAACTCATAGAGAGGTTTTTCCATCTTCTTCTCCTTCTCTTCTTTTTCCAGCTCTCCTCCTCCTCCTAAATCTTATTGTCCTCGTAGTCTGAGGATGATGGTCCTCCAAGTCTAGTGTTTGGCAGTGGATTCATTCTTGATCTGCATGTTCTCCTGCAGTGAGGACATTGGTTTCCAGGTGGAAGGCATCCCGGTCAGGGTTGGCATGACGTGCCTTCCTCTTGGTACCTTTCTCCCTTTCTCCCTCCATTCATGCCTCTTCAAACTCCGCAGCACTGCTGGTCACAGCTGACCTCCAATTAGAGCGCTCAAGGGCCAGGGCTTCCCAGTTCTCAGTGTCTATGTCACAGTTTTTAAGGTTGGCTTTCAGCCCATCTTTGAATCTCATTTCCTGTCCACCAACATTCTGTTTTCCGTTCTTGAGTTTGGAGTAGAGCAACTGCTTTGGGAGACAGTGGTCGGGTATCTGGACAAGTGGCCCATCCAGCAGAGTTGATGGTGAAGGACCATAGGTTCAGTGCTGGTGGTCTTTGCTTCTTCCAGCACGCTGACATTTGTCCGCTTGTCTTCCCAAGAGATTTGCAGGATTTTTCAGAGGCAACGCTGATGGAATCGTTATAGGAGTTGCATGTGATGTCTGTAGAACGTCCATGTCTCGCAGGTGTATAGCAGGGTTGGGAGGATAATAGCGTTATAAACAAGCACCTTCATATCCCTATGGATCTCCTGGTCCTCAAACACTCTGTGCTTCATTTGGAAAAATGCTGCACTCGCAGAGCTCAGGCGGTGTTGTATTTCAGTGTCAATGTTGACTTTTGTGGAGGGGTGACTGCCAAGGTAGCAGAAATGGTCAACATGTTCTAATGTTACACCATTAAGCTGTATCTCTGGCATTGGAGAGGGATTGGCTGGTGACTGCTGGAAGAGTACTTTGGTTTTCCCGATGTTCAGTGACAGGTCAAGCTTCTTGTATGCTTCTGCGAAGGTGTTTAGAGTGACTTGTAGGTCTTCTTCTGAATGCGCACAGATGACGTTGTCATCAGCATATTGGAGTTCTGTAACAGATGTTGTTGTAACCTTGGTTTTGGCTTTCAGTTTGCTGAGGGTAAATAGCTTGCTATCTGTCCGATAGATGATATCCATTCTGGTGGGAAGTTTCCCATCAACAAGATGAACTATCATAGCGATGAAGATGGAAAATAAGGTTGAGGCAATAACACATCCCTGTTTGACACCTGATGGAAGAGCACTTTGGTTTTCTCAATGTTCAATGACAAGCCGAGCTTCCCGCAGAGTTGATGGTGCAGCAGTGCAGCAGCATTGCTTCAGTGCTGGTGGTCTTTAATAATAATAATAGTAATAATTTATATAAATAAAAATGTAATGTTCGTTTGTGCTACCATCAGAACTCAAACACCACTGGGGGAATTGACACCAAATTTGGACACAAGACATCTAACAGTCCAATTTATGTCCTCCACTCAAAAAAAAAAAAACAAAACCCCAAAGAAACAGCAGAAACCCCGAAAATCCACACAAGGGAAGAGCAGCCATTACAGCACTGAGAACCAAGCGTGTGTGCACGCATGGCCATACAAATAGAACTGGCACAGCGAGCGGCACCCAGCTCCCTCCCTCACCGCGGCCAGATGCGGCCCACGCGGCCTGGCTAAGCCTCGTGCAAAGCCCCTCGCTGCTTGCGTCAGCGGCGTTTCTCTTTCTCCCCACAGAGCGACTTCGGCTGGGGTTGCGCCGGGCCAGGCTTCTCCCTCCCTCCTTCCTTCCTTCCCCTTGCCCCTTTCTCTCCCCTTCCCCTTCCTTCCTTCCCTCCCTTCCCCTCCCTCCTTCCCTCCCTTCCTTTCCTTCTTCCTTCCTTCCTTCCCGTGTGGGAGGGAGAAGCCACCAGGGAAGCCAGCGTTGCCTGGCCACGCCCACCCGGTGCCACCTCTGCCGCCAAGAACGCACACCCCCCTCTTCGCCATCAGGGATCTTCTGCTGCACTCTCTGCGCTCTGCGGCCACGAGGCGCCTCCTGCTCCATTCCCAGCCGAGAACAAGCGATGGGCGCCACTCTGAAAAGGTTTGGCCCAATTCTATCGTTGATGGGGTTCAGAATGCTCTGTGATTGTAGGTGAACTACATATCCCAGCAACTACAACTCCCAAATGTCAAGATTCTATTTCCCCCATACTCCACCAGTGTTCACATTTGGGCATATTGAGTATGTGCCAAGTTTGGTCCAGATCCATCATTGTTTGAGTCCACAGTGATCTTTGGATGTAGGTGAACTACAACTCCAAAACCAAAGGACACTGCCCACCAAACCCTTCAATATTTTCTGTTGGTCATGGGAGAACTGTGTGCCAAGTTTGGTTCAATTCCATCGTTGGTGAGGTTCAGAATGTTCTTTGATTATAGGTAAACTATAAATCCCAGCAACTACAACTCCCAAATGACAACATCAATTTTTTTGAGTGAAGGACATACATTGGGGTTGTTAGGTGTCCAGTGGTTTTTGAGTTCTGTTAATCCCACAAACGAACATTACATTTTTATTTATATAGATTTGTTTCCTATATTTATACCCTGGCCTTCTCCCCCTGAAAGGGGACTCATGCTTACATATTCCAAAAACCACTTTCAAAACGACAGAAAATAGATTTTCTCCTCCCCTCACCAGCTTCATTCTCCCTTATTAAATCTACAGTGTAGATGCACCCAAAGTCAACCCTTCCACACTGCCATGTAAAATCCAGATTATCTACTTAGGACTGGATTATATGGCAGTGTAGACACATGCACACACACACACGCGCACATTCAAACACACACATATATGGATGGATGTTGGATCACTGGTTGGTGATACACACACACATATATAACAATACTTCATATATTACTATTATATATATTTCTATATAATACATATATATATATATATATAATATTATTTTATATATACTACTATATAATATAATGTTGCTACTATATATGACTATATTAAATTGACTCATAGAATAGAGTTAGAAGGGACTCTACCATGGTATTGGGGGAGAACAGACAGGAAGGAAGGAGAGAAGGAAGGAAGGAAAGAGATACCGAAAGAAGGAAAAAGAGAAAATAGGAAAGAAAAAGGAAAGGAAAGGCAGGAAAGAGATAAAGAAGGAAGGAAGGAGAAAAGGAAAGAAAAAGGGAAAGAAGGACGGAAACAGGGAGGGAAGAAAGGAGACAAAGAAGTAGAGAAGGGGAGGGAAGGAACGAAAGAGAGAGGGAAGGATGAAACCAAAGAGCGAAAGAAGGAATGAAAGAAAGAGGTACAAAAGGAAGAAAGGAGAGAAAGGGGAAGGGGAAGAAAAAGGGGGAAGGAATAGGTAGGTACCTCTTTTTCATAATAGTTCAGATATCTACCTCTACTTCGAAATTTCTTACTATAGGCCACAGCAATGCGTGGCAGGGCACAGCTAGTAATAATAATAATAATAATCTTTATTTACACCCCACCACCATCTCCCCAAAGGGGACTCAGGGCGGCTAACATGAGGCCAAACCCAAAATTACAATACAACGGATGCAAAGAAGCAGAATACCATTAAAATAAACCCATGAAATAACAAAATAAAATAAACAGTTTCAAAATAACAGGATAGAGAGATAGAACACAGAGCAGGCCAAGTGTGCTAAAAATAAAATTGATAAAATCTTCCAGCACACTGACATTTATCTGCCTGTTTTCCCAAAAGATTTGCAGGATTTTTCAGAGGCAGCACTGATGGAACCATTCTAGGAGTTGAGTGTGACATCTGTAGACAGTCCACATTTCACAAGCGTATAGCAGGGTTGAGAGGAAAATGGCTTTATAAACAAGCACCTTGGTCTCCCTACGGATGTCCCATTCCTCAAACACTCTCTGCTTCATTTGGAAAAATGCTGCACTTGCAGAGCTCAGGCGGTGTTGTATTTCAGTGTCAATGTTGACTTTTTTGGAGAGGTGGCTGCCAAGGGAGCGGAACTGGTCAACGTTTTCTAATGTTACACCATTAAACTGTGTTTCTGGCCTTGCAGAGGGTTTGGCTGGTGACTGCTGGAAGAGCACATTGGTTTTCTCGATGTCCAATGACATAAATGATGTTCAAAGAAGTGTTCTCCTCCTAAATCTTATTACTATCCTCCTCTTTCTCCTCCTAAACCTCCTTCTTCTCCTTCTGTTTCCCCATCTCTCCTCCCCATCTTCTCTTTCTCCTCTAAAACCTTCTTAAACTTCTCCATCTTTACTGCTTCTCTTTCTCCATCTCTCCTTTTCCCCTTCTTCTCTTTCTCCTCTTAAACCTTCTTATTCTCTTTCTCCATCTCCCTTCCTTCTCCTCCTTTCTCAATTTGTCCTCTTCCATCTCTTCTTATTCTCCTTAAATCTTCTTATTCTCTTCCTCCTCTTTCTCATAATTCTGCTCTTCCTCCATCTCGTCCACTTTCTTCTCTGCTTTCTCCATCTCTCCTTCTCCTTAAATCTTCTTTACTATTCTCCTCTTTCTCCTTCTAAACCTTCTTATCCTTCTCTTTCTCCATCTCTCCTTCTTCTCCCAAATCTTATTCTCTCTTTCTCCTCCTAAACCTTCTTCTTATACTTCTCCTCTTTCTCCATCTCTCCTTCTCCCCTTCTTCTCTTTCTCCTCCTAAACCTTCTTATCCTTCTCCTTTCTCCATCTCTCCTCCTCCATCTCTTCTTTCTCAATCTCTCCTTCTTCTCCTTAAACCTTCTTATCCTTCTCTTTCTCCTTCTCCCCTTCTCCCCTTTCTCCTCCTAAACCTTCTTACCCTCCTCCTTTCTCCATTTCTCAGTCTACTCCTTCCTCCTCCTCCTCTTCTTCTCCTCCTTCCCAAGAGAGCCCTCTCGAGACCTTCCAAGATGGAGCTGGATTTCATCAGGACGCAGAGTAACTTCCCTAGCTTAAAATGGAGTTCTCCCAATAATGCTAGATTCTTTTTTCAATCACTGCTTGCTGTTTTTGTTTCTAAATCAAGACCTCCAGCCACTGAATACATGCTAATAGGGCCCAGCATACTGTACACACCCTTCACAGGATGAGCGTCCCTTCTCTACAAATTCAAAAGGCTCCACAAGCCACAGTTTGTGACTTCTTTGCATTCTGATGGCTGAGTGTCCACAAAGTGCCTTCCATTCCTCCCTTGGCCTTCCAAGATGTTGCTGAGTTAGATAAGGGCCTTGAGTAACTCAGTCAGTTTATGTCTTACACTGCTGTTTTGTTGCAGGAAGACCGAGTGCTATGGGACCGAAATATCCCCCAGGCGCAAGACGAAGACCATCCCATTGCATGGAAAGTCCAGTTCAGTCCAGGGAACGGCAGTCAGCAGGGGAACCAGTGTCGAAACTCAGTCCAAGGGAAGCTGCTGATCACGGATGAGCTAGGTAAATCTCTTCATTCAGTGCCTGGGTGGTGCATTGGTTAGAGCAGACTTTCCTCAATCTGGATTACCTAAAACAAATTGAGGTCCATCTACACTGCCATATTTTTTTCGTATCAGAAGCGACTTGAGAAACTGCAAAGCTTTTTTGGTGTGAGAGAATTGGCTGTCTGCAAGGATGTTGTCCACGGACACCCAGATGTGTTACCATCCTGTGGGAGGCTTCTCTCCTGTCTGTCAGCTCCCACATGAGACGCTGGGCTCACCCCACTCCCCGGATTCAAACCTCCGACCTTTTGGTCAGTCGTCCTGCCATCATAAGGGTTTAACCCATTGCACCACCAGCTCCTACACTGCCATAGAATGCAGTTTGAAACTATGTTATATGGCAGTGTAGATGGGACCCTAGTCATTGTGGGTAACACTTGGGAGTTGGTTCTGTAGTCCAAAAGGACAGCACTAGGAAGTTCCAAAGCAGAGAACATCCAGGGAGTGCAAAACTATGATTGCAGAGACACAGATTTCCTATTCAGTCATGAAGCTTGCTGACTGACCTGGGTTAGTTACAATTCAAAGTCTTTGGGAACATTTTTACAAGACTTCTCCTTCTGATAGAATTGAAATCTCCTAAAGGTTGTTTTAAATCAAAACACACACTTTGTGATTCTCTCTACATACACTGCCATAGATACTTTCCATGACGAGAGCCTACCTTTTACCACTATACCACTTCATCCACTCTGTGAATATGCAGGGCTTGTCAACCACCCCGCTTCTCTGCTGTTACATCTTTGGTGTTCTTTTCTTGTAGGCTATATCTGTGAACGGAAGGACGTGTTGGTGAACGGCTGTTGTAACGTCGATGCACCCCGCACGAAGCTGTACAGCTGCGATAGCTGCCTGTCAAATGGCTGTTGCAGTGTGTATGAGGCCTGCGTTTCCTGCTGCCTACAGCCAAACAAGGTAAAGAGGCCTTCATTGTAATGTGGGCTATTTCGGAAGTATGCCCTCCCTACTTCTCAAAGTTCTGTATTTTTATATACTTTGGAGTCTACTTCTTTGCCTAGTTTTGCTGTACTTGAATCAACAACCGCAGATGGTGTTTACTATTAACGGAAGTGATAAAAAAATCCCATTACTGAATAATAACCAATAGTGGAAATAAACAAGAGGCAGAATTCCATCAAACGGCACATTCACATTAATTATATTAGGAAAAGCATTCCTGTTTATCCTGGCAGCAGGGTTTTTTTTTTTTTTGAGAGATCAGTTATTTGTAATGCATGTGCTTTTAGAACTTATGAATGTTGATGCCCTGTATATTGCTGCAAAGTGCTCTATTCTAAATTGTAATTTTGTAAATGTGGACCTTCTTTCCACTAAATGCAACAAAGGAAGGACACAATACAAACATTATTATAAGTTACCAAATTTAGTTTACAAAATCAGTTTGAAGCAGAAAACTCTGATTAGAACTCTACCTCAATACGTAAGGAATTCTGTTGACAATAACATAGAACAGAGTTTCTCAAACTGTGTTCCTCCAGATGTTTTGGAGTTCAGCTCCCACAATTCCTAATATCTGGTAAGATGGTTGGTATTTCTGGAAGCTGAAGTCCAAAACACTTGGAGAAGCACAGTAAATACTACAGCATATTCCAGTGAACCACCCCAGTGTGTACATGGCATGTCAGTAGTGCTTTGGAAGAACTGGAATAAAACACATGATTTGAGAGTATCATCATTCACAAAGCAGGAAAGTCTTAGCATAGTTGCTTCAACAGGTTGATCATCTTCACTAGTGCAGTAAAGTTGATTTGTGTTTGGAAGAAGGTAGTCTTGTTGTGTTTAATAGTCTTAGGTCCTGGTAAGAATGTATAGGATTTGCAGCTGCAATGTACAGATAGCATTGCCCCCCTAGATTCGCTCTGTATGTTTGATTTAAAGTATTATTAGTATTATTAGTATTATTATTTGAAACACAACAAGATGAGTCCATAGCAGACACTCTGTTGAATTGGATCACACGTTGGACACTTCCCAAGTGTCTAGGACTGTGTGAGGTATCAGCGAATAATGCATGCAGATCCCAGTAAGGTGGCCTTCTGCAGCTGGCAGATGGTAATTTTGTCAGCGCCGATTGTGTTTAAGTGCAGCCCAAGGTCTTTAGGCACTGCACCCAGTGTGCCGATCACCACTGGGACCACCTTTACTGGCTTGTGCCAGAGTCTTTGCAGTTTGATTTTTAAATCCTCATATCATGTCAGCTTTTCCAGTTGTTTCTCTTCAATCCTGCTGTCACCTGGGATTGCGACATCGACGATCCATACTTTGTTTTTAACACGATTGTGAGGTCAGGAGTATTATGCTCCAAAACTCTGTCTGTCTGAATGCGGAGGTCTCAGAGGAGTTTGGCGTGTTCATTCTCTGTAACTTTTTCCGGCTTGTGATCCCACCAGTTCTTTGTCACAGGCAGATGGTATTTGTGGCACAAGTTCAAGTGAATCATCTGAGCAACGGTGCTATGCCTCTGCTTATAGTCTGTCTGCGCAATCTTCTTGCAGCAGCTGAGGATGTGATCTATTGTTTCATCTACTTCCTTGCAGAGTCTACATTTGGGATCTGTCGTCGACCTTTCAATTCTGGCTTTGATGGCATTGGTTCGAATGGCTTGTTCTTGGGCTGCCAGAATCAGGTCCTCCTTTGTCTCCTTTTTCAGAGTTCCATTTGTGAGCCACAGCCATGTTTTTTCTTTGTCAATTTGCCTCTCAATTTTTCCCAAGAATAGTCCATGGAGAGCCTTCTTTTGCCAGTTTTCTCTTCTGCTCTAGATTGTGTTTTTACGGTATCCGCTCTTTGTCTTTTGCACTTGAAGCCGTTTACTACTATTTACTTCCCTCAATGTTGGTTCTTGACTGCCTTTCACATAATCTGCCAGTGCATGTTTCTCTTCTTCTACCGTTTGTTTCACTTGCAGAAGCCTTCTGGGCAGGTAAAGTCTGTCGACATCACTACGTGGGTGTAATGCGTGGTGGATTGTCATCGGTTTTCTTGTTTTTCTGTCCAGATCATCCAGCTCTACTTGTGTCCAGTTCACAATTCCAGCAGTGTATGTAATGACAGGGATGGCCCAGGTGTTGAGAGCCTTGATCGTATTTCCGCCATTTAATTTGCTCTTCAAAACCCTTTCTGATTCTTTTGATATGGTTCCATATCGTGGTTCCAAAGAACCACATTTGAAAAATGTGGTTCTTTGCTGACCACATTTTTCACTTGCCCATGCTTGATATTGTCCAACTGTAGTATGCCCAGATATTTATAGGCTTCAGGCTGATTGCACTTTATGGTTTGTCCGTTTAGCATCTCTATGCCCTCGCTTTGTGTAATTTTCCCTTTCTTTAATGCCACTGTGGCACATTTGTCTAGGCCGAACTCCATACTGATGTCAGTGCTAAAGATTCTGACTGTGTTGGTCAGTGACTCGATTTCAGTTTCCAACTTTCCGTAAAGCTTTAGATCATCCATGTACAGCAAGTGAGAGATTTTTGGTGATTTTTGATGATGATGATTATTATACTAGCCGTCCCCTGCCACGCGTTGCATGGGGGTTCTGTGTGGGAGGTTTGGCCCAATTCTATTGTTGGTGGGGTTCAGAATGCTCTGTGATTGTAGGTGAACTATAAATCCCAGCAACTACAACTCCCAAATGTCAAGATTCTATTTTCCCCAAACTCCACCAGTGTTCACATTTGGGCATATTGAGTATTCATGTAGAGTTTGGTCCAGATCCATCATTCTTTGAGTCCACAGTGATCTCTGGATGTAGGTGAACTACAACTCCCAAACTCAACATCAATACCCACCAACCCTTCTAGTGTTTTCTGTTGGTCATGAGAGTCCTGTGTGCCACGTTTGGTTCAATTTCATCATTGGTGGAGTTCAGATGCTCTTTGATTGTAAGTGAACTATAAATTCCAGCAACTACAACTCCCAAATGACACAATCATTTTTTTAGTGAAGGACATAAATTGGGTTGTTAGGCGTCTTGTGTCCAAATTTGGTGTCAATTCGTCCAGTGGTTTTTGAGTTCTGTTAATCCCACAAACGAACATTACATTTTTATTTATATAGATTTGCCACCCACCTCTCCTCACAGTTTGAGGTGGGATACAACACAGCTAAATACATAACCATAAAATACATCCCATAAATACATATATTAAAGTATGTAGTACAGGCAGTCCCCAAGTTACTAACACCCAAGTTACAAATGACCCATAGTTAAAATGGGAGTGAGACAACAGGAAGTGAGAGAAATCTACCCCTAGGAAAGGAAATTCACCCCTGAAAACTATTATTATGGGGGGAAAGGTGTATCAGCTGAAGCTTTCTCGCCAATCATTGTTTCCACAATATATTTTTTCAAAATCCAATTATCACAGGGAGAGAAAGTGAGGGGGAATCTTTTAAACAGGGACACAGACAGCAAAGCAAATGCCACATGAGTGTTAACTCTTTTCTATGCTAAATATATACATATTTTGGGTGGAGTTACACTGTACAAGGATTGAAATGCAATACTTCCTTGATCATAAAAAATTCCCCTACAAATGTGAATTCAGTGAGGTTGCATGGATCCAATGGTAAACACATCAAACAGAATAATGACAGTTACTTGATTTTGCGTTAGGATGATTCACAGACAGGAGTACATCTCTTTTGTTTACTTGGAACTAGCAGCAGCGAATATGTTCAACCTTAGCATTTGCTTGGAGAGTTTTTGTAGTGCGCCTTCATGTCCAGCTTTTCTTTCCTTGGCGGAATCAGCAACTGTTATTCCACTCAGAAAAATGCCTCAGAGTTTTACTTGCAGTAAACATTAAAGTACAAGAAAGATCCATCTGTGGTTCCAAGTTGTAAGTTTTAATCTATCCTCCAATTTTCCCTGCCTTTTAAGTCCAACTATAATTTCTTGCTTTGAAATGCAGAAAGACACACAAGAGTTTACAATCTCTGTTTTGTGTCAACAAACCTGCAATATCTTTGAATGAACATTTTGAATAGAGGATATGGGGTAACTATTTTAACAGTATATGCAGGGGAAACTGCTTCAAGCCAATGCAAGATATGTATGGGCACGCCTTACCATCCATCTTGCCGTTTTGTAACCATCAGAAATATCTGTTTTATTCAGCAGCAGGTTCTGGAAAATTTCCTGAATCAAGCTGGACCTAGAGATTTTTAGAGAGAAGATATCTCTAGGCTCTCCAACGCAAGTCTATGTTACAAAATAAATGAAAATATTGTGTATGAAACAAAGTTTGTGTACCTCAGAAAACAAATGCACCACTATTTCAGCCCTCTTTATGTGGAGCTTTTTGGGTTTGGAAATTCTGGGATCTGGGGTCATGCAAGGAAGGGCCTTTTCTCTGTGGCTAGAACTTTCTGAGCATAGAAAACTAGGAATGTCAAGGAGCAGAACTACACTGCAGAACAAATGTAGTTTGACACTACTTGAACTGCCCTGGCTCATTGCAATGGAAAGATGGGGGTTGTAGTTTAGTGGGCGCAGAAGGCTAAAGACCTTGTAAATCTACATCGCCCAGGATTCCGTTGAACTGAGCCATTACATTAATGTTTTTATTAATATTGTGTTTCTATGGTCCAGCCGGGGGTGCTGTGAAGCGTTTGGTTTTAATGGGTTTGAGCGTTGATTTTTCATAGTTTCAGTGTTGAATTCTACTGCAATGTTTGCATGTTTCCTATGTTTTAAATGTCTGAGTTACAAATGGCTCATAGTTAAGAACAAGGGTGAGACAACGGGAAGTGAGAGACATCTACCCCTTGGAAAGAAAGGAAAATTCACTCCTGAAAGAGTAGTTATCATAAGGGAAAGGGGTCTCCACGGAATCTTTCTCACTAATCCTTGTTTCAATAATGAGCCACATTTTTCAAAATCCAATTCTCATCGGGACTGAAAGTGAGGTGAAATCTTCTGAACAGGGGCACAGGAAGCAAAACAAACACCACCGAGGTGTTAACCCTTCCTTATGCTATCTAAAGCTCTGTGTGTGTGTGTGTGTGTGTGTGTGTGTGTGTATGGCCGGAGTTACACTTAAAAATGTACCTGTTCTGACTTAGATACAATTTCAACCTAAGAACAAACCTACAGAACCCATCTTGTTTGTAACTTGGGGACAGCCTGCACAAGGATTAAAATGCAATACTTCCTTGGTCATCCAAACTTTCCCCAACAAATGTGAATCCAGTGAGAAGTTGCACAGATCTAATGAGAAGTCTATGCTACCCCACTGGTAAACACATCAAACAGAATAATGACAGTTGCTTGATTTTGCATTGGAATGATTCACAGATAGGAGTACATCTTTTTTGTTTATTTGGAACCAGCAGCAGCGAATATGTTCAACCTTAGCATTTGCTTGGAGAGTTGTTTTTGTTGTTTGCCTTCATGTCCAACTTTTCTTTCCTTGGCGCAATCAGCAGCTGTTATTCCACTCAGAAAAATGCCTCACAGTTTTTTTTTACTTGCAGTAAACATTAAAGTACAAAAAGGGTCCATCTGTGGTTCCAAGTTGTAAGTCTTAATCTATCCTCCAAATTTTCCTGCTTTTAAGCCCAATTGTAACTTCTCACTTTGAAACGCAGAAAGATTATACAAGAGTTTACAATCTCTGTTTTGTGTCAGCAAATCTGTGATATCTTTGAATGAACATTTTGAATAGAGGCTATAGGATAACTATTTCAACAGTATATGCAGGGGAAACTGCTTAAAGCCAATGCAATTTGTGAGCTGCTCAGAGTCCCCCTCGGGGTGAGATAGAGCAGGATAGTAAATAAATAAATATGGGCACACCTTCCCATCTATCTTGTCTTTTTGTAACCATCAGAAATGGCTGTTTTATTCAGCAACAGGTTCTGGAAAATTTTCTGAATCGAGCGGCAGTGGCATTCCGGAACCTTTTCCTATCTGTCGAGGATCATTTTGAGCTGTGTCTGGCGAAATGCAGGACCTCATCCCAGGTGAGAAGAGAGGGACCTTTGGTGGCAGGAAGCAGACAAATAGGTCTCTGGTTAACATATCACGGTTAGATATTAGTAACATATAGCCATCTACTGCATGTAGTTTCCCTGCCTCTTTTGTGACTACTGCCAAATCGTTTGCCCAGCAAACATGCTTCCAAAGGCAGTTATAGCTTTCTTATCCATGTTAATGTGCTTCCAAAATTTGGCAGTATGGTCACAACTTCCAACAGTATGTAGCCTGCAGTGAGTGCGGGAGGTTTTTGGGAACTTCTCTTTCCCTGTTGTAAGTGCTAAGAATATTTCCATGGGTTTGAATATGGGAGAATCCTTGGTACCAGAGTCACAGCTGGCAGTACTTACCTAAGTAAGGAGGATTTGTACATATAAGATAGGCTTTCTGGTTGGGAAGCTACTGAAGCATGTGATGAAGAACTGCTCCACCTAGTGGTGTGTCCAGGTTTTGGACTTCAGCTCCCAGAATTCCTGGCCATCAGGCAAGCTGGCTAGGGCTTCTGGGAATTGGAGGGCCACAGATTGGATACCACTTATTTAAATCGAAAGGGAGAAAATAAAGGGGAGGATATTGAGATAATGAAAAAAATTACCAGAAATTTTAATTTTAGTCACATGATTACACAAGAATGGACAATTTCAACAGAAAGGAGGAAACCATGAAAATGAACACCATCTGGCTACCAGTATTAAAAAAAACTGTAAACTCAGGACAGTAAATAAAGAACAACACTAAAAAAACAGGGTATTCCAGATAGGAAACAATCAGGGCCAGCTAACACCTCCCAACAAAGGATTCCCCCAGGCAGGAAGCAGCCAGGTTTTGAAGCTGCAAGGCTACTCAGTGCTAATCAAGCTGGCCGATTGCAACATTCACACTTGCCTCCAACAGCCAAGAGTTCTTTCTCCCACTCTGGACAGTATTCCACAGATATATAAACCCTACTTGCCTAGTTTCCAACAGACCTTACAACCTCTGAGGATGCCTGGCATAGAGGTGGGCGAAATGTCAGGAGAGAATGCCATACAGCCCGGAAAACTCACAGCAACCCAGTGATTCCGGGCATGAAAGCCTTCAACAACACAGTAGTTACATTGTTTCTCATGGTTATGTATTAATTTTAAATATATTGGTTTGTCTTTAGCAGAAGCTGAAATGCAATTAAGTAGAAATAAGACATGTACCACTAATACCGTATTTCTTCAGTTGTAAAACTCATCCTAATTTTAGTACCACCATCATCAAAAATGCATGCGATTCTAAGGTGTACCCCAGTTTAGATATTTTTCTATAGGGAAAAAGTGAGTCTTAGAATTGAAGAAATATAGTAGTTTGGTAGTTGTATTTGCTTGAGGAATAAAGTTGGTTATGTTTTTTTTAAAAAAAGTGGGGGGAGTAGTCTTTTTCTTAAACATGAAAACTGTTTCATTTTGTCTGCATCTCCCTTGTTGCCCTTAACTTAGTATGAAAGGCTTGTGCTCTACTATTGAGCCATGCTGTAGTTTCCCGTGTGCTTGGCCTTCCCTACAATATTTCCTCTTTCTCTCCTGTCCAGAGCGTCCAGCACGAAAACACCTATCGGAACCCAATTGCCAAATATTGCTATGGGGAGTACCCTCCTGATCTCTTGTCTGTGTGAACCAGTTGAGCAAACTGGGACCAGCATGAGAGAACTGGACTGGAGTCAGCAGCAAAAGGAAGAGCAACGTTGCAGCTACTTAGACTAGTGCATTTGCTTGAACTTGCTTTGTACTTTCACCTCATGGAAGAGCTTTCCCTGGACAGTTGACTTGTTATCATCTCCCTTCTGTTGTAAAACGGAACCAAGATACCAGATATCTCCCAACCATTGGGCACAAACTTTGCATCCCAGATCTGGTCAGTCAAGCTCCATGTTAAAAGACAGGTGTAGAAGTTACACATATATATCTGTGGCTCATGGCCTATTTTGGACTGGTGGACAAATGAAGCTTAGAAGAAAGACTGTAGACGCCCCACAGAGTGGGAGAAGAATGCTCTGAAGACATTAGTCTTTTGTAAATATTATTTATTGGAATCAAGCAGACAGTATTGGCTCTAGATGTATTTGATGTAGTTCCTGAAGCTGGTATCTGAAGAGTGTCAGCATTGGTGTAAGTAAACAGAGAAAGCATTTATTTGAGACTAGCGGTCCCCTGCCACGCGTTGCTGTGGCCCACATGGGGGTTCTGGGTGGGAGGTTTGGCCCAATTCTATCGTTGGTGGGGTTCAGAATGCTCTGTGATTGTAGGTGAACTATAAATCCCAGCAACTACAACTCCCAAATGTCAAGATTCTATTTCCCCCAAACTCCACCAGTGTTCACATTTGGGCATATTGAGTATTCATGTAGAGTTTGGTCCAGATCCATCATTGTTTGAGTGCACACTGATCTCTGGATGTAGGTGAACTACAACTCCAAAACCAAAGGACACTGCCCACCAAACCCTTCCAGTATTTTCTGTTGGTCATGGGAAAACTGTGTCCCAAGTTTGGTTCAATTCCATCATTGGCGGGGTTCAAAATGCTCTTTGATTGTAGGTGAACTATAAATCCCAGCAACGACAACTCCGAAATGACAAAATCATTTTTTTTGAGTGAAGCACATACATTGGGTTGTTAGGTGTCTTGTGTCCAAATTTGGTGTCAATTCGTCCATTGGTTTTTGAGTTATGTTAATCCCACAAACGAACATTTCATTTTTATTTATATAGATTGGTTTTCAGGCTTGTTCATTCAACAATATGTGTGCCCTAGCCTTGATTTGATTGCCAATGTTGCTGTGCAGGAAAGGAGGTCTTTCTACAAATCAGGACATCATAATTGGTTTTTATGGTTTTGGCTGGGGATGGGCAAAGTATTTCATCAAAAAGTCTTCCCTGTAAATGCATTCTGTAAAATATTTATTGCGATATTTTTGCTGTTTCATGGTTTTTTGCCCCAAAATGGAGGACACAGGCCCGCCTTTCCAGCGTCATCTGTGCGGCCAATGACAATCGAGAAGCTGGGAAGGCCGAGCGCTGCCCCCTTTTGTGCCTTAGCCAATAGGAAGACCCTGAGCAGCTGCTTGAGACACTACTTGCTGACGTGAGATTGTAAATATATATAGTGTCCCTACTTCACTGATTTTCACTTTGCACGGGTGGTCCTGGAACGTAACACCCGCAATTAAGTGAGGGAACACCGTACATGAAAAAAAGCTGATGCTTGTGGTCATTCAGTGGTGCTGCTTGGTCCCCCAATCAGTGAAACAGTAAATAGCCCAGGATGCTTTGCTGCTCCCAGTGTCAACAGGAGATTTGGAAGAAAACAGTTGACATTTGATGATGCAGCTAATACACAAGGAAAAGGACACAAGCACAATGAAATGCCCAGAGTCTTTATTTTATGTGCAAAATGTCACAAATAGCAATCATTCCCTGTGTCCAATTCAGAGTAAACAACATTTCTGGCTCTTGTGTGCAAATGGGACAGGGCTAGGAGCAAACTGTTTATATCAGACCACGAGAACAAGCTAGTTTAAGCATCCTGAGGACTTCTTGAACTGTGATTTGGATACTGTTTCAGCCTAAGCCCTATTTTCCACCTCCTTACAGCAGGGAGAAATGGCATCTGATGCCCAAGACCTATGCAGATTGCCACTTGCAGCAGAACCAACCCAACTAAGGCTGTCTCTACACTGCCATATAATCCAGTTTCAGAATGCAAATTAAATTCATTGAACTGGATTATATGCGTCTACACTGCCACATAAGCCGGTTCAATGCAGTTAAACTGCATTCTGAAACTGCAGTATAGGACTGTAAATCCAGCTTAAGACCATAGTCAAGAAGGTTACAAAAGGAGAAGGATTGAATGTGTCAAATCAAATATAGGTCAATTCTAGTATCCAAGGTACATTGTCCACAGCTGGGGAAATATACAAATGTGAGAGGCAATTTGCCTTGACATAAGTACACTTTGGAGGCCCAGCTTGGCATTCCCTCAGACCAAATCCCCAACAAGAAACTTTCACAGAAAGTGCTCAATTATTATTTACAGAATGCCCCAATCTATTTTCCCTTTAAGATCAGGAAGTGCATCCAGCTGAACTGAGGCATCAAAATTAGAAGCAAATCAGAAGAGAGCCCTGCAGGACGGCAATACAGTGATCATTTCAAAAATTCCTTTCCCATACACCCATATTAGAAAGTCAAGGCCAGCCGGGCAGTTCCTGAGAGATGCATCCCATTCATTGTCTCCCTGTGAAATCAGACAGTGTTCACTGCAGTATTTTGGAGCTGTCATCTGTCACCATGGAAGTCTCGACTATCTGACTGGGATCCGTAGGACGCATTGGCTTCCTTTTAGAGAAAAATGGGAGGAAAGTCAGTGCGAAGGAGATTGCAAAAGGAGAGGTCTAAAGTTTTCTCTCATTCTGGCCAACATTGTCCTAGCTACAATTTGCTCAAATAATCAAGTTCACAAGGTTACAAACAATGTTGTTAATATTCCTTAAGCTCTCCCAACATATCTAGACTTTTCAGGTTTTCTTTGGGGGAGAAACATTCTATGTCTAACCCTGCAGCTACCTTTTTGTTGTTTGAGAAAATAAAAATAAGCCCATCCAGAAAACACAACCAAAAGGCAATGTTTGCTGAAAATAAAATTAAGGCTGACTTTCACAGCAACAGTAAAAAAAAACAAAAAAAAAAACACCAGGATACGAGACCACTGCAAAACTTACTAATTCATAGTCTTCAACATATTTGTATTTTTTCTCTCTGTAATAATACCGTTTCTTCATGAAGTACAGGACAATGATATCGCACAGGACAGTTGCCTAAGGATAAGGAGGCAGGAATGGTTACTAAATGGCTCCACTTTTTTTAGCCCAGATTATAAAAAATGCCAAACACAGAAGGAAAAGTGCTTACCACACCAAAAAGGGCTAAACCAGATCCGATATTAATCATTGTAGGAATTATATCAAATTTTCCTGCCTAAAAGAAACACAGATATACTCGGGTTATCCACATGTTCCATTAGCAGTTTTCAACACATATCTAAGAAAGTGAGAATGCTTCTGTGACTCTCCATATTGCTTCTTCCATAGGGCAGCAGAACCACATAATAAGCAATGATACAGAGGGAAGACAAAGAGATGGTCAAGAAGCAGGTTCACAGTACTATGAGAAGGGATAAAGAGAGAAGATGGAAATAAAATGGAAGAGATTCTTGTCATCCTTTCCCCCCAGGATTGGGACCCAGAATGGCTCACAACATAAAAAACGGGTTTCAACCAGGACCTTATTGAAACCAGGAAATAAGCTTAGGTCTGTGCCCTACCCCTAAGATATGGGGCTTCCCAAATCAAAGAGGTGCAATGCCTGATCCACACAGCGCATATTCGGAAGCCGTTGCCAGACTGAATCCATGTGTACTAAGGATGTGCAATCCATAACAAAATGTTTCTTTATAAACTATGTTTTATTTTTTTAAAACCTACAAGAGCTATCTACTTGAATTTTATATATAACGCACAAGCTAACCAGGGCATTTCCAGAAGTTTCAGAAAGATTCACACATCTACAGATTTTTGGATAAAAGTTTGGATAAAAACAATTTATCCCCTTGAATGCCTGCCTATCTTTATGACACACAACCACGTAACTTCAACTTAGCACAGATTTATGCTATTACTTACTTACTTTAGTCCTTTTTGCAGATTTAATACTTTTATTATTATTAGACTGACTCTAAACGGCTGGCTGCTGCAGCCCTCATTGGGTCCTTCAGATGGTGAGCACTGCATTCTGGGAAATGTAATTTAGGGTAGGGCCTTTTACATTCTCTGCCACAGGGGGGCTCACCTTCCCAAACTACATTTCTCAGAATGCTGAGTTCTCAGTCTCTGGCCCATTAACTTTAGTCCCACCCCAGTGCCTTCCTTATGGTCATCGGGCTAAAGGAAAACAGGACTGGTTTTTAAAGCACTTTACGTTCTCTTGGCTTTACCAAAGTTGCTTAATGCTTATACTGAAAATTAAACTGACCTTGGGAGGCATTCGAATGTTACAGAATCTTAACAAAAATGATTGGTGAGTGTTTTGATTTCTAAATCCCCCCCCCCACACACACACACACACCTTTCCTGCATGTTTCTAATATCGATTCATATGCACAAATTTAACAAACTTGACACGAAATACAAATTAAAAACAAAATTATGCACAAGTCTAATGTGTACCTTCCCAAATACCATGATGTCAAAGCGGATGCCGTAAGCCTTGATGAGCGTCCGGGAGTCTACATCATCAGGGGATTTGTAATATTTTGCAAATCTGAAAAATTGAAAGAAAAGGGCCAGCAATCGCTCAGCAGCAAAACTCGCTGCCATCAGAAGTTATTGGCAAAGCTACGCCAACACTCAAACCAGTACAGCATATTTGGTAATAAAAATGATTTCTTCAGAGGAGGTTTTCCATAGCTTTTCTACCGGGAGAGAACACAACTTGCCCAAGGTCACTGAGTAGATCTTTTTACATACTCAAACCATTACACCACATTGGTTGTGGATTTAAGGCCTGCCAAATCTGAAAAATGCTGGCTAGATAAAGCTGCTTCCAAATAGCACCAACTATTGCTGAGACTCAACACAGGTGGCTGTTCCCTAATGAATGGGCCACAGGTATAAGGGATTTGATATAATAATATATAATAAAATATAATAAAATAATAATAATAATATCACACAGTCCTAAACGCTTGGAAAGTGTTCGACTTGCAATTTTGTGATACGAAATCCAGCATATACCTCTCATTGCCTGTGTCATACTGTGTTTTTGTGTCAGTAAAATAAAATAATAATAATAAATAATTTAACTGTATTCTTCCCTGTCTCCCCGAGGGGACTCAGGGCAGATTCCATCATACACAATGCAAAGGCAAACATTCAATGCCTACAAAAAACCAAACACAGTTAGAGGTAAAGGCTTCCCCTTTCAGCTCTGGGGAGTGGTGCTCATCTCCGTTCTTAAGCTGAAGAGCCCGTGTTGTCCGTAGACATCTCCTGGTCATGTGGCCGGCATGACTGCATGGAGCGCCATTTACCTTCCCGCTGAAGTGGTAACTATTGATCTACTCACATTTGCATGTTTTCAAACTGCTACGTTGGCAGAAGTTGGGGCTAACAGTGGGAGCTCACCCTGTCCTGTGGATTTGAACAGCCAACCTTCCGGTCAGCAAGTTCAGCAGCTCAGCAGTCTAACCCGTTGTGTCACTGCAGCCTTCCCCAAAGAAGACCAGTAGATTGATAATTATTGTGACATGCAATATGTTATTGTGAGCTATATAGCAGACCTTTGGCAATTGGTTTGTTTCACAGCATAAAGGAATAGGGTTTACATGGGTTTTAACTGGTATGTTTTAATTATGTTGCTATGCTAGTTTTATGCTAGTTGTCATGGGTAACGGGAGTTTATAATGTTTTACTGTCTTAAATTGTTTCTTATTTGTCGGGGTTCATGTTCGTATTTGTGTTTGTAATTGTCTTGATTTTACATGCTGTTGAGTCTCACCATGGGAGAAAAGCAGAATAGAAATAAATAAATTAAGAATAATAATTGGATCACCCTACCTGAAATTGTATCCAGGGGCAACAGTGTGGGCAGAATCCTTGTTGTCAATGCGCCGAAAGGTATATTTTGGCACACAACGTGAAGCAGGCTTGTCCAGATCACAGTCCCAGTTAATCTGCAGACCCATCACTCCACCCTGGAGAAACGGGAAGCAGCACCTTTTATTCAACCAGCAATGGTATTGTACACAACACTATTTCTATACCAAGTGTCTTCTGCAACTTGTGCTAAATTTTAACATTCATAGAATTCAAACACAATGAATCCCTGATAGCCCAAATCCAAAGAAATCTCAGAAAACTCAACTGAAGCATATATGCCCACGAGTACATATTCAAACTCTGGGATCAGTACAGCTTATTTCAAATGCTCAAACCATGGTGACATACGTGCTGTACAACAGCCCTGTAAAGATGATAAGCTGGGAAATGGAGCCCCCAGTTACCACTATCACAGAGAGCATTTTCAAAAGACAATTGCATTAATTTGAGGGTGATTAAAACTTCAGGCTACCCACTTTGGATTTGGTGGTGCAGCCAAATTGATTTGTATGGGAAGTCTTTTTCAAATGCAAGGGGCAATACAACTGAAAGTAAAAGTAGCTGTTCCAGAGGAAGCTTTAATCCCGAGGAGATTGTTTCCCAAACAGAGAAAGTTAAATATTTGCTGCTCCTCTCCTGAGTGTTTGTTTGTATAAACTGTTCCCCGGCTGCCCTTGTTCAAATACACTGAGGATTAGAGGGAAAGAGTAGAAAGAAAGAGTAAACTGAAAAGGCAGGCACTCTCCCACAGAGCTGCCATCACAGGCCGTAGGGGAAGGAAACTCAGAACCAGCTCCAGTGGTAGCTGCAGTGCTCATATGGACTTGGCATGGCTCTTCTGGTGGACTGAGCAATCCATTTCGCTAGCTGTAACAGAAGATCCAGCCAATATTTTCTCTTTAGACTACATTTTGATTGCATTGCTTTAGTTGGAGCGCTCTGTTGTTACTTTCAGTCAGGCAGCTGTGTTTTCCAACTCATGGACTTTATTTTATGCCTCTAGATACAGATACAGATACTGAAAACTGCTTAAACAAATCCTGTTTTGGAGAAGAAACGGGGAAATGTATTTCAGGATGAATAATATATAAACACAGAATGGCTGACAACCTGGTAGTGAGTTACACAGATATATACTCAATTTACATTATAACTGAGCATAAGATCATTTAATACCATTTTAACTACTGGGTTTTAACTTTGCTTTTGACAGGGTTTCTTAATACCTAAATATATATGTTCCTATTCCAACGTTTGTTCATTTTTTGGTGCTGCTCATCAACCATAATAAATAAATATATATGTATATATACCATTTTATATCGTTAACACACTGTTTTGTGTTACGCAATGACCAAACCTCCCTGTAAACCCATGTTTTGCATGCTGTCCAACTCAGTCATATAGTGGCTGAGACATGCCTGGCTATGTCCCTGAGACCAGGCAAACAGCAATGACATCATCCTCTAGGACAGCGGTGTCAAATTTGTGGCCTCCCAGATGTTTTAGACTTCAGCTCCCAGAATTCCTGGCCATTGGATAAGCTGACAAGGGCCTCTGGGAGTTTGAGGACCACAAGTTTAAAACATCTGCTCTAGGACCTCCAGAAGATCACCAGGAGGTCCCAGTGGTTGCCCTCACTGTTGGGCACCTGGCTATAAGGATGTCTCAGATGTTCCCCGATGTCCCTCACTCTCCAGCAGCCACAATATGACCATGACAGGAGCAGCCAATATCAGAGTACAGGAAGAGCAGAGTGGAGATGCCACATAGTCCTGCCTTGGCCAGTACAGTTCATTTTAAAAGCCTTGACCACTGCTCCCTCCTTTCAACCATATTATCTCAGCATGGAGTCAAACCAACCTCGACGGCCATCTCCTGGAAATCCTGCCCCGCTGCTTCCACCATGTCGCGGAGACGGAAGATTGGGCAAGCGGGATCCGTTTTGGCATTATATTTGCAGTTTTTGAGCTGTGCTTTGCTGGTGCTAGGGAGAATGTTTCGCCTGGAAAAAGAATGAATGAAATGGCAGGGCTGAGATGACTGAATGTCACAAAAATTTAATGTGTAGATTTGATAAATGTGGATTTAATGTAATGATGTATGGGAATGAATGGAAGGATGTGTGGATGGAGTTAATAATTTTGGAAGCACCAGTAAAATATTAAGGACTTCAATGACTAACTACTTGCTTGCTGGACTGTAATTAAAAGTTGCTAATAAGAACTGAAAAGTAAACTCTGATAAGAACTGTGACAATGGTTCTTTCAAGTTAAGGAAATGTTTGCAACATTCCTTATGTTAAGAAGGAAGTCAACACAAGCCTTGTGTTTGCTAACACCAATCAAGAAGAGTCAACATCTGGCCAGGAAACTGAGTTGGAGTCAACATATTCCAGGATGGAAGACGTCTATCATGAATTTACAACTTTGGGACTACATCAGCAGAATATTCCTATAAAAGACTCAGTCCAATAATGCTCAAAGTGTGATAGAGCTGAGGAGTCTGGTTCACCTGCTATGCTCTGCTCCATGGGAAGGAGAGAGATGGTGTTTTCTGAGAGTGGCAGATTTGCAAGGGAGCAGTCTGGTCACTTTGGGGCTTCTTTCTCAAAGGAAGAGGAAGAAGTGCGTTTTTGGAGTCTTCGATTTTGTGCAGGGAGTCAGGTTCTGCTGTATGGAAAACAGAGATCTGGTCCTTGGCATTGTTTTTAGGGAAAGAAGTTTTGGCATTTCGGCGTTTTGAAGTTCTGGCATTATGGAAGTTTTGGAACTATGCGTTGGCAGGCTGCAGGAAAACAGGGTCTGGCCTAACAGATGCTTCTCCAAGGAGGAAGAAAAGGATATGGTAATATTTGGATGCATAGTGATGGATGCATGCACATGTGGTGTGAATGTTGAGTGAAAATGTAATCCCCCTTTGTCTGTTAGTCCAATGTAACTATAAGTTGTTGTACATCCAGTGTAGTTCAGTAGAATCTACATTGTCCTATCTCCCAGTGTTTTAAAATGTTTTAAAATTCTATCTTTGAATTTGACCCTGCCCAGTGTAATCTTTTGTGTTTAATGTTTGATTTTAGATTGCTGTGTTCGTTATTATATTGGTTTTGCATTTTATGGATTTTATTTTATGGTTTTGTTATGCTTTTGTGTTATATTGTGTGTACTGTACCGATGGGCGTGGCCTCATGTAAGCCGCACCGAGTCCCCCTGGGGGAGATGGAGCGGGGTATAAATAAAGTTTTATTATTATTTTTTATTATTAGAATCTGTATGTCTGTATGTCCAATGTCATTCTTTGTGTAAAAGTTCTGATATACTCTCTCACACTGGAAATTGCAATAAAAGAACCTATGCTTTAAAGTTATTGAAAAATTATTCATGACAAATTATTCATCACAACTCACCCCACCTTCAGGCCGAGACAGAAGTCTCCGACGGCCCTTTTAGTCTGTGAGCACTTTTTTCCAGAAAAAATAAAGACTGTCAGGGATTTCCCACCACCTCAAAGAAGATCACAGCTCAGGGAAAATATACGTACTTTGTGAAGTTGAACTTGGGATACCAGATGTTGTTCTTTACTAGAAGAGTAAAGTTCTCAGCATCCTTGAGGAAAGCGGGTCTAAAGACGCAAGAAAAGGAAAGAAGACTGTAGGGGAAATATTTGATCTCACCAAGTGCTTTAGTGACCAAAACCCCGACAGGTCGCCTTTCAGGTCTCTTCATGGTAGAACACATGTTCTTCACAGGTTCCGTCATAAACGCTATTCAATATGTGAGCAGATGCATCATCATCACTCTTCAGATGCCCTGTGTGGAAGCCTCACCTTTGGACTACAGCTCCCAGAATCCTGCATCCAGCATGGCTATGCTTGATAAGGAATTCTAGGAGTTGTAGTTAAAAAGTATCTGGTGAGCAGTGATCTGAAGAGAAGAGTATTTCTTATGTAGGGAGGCTCTCCTCTTCAGGAGATCATTCTCCATGCTGGGAAAGCAATGACAGAGAGGCCATGGCTAGTGCACACTCCTCCTTCTCCAGTGAGCATTATAACATGAGACCAGAACCACCAAAATATAGCTTAATGTGTCTAGAAAGTCATTCCAGCTCTCTGATGGATGCCTCCCTGCTCTCTACTAGACTCTGGACTTGTTTCTATGGCAATCTCTCCCACAATTTCTACCTCCCCAAGGCACTCACTTTGGTACCTTCTCATCGTTCTCCACCGGACACCAGGCAAACACCTCGCACGTTTTGATTGTGGTGTCCTTGGGATAAGGAACGCATCTCCCAGTCTGAACACCTGAAGGAATATGAAAAGGCCATTATCAAGAGTGAGTAAGAATAGCAAAAACACTGGGTCTCAGCCCCAGGTATAGATCAAGCCTCAGACAAAACCTTATCTGGGTTGTGGCGCAGATGGTTGGGAGTCAGCTGCATTAAAATCACTACTGACCAAAAGGTCATGAGTTCGAAGCCAGCCTGGGTCAGAGTAAGCTCCCAACCATTTGTCTAGTTTGCTGTCTGTCTTTGCAGCCTCAAAGACAGTTGCATCTGTCAAGTAGGAAATTTAGGTACCGCTTATGCGGGGAGGCTAATTTAGCTAATTTACGACACCATAAAAATCTCCAGCAGCATGCAAGAGAATGAGGAAGTACTCCATCAATGTCACAAGTGGACAATGAAGCGACAGCTCCCCTAGTGGCCGGAATTTGAGCATAGCCTCATGAAGATGGAAAGTTAAATAGCCTCTGTGTGTCTGTCTATATATGTTGTGTGTCTATGGCATTGAATGTTTGCCATGTATATGTGCATTGTGATGCGCCCTGAGTCCCCTGTGGGATGAAAAAGGTGGAATATAAATACTGTAAATAAATAAATAATAAATAAATTATCCCTCTAAGGGAGACCGAAATTGTTCATACGTTTCAGAAATTCAGATTACAGACACGAAAATCATTTGGTTTCAGAAAAGGGATGCCATATTTTTTTACTTTACTCCAGGCAGCAACGTATTTTGCGCTGATGGAAGGCTGAGGCTGAGAGAGACAGAGAGGTTTATCTAAAATGCTAACTGATGTAAAACACAAGTCCTATTGAATAATGCATCCACACATACCATTACTGTGAGTGCCGATGTATCCTTTTGTGCAATTCTTATCAGACTGGCAAATTGTTGTCTCATCTGGATGCTGGAATGGAAGAATCATAGAATCATAGAGTTGAAAGAGACCTGATGGGCCATCCAATCCAACCCCTTGCCAAGAAGCAGGAAAATTGCATTCAAAGCACCCCTGACAGATGGCCATCCAGCCTCTGTTTAAAAGCTTCCAAAGAAGGAGCCTCCACCATGCTCTGGGACAAAGAGTTCCACTGCTGAACAGCTCTCACAGCAAAGAGGCAAACTAAGAAGAAAACTTAGCAAACTAGTCTTTTTCTGGCTGCGACCAACAACTACAGAACATATTTGCATGGCAAAAAATTGTCAAAATTTGGCACCAAACTTAAGGGAACTTCTGTGCCAACAAAAATGATGACTGCCTTTCTTCAAAATACATATCCTATTATCCAAGAAAAAGTCAATTAAATTTGAAGTTGTGGTTCTTGTGAACTATGCATAGCATACCTCTGCACAATTTCCTTGTGTCTGATTCAATGTGATGATCAAATTTGTCATGATGAACACAGAATTCTCCTCCTAAAAATTGGGAAAAATAAAATGAGATTGTATGATGCTTTATTTATTATGTTTATAACCAGTTTCTGTAAAAGAGGATAGACAATCAGCCTGCATGAAGAGGTTCCTTCTTTTGGCAGGAAAGTACCATATATACTCAAAGAAAAGATGAGTCTTTCAGACCTTTTTTTGGAGTTAGTAGATGTCTTGTGGCCAAATCTGGCGGCAATTTGCCCAGTGGTTTTTGAGTTATGTTAATCCCACAAACAAACATTACATCTATATGTGTGTGTGTGTGTGCATATATAATTTTGTATGAATTTTCCCCTCACATGTATGCAAGTCTTTGCAAATCCTACATAGATATAATTAGTTATATATAGAGAGATGTCCATATAGAGATATATTAATATAGATATATAGGGCTTGCAAATATTACAGGGGGAAAATGCACATACAAATATATATAGAGAGAGACATGTCTAGATAGGTATGAATATAGATGTATGGGGCTTGCAAATATTGCAGGGGAAACACACACACATAGAGAGAAAAAGAAATGTCTAGATAGATATAAGCATAGATATATAGGGCTTGCAAAAATTGCAGGAGGGAAATGCACATATATAGAGAGAGGATTTAAAAACATTTCAGGGGGACATGCATATGTTAAATTAATATATATTATTATAGATCTATATCTAGCTCTGCATTGTTTATATAAGGCATTGAATGTTTGCCTGTTACTATGTTGGAAGCCAGCCTGAGTCCCCATGGGGAGATAGGGCAGAATACAAATGAAATTTTATTATTATTGTTATTATTATTAAGTTATTGTTGATACCATATTGTTTCTATTGACCCTACTTTTCCACTTACAGAGTTAGTTTTTACTGTTTTTCTTTGAAATACAGTAAATATTCAAAAACATTTAACCTACTGAGCCTCAATTAATGTAATTTTATTGGTATCTATTTTATTTTGAAATTTACCAGTAGCTGCTGCATTTCCCACCCTCAGCTTATACTTGAGTCAATAAGTTTTCCTAGTTTTTTCTGGTAAAATTAGGTGCCTTGGCTTATATTTGGGACGGCTTATACTCGAGTATATACAGTAGGCAAATTGCACAAAAAGGTCAATTTGTGGGCTACCAAAAATTCTACCATCCACTACGAGCAAATCCATCCAGATTCAGGCAATTGATGAGCATTTGAGAAATGACAATGACCTTTGTAGGTCTGCAAAGCAGGAAGAACTGAGCAAGAAGAAGAGCAAACACATGAAGTTTTGTGGGAAGTGAGTCATAAGGCCGACATTGAGATAAGAGGCCAGAGACTTTCCCTTGTTTTATTCAATGTCGCCAAAACAGAAACTAACAGAAGAGACAGACAGAACAGTCTTGGTAAAGCAACAACGCTCTCTTCTCTCAGTACCACCACCATAGGAGGAAGAGCATTAACGCGAAGGAAGCCAGTTGCAGAAAAGATCAAGTGATCCTCAACTGCAGATCCACCCACATCCTGTTCCTGATGCTGAAGCAAGAGCAAACTAGGAGTAACTGAGCCAAAAGGACAGTTTAGCAAATAGATCCTGGGAACAAAAGAAAGATTCCCCCAAGGATTATCCTACTGTTTAAACGTATGTCACCAGACTGAGAAGTTGGGCACCAATGGAAGCCCTCCTAGACAAACACTAAACTTAAGCCCTTGGCTGAAAAGGGAAGCTTTTGTTTAAAACACACACACAATGTTCTAGTCCTCAAGGAGATCTGCTAGAAAGATGTCTTACACAAGGTTTTGCTTTCCCCTCTATTCTGGGACACCAGAATAAATAACAACAACAACAACAACAACTTTCCTTCCACCTGACCAATCTTTCTTCCCATTGGGTGAGCTCTGCACTTATAGAAAAGACAGGGGTATCTTATGCTTCTGGAAAGCCCAGTCCTTTTTCTCAAGGTTTCCCCTTGACATTAAGTCTAGTTGTGTCTGACTCTGAGAGGTGGCTTTCCTAATTTCTCCAGGCAGTGAATTCCAGAGTCGGGGAGCCACCGAGGAAAAAGCTCTCTCCCTTGTACTTACAAGGCAAGCTTGTGAAGCTGGCAGGGGCGAAAGAAGGGCCTCCCCAGATGATCGGAGGACCCGAGATGGTACATGGAGGGAGATACGGTCACAAAGGTAGGCGAGTCCCAAACCGTTTAGGTGATAACCTGAACCTTGAATTGGGACTGGAAAATAAACGGTAGCCTGTGGAGCTCCTTCAACAGGGTAGTTGACCGCTCCTTGTAAGTTGCCCCAGTTATTAGTTTGGCTGCCGAACGTTGGACAAGTTGTAATTTCCGGGCTATCTTCAAGGGTAGCCCCACGTAGAGAGCATTACAGTAATCCAGTCTAGAGGTAACGAAGGCATTGACTTTCCCTTTTATACATCTTCAAATGCAGGCAAACAAAGAAACATGCTTCTACATACGTAACATCGTCTCTACGTCACTTTAAGCATCATAGAAATATCAAATTATATCTTCCAACATGCAAGTGGAATATCTCGGTATTTTGGACACAGATACTTCAGCTTCCCTTTGTCCTGTCAGCTTGGCTTTCTAATACAGAAAGAACTTGATTTTTTTCTACATTTCAGTGTTTGCAATGTACATACAATATATGGATAAATATCTATATTTCCATATCTCCACATTAGCATAAGTTGGGCCTAACAGCGGGAGCTCACTCCGCTCCCCAGATTCGCACCACCCACCTTTGTGGGTGGTTCAGCAGCTCAGTGGTTTAACCCACTGTGCCACTGGGAGTTCCCAAAGACCAACACATAAATGGAGCATGCATGCAATGAAATATTACTGGTACCACAACAGTGGATAAGGAAACCAGGAATCCAAACATTGTGCTAAGAGAGACACTTTTTAACCCAGTTATATTTAGACTCAGTTTTCCAAAAGATGGCATTAGTGACCCTTCAGTACAGTCATGTATCCACAGATTCTGCATCCACAGATTCTTCCAGGGGCTGCTGTGGGAGAGTGGGCTTAATATATAGACTCCTCCTCACACAGACACCTTTTCACACAGACCAAGGAGTTCCCTCACTGAGGCAAAACTAAAATCTAACAGGCTTCTCCTCAGGGTGACGCCAGCCCTGGCCCACTAACTCTAACAGGCTTTGGCCTAGCTCTTTCGGTGTTTGATTCACACTTTTGTAATCAAAAATACCCGGTTAATATTTCTGACAGCCACTGTGGTGCAGCGAGTTAAACCTCTAAGCTGCAGAACTTGCTGACCAAAAAGGCCAGTGATTCAAATCTGCAGGATGGGGTGAGATCCCATTGTTAGTCCCAACTTCCGCCAACATAGCAGTTCGAAAACATGCAAATCTGAGTAGATCAATAGGTATCCCTTTAGCAGGAAAGTAAAACGGTGCTCCATGCATTCATGCTGACCACATGACCTAGGAGGTGTCTAGGGACAACGCCTGCTCTTCGGATTAGAAATGGAGATGAGCATCAACCCCCCGAGTTGGACAGGACTGGACTTAACGTCAAGGGGAAAAATCAACCCATGGATTCCACCATCGACGTCTTGAAAATATTTCAAAAAGCTAGCCGTGGTTTTGCCATTTTATATAAGGCACAGCATTTGACTATGCCATCTATATATATAAATCTGTTAGGTTGGTTCAACGGGACAGCAAAACTCCACAACCCCCCAATGAAACTGCACCAAAATTCCCATGCCCATAACACAACCCACAAGGTACAAACATATCTACTCAAAATGAAAAACAACACAACAACACACTCACAAAATGGCAAAACAACAAAACTCAAACCCCAACGAAACTTAACCAAAATTCCCATGCCCTAACACAACCCACAAGGTACAAACATATCTACTCAAAATGAAAAACAACACAACAACACACTCACAAAATGGCAAAACAACAAAACTCAAAAAACCCAGAAGAAAAACAACACAACAACACACTCACAAAACGGCAAAACAACTGAGCATGCGCATTGGCGCCCAGCCGCAAGTTCCCTGGCGCGCGCACACAGCCTTCCAGCCAACGTTCCCTCTGCGGAAGCCATGCCCACTCCAAGCCCCGCCGCGCCGCTTCCCGCACACACACACACAACCCCACGCTCCATCACTCCCCTGCCGCAATCTTACCTCCTTTTACTTCACGCCACCTCCAACCCCACCCCGCCCCTTCCCGCCCTGTCAAAATCCAGGAAAGACAGGAAGGAGAAAGAAGGAAGAAAGGGAAGGATAGGAAAGAAGGGGAAGGAAGGAGAGAGAAGGAAGGAAGAGAAAAGAAAGAAAAGGAAGGAAGAAAAAAGAAGGAAGGAAGGAAGGAAGGAAGGAAGGAAGGAAGGAAGAGGAGAAGAGAATGAGAGACAGAAGGAGGGAAAAAGGGGGAAGGAAGGAAGGAGAGAAGGAAAGAAAAAAGGGAATGAAAGAAGGAAAGAGGGAGTGAAGGAAGGGCGAAGATGTAGAGAAAGAGGGAGGAAGGAAAGAAGGAAAGAGAGAAGGAAGAAAAGAGACCAGAAAGAAAAAGGGGGAAGGAAGGAAAGAGATAGAGAAGGAAGAGGAGAAGGAAAGATGGGAGGGAAGGAAGGAAGGAAGGAAGGAGGGAAAGAAGGAGAGAAAGAGGGAAGGTTGGCCACAGCAACACGTGGCGGGTAAAGGTTGTTATCTATTATTATTATTATGCTATTATTCCTATGAGACCCTGGGGGAATGGGAGAGGTGTCAGGTCCCAGAGGCAATGCATTGCATTATTGTTATTGTTATGATGGTGGTGAAATAAAAGGAAATAAAAAGTGAAAGAAGGAAGCAAACAGGGAGGGAAGAAAGGCAAAGGAAGAAAGGGGGAGGAAATGAAGGAAAGAGAGAAGGATGAAACCAAGTAGTAGAAAGAAAGAAAGAGGTAGAGAAGGAAGAAAGGAGAGAAAGGGGGAGGAAAAGGGGGAAGGAATAGGTAGGTACCTCTCTTTCATAATAGTCCAGATATCTACCTCAACTTTGATAAGTTTTACTATAGGCCACAGCAACGCGTGGCAGGGCACAGCTAGTTATATATAATGGGACTGGAGCATCTGTCTATTTTGAACACAATTGAAGACCTCTCTCTTCCGGCAGGCTTACCCAGTCAATTTTAAACAGAGAATTTTAAGCTTATATTTCATTAGCATTGGCGCCAGTCTTTGTGTTGTGTATTTTAATATATTAATTTTAATAGTATAATTATATTTTATCTGTATGTTTTAACCATGCTGCACCTTGCCTCGAGGTTTAAGGAGAGTCAGGTAACAAATAAAATATCTATGATTGCTGTTGTTGTTATTATTCATAGGGAGTCCTGGAACCAAACCACAGCAAATACCAAGGGTCCACCAAGTATGCAAACCCTTTTTCCACACATATGCCATGATGGCACCCATTTCATGAGCACAAAGTGCCTCCATGTGCCTAATAATACATTGCTTGTATGTAAAAAGTGAATGAGAACTAGAATTAAACCTAGAACTATCTAAAAATTATTCATTTTTTAAAAAATTATTAATCGAATTTATATACCGCCACTCCCCAAAGGCTCGGAGCGGTTTACAACATACATATGCAATACATTACATTTAAAAACAAAGAAAAATTTCAATCAACCAGATTTAAATGCCAGCCTAAATAAATAAGTTTTACAAGCTCTACGAAAAGATAGTAAATCTCGGAGAGCTCATGTTTCCGCTGGCAAGGCATTCCACAGGTAAGGAGCCACCACCGTAAATGCTCTACGCCTACTAGACATCAGGTCAAAGGTCCTAAAATTGGGAACTTCAAGGAGATTCTGATCATCTGAACGAAGTGATCTCGGGGGTTGGTAGGGGGTGAGGCAGTCCCTCAGGTAGTCCGGCCCCAGGCCATATAAGGCCTTAAAGGTAAGAATCAGCACTTTGAAGGTGATCCGGTGGTCAGTTGCTGCAAGGTTGGAGCAATATGACACCTCTCTGGAACCCCTGCGAGAAGCCGGGCAGCAGCATTTTGCACTAGTTTAAGTTTCCGGATCACCAATAAAGGCAGGCCTATGTAGAGGGCGTTACAGTAGTCCAGCCTTGAGATGACCGTAGCCTGGATCACCGTGGCCAGGTCGTCCCTGGACAGATAGGGAGCCAGACGCCTAGCCTGACGCAGATGGAAAAATGCGACTCTGCTCGCGGCGGAGGCCTGGGCCTCCATCATCAGCAGAGAGTCTAAAATGACTCCCAGACTCTTTATCAAAGATGCCGGGCATAATGTCACGCCATCCAGGGTAGGCAACCGGATTACCCCTCCGTCCGGGCAACCCAACCAAAGGATCTCCGTCTTCGCTAGATTCACCCTCAACCTGCTGGCACGCAGCCATCCAGCAACGGCCTCAAGGCATTGATGGAAATTATCGGGTATGGAGTCCGGTCGGCCTTCCATCCTCAGAATGAGTTGAGTGTCGTCAGCATACTGTTAGTATTCAAGCCCAAAGCCTCGCACCAGCTGGACATATAGATGTTAAACAACAGGGGGAAAGGATAGCCCCCTGAGGGACCCCACATTCAAGAAGGGCCCTCTTAGAGACCGACCCTTCCCTCTCCACATGTTGGCCCCGCTTTTGAAGGGTAGAGGAAAGCCATTTAAGGGCCATCCCCCTAATTCCAGCCACGGCTAGGCGGTGAATCAAAAGGTCGTAATCGACTATAACAAATGCTGCCGTGAGGTCCAATAACACGAGCAGTGCTGATCCTCCTTGATCCATCTGGCAGCAGAGCTGTTCTGTAATGGAGACCAACACAGTCTCTGTCCCATGCCCCTTACGGAAGCCGGACTGGAAGGGGTCCGGCTTCCGTAAGATAGTTCTAGGTTTAATTCTGTTTTAATGTTTATAGTCTTTAGGTTTGGAATTGTATGTTGTATTATTTTTACCACTGCTAACCACTTTGAGTCTCTTTAAGAAAAAAAGGGATATGTATTATTAATAATTATTAATAATTAATTACTGTTGTTATTATAATAAATGTAGTATTAGAATAAATGAATAGTTAAGAATTTATTTTATTGTTATTATTATTATTATTAATATTATCTATAGAAATAAAAATGTCATGTTCGTTTGTGGGATTAACAGAACTCAAAAACCACTGGACGAATTGACACCGAATAAGGACACAAGACACCTAACAACCCAATGTATATCGTTCACTCAAAAAATTGATTTTGTCATTTGGGAGTTGTGGTTGCTGGGATTTATAGTTCACCTACAATCAAAGAGTATTCGGAACCCCACCAACGATGAAATTGAACCAAACTTGGCACACAGTTCTCCCATGACCAACAGAAAATACTGGAAGGATTTGATGGGCAGTGTCCTTTGGTTTTGGAGTTGTAGTTCACCTACATCCAGAGATCACTGTGGACCCAAACATTGATAGATGTGGACCAAACTCTACACGAATACTCAATATGCCCAAATGTGAACACTGGTGGAGTTTGTGGAAAATATAATCTTGACATTTGGGAGTTGTAGTTGCTGGGAGTTCACCTACAATCAGAGAGCATTCTGAACCTCACCAACAATAGAATTGGGCCAAACCTCCTACACAGAACCCCCATGTGGGCCACAGCAACGTGTGGCAGGTGACGGCTAGTTATTATTATAAAAATGCCAAATCCAAGTGTCTCAGCTGACTTCCACGCACTGTCTTATGATCCTGGATCACAAACAGCATAACAGACATCATACCTGACCAACTCATGATATGCATATCCAAAATCACTTACCTGCGGGGGAATCACATAATCAGCAACATCCCAAATCCGGAGCCCCAGCTCCGAAGTATTTGTCACAGCGACGCCCTTGACTTTTGTGGTCACCGAACTCACCACCGAATCCATTTCTTGATAGCCCTTTTCCCATACAAAGACCCAACTGTAAGAGAGAGAAAGTTCTGAGTTTCTTTTTTATTGCCTTGGATAGGAATTGATACCTGAAGCAACAACCTTGTAATAATAATAACTAATAATAATGAACAATAAATATTAATAAATATTAAAACAGTAAATAATTATATTAGTATTATTATTAATAACAAATAATAACAATAAACAATAAACAATAAATATCAAAACAATAATAAATATTAATATTAGCATTAATAATAATCACAAATAATATAATTAACAATAAGCAATAATAAATATTAAAATAATAATAAATATTAATGTTAGCATTATTATTATTATTATTAACCACCTCTTTTAAAGTCAGGATATAACATTATTAAAATATATATAATATGGAGTATCCCCCAACTTTTGGCAAAAGCACAGCACAGCCAGTGGTCAGTGTAGATGGCGCTCATGCACAGCACTCAAACCACTACCCCACACTGCTTCTTTTTCATGTAGGCTCTGAAATCCATGTTTCTCAACAAAGGTCAGAAAAGACCACATAAGTCACTCAATGCAATGTTTGCACGTGGTTAAAGGTAAGCCATCGGCTTTTGTGATGCAACTATTTGGAGGTCGGACTCTGGAGAACAGAATTCAAATCTCCGCTCAGCCACGGAAAGCCACTTGGGCAAGTCACACTATCTCAGCAAAAGCAAGCAAAAACCAAAGCTCTCTGGAGAATTGCAGCCAAGGAGACCCACAGAAACTGGAAGCCTCTTGGCAGCACACAACACAAGGTTTTGCATAAATCGAACACACAAGACATGCACCCATTGGCAAATCTATGGAAGGAGTTTAATATATTGTCTACACTGTAGAATGAATGCAGTTTGATACCACTTTGACCGCCATGGCTTGTTGTTACAGAATCCTTGCTATTAAACTAGATACAACAAATCTCTGACTGGAAAATATTCACATACTCTGGTTTTGTTGGCTTAGTTAACATCATAGGCAACATAATTAATTTTAATTCAATACCAATTGAACCTGGGGGGGGGGGGTGTAAATTGAGGTTCCTGTTTTTATACTTGATATAATTTAATGTTGATTTTAATGTTTAATGTTGATATGTTACAATTTGATGTTATATGTGGGTTTTTGGCATATGTTGATTTATTTTCGTATACGTTGATCTATTTTGGGGTTTGGATGCTTTGTATTGTATTTGTATTTATTGTCTGTACCAGGCATTGAATGTTTGCCTTTTTGGCATGGAATAGCCTGGAATAGCCTTGCAGCTTCAAAGCCTGACTGATGTTGCCTGGGGGAATCCTTTCGTGGGAGATGTTAGCTGGCCCTGATAGTTTTCTGTCTGGAATCCCCCTGTTTTCTGAGTGTTGTTCTTTATTTACCGTACTGATTTTAGAGTTTTTAAATACTGATAGTCAGATTTTGTTCATGTTCATGGTCCCCTCCTTTCTGTTGAAATTGTCCACATGCTTATTGTGGATTTCAGTGGCTTCTCTGCATATTCTGACATGGTGGTTGTCAAAGTGGTCCAGCATTTCTGTGTTCTCAATCAATATGCTGTGTCCAGGTTGGTTCATCAAGTACTCCGCTATGGCTGACTTCTCTGGTTGGATTAGTCTACAGTGCCTTTCATGTTCCTTGATTCGTGTCTGGTTTGATGGTCCTCCCAACCAAGAATTCCCCCAGGCAGGAAGCAGCCAGCCTTTGAAGCTGCCAGGCTACTCAATGCTAATCCAGCTGGCCAATGGCAACATTCCCACTTACCTCCAACAGACAAGAGTTCTTTCTCCCACCCTGGACATTATTTCACAGGTATGTGTATAAACACCAATTGCCTAATTTCCGGCAGACCTCACAAAACAGGGAATTCCAGACTCAAAAAACAGCGAATTCCAGGCAGGAAACAATCAGAGCCAGCTAACACCTTCCAACAAAGGATTCTCCCAGGCAGGAAGCAACCAAGCTTTGAAGCTGCAAGGATACACAATACCAGGCCCATAGCCAGGATTTCGATTCGGGGAGGGGGGCTGAGTCTGAGTGAAAGAGGGTCTACCCTAGCAAACCTTTTGTATCGTTACCCCAATACCCCCATGCATATGGGATATATTGAGTATGGTGATCAGATCATGATATGAATAAACATAACAGTTTAAATAATGCACCAGTAAGGCCTTTTCGCGAACCACCATGAGAATTTCGGGGGGGGGGGGGCTGAAGCCCCCCGCCCCCCCCCCCCCGGCTACATGCCTGCACAATACTAATCAAGCTGGCCGATTGCAACATTCACACTTGCCTCCAACAGACAAGAGTTCTTTCTCCCACTCTAGACAGTATTTTCACAGATATATAAACCCCACTTGCCTAGTTTCCAACAGACCTCACAACCTCTGAGGATGCCTGCCATAGATGTGGGTGAAACATCAGGAGAGAATGCTTCTGGAACATAGCCAGACAGCCCAGAAAACTCCCAGCAACCCAGGGATTCCAGCCATGAAAGCCTTCGACAACACATTCTATATTACAGTCCAGTTGGAAATGGCTTCAAACTACAAGAAGGGAGATCCCATCTGAACATGAGGAAGAACTTCCTGACTGTGAGAGCTGTTCAGCAGTGGAACTCTCTGCCCCAGAGTGTGGTAGAGGCTCCTTCTTTGGAAGCTTTTAAACAGAGGCTGGATGGCCATCTGTCGGGGGTGCTTTGAATGCAATTGTCCTGCTTCTTGGCAGGGGGTTGGACTGGATGGCCCTTGATGGCCTATGCAGCCTCTGCTTAAAAAAACCCAACTCCATCACTTTTCCAGAGTTGGAAGGGACCCCCAAGGGTCATCCAGTCCAACCCCATTCTATCCGGAAGGCACAATCCAAACCTTCCCAAGAGATGGCCAGCCAGCTTCTGCTGAAACCCCTCCAGGGAAGGGAAGGAAGAGATTCCCTCCAGCCTTTTCCTCTTCGAGAAGACCCACATAGTCCAAGCCGGGGAGAAAAAGTCCTCGTTGCCCAAGGCTCACCCGATGACATAGGCCAGGATGGCGAGCTGGACCAGGCGGTTCATGAGGCCGACTTTACGGCTCCGGATCAAGACGATGCGGGGGGTGTCGTACTCGAAGAGGAAGCCATAGAGGAACCCGCAGGGGTGGCGGTCCGGAGCGGCCATGGCTCAAGCCGGAGTCCAAGCGGAGTCCAGGCAAAGAGCTCGCGCTCAGCGAAGCCACCGCAGCTGTTTCCGGCTTGGCTCCCACATGTTGCAAGAAGGCGCGGCGTCAGCAGGGCCAAAGGAGAGGGAAATACAAGTTTTCAAACTATCCCAGGGAACTTTAGAGAAAGGGCCGGACTTGGCCAGTCTCCTCCCTCCACGGAAAGGCTACGGGGAAAACCTTTCCTGTTCCCAACAAAGCTGGAGGCGTTTGGCTTTGGGAGGGAGGAGGGACTCTTTTGGCAGCCTGTTCAAGAGCAGCGGAGGGCCATCTGTCGGGAGGGCTTTGATTGGGTCACGGGGTTTGGCCTCCATGAGCCCTTTCCGACTCTAAGGTGATGTGATTCTATAGAGAAGGGCAGCTTCAAAGCCTGGGGGATCCTTTGTCGGGAGGTGTTAGCTGACCCTGATTGTTTCCTGTCTGGAATTCCCCCATTTTTTAGTGTTGTTCTTTATTTACTGTCCTGATCTTAGAACTTTTTTTTAATGCTGCTAGCCAGATTGTGTTCCCTTTCCATGTTTTCTTCCTTTCTGTTGAAATTATCCACATGCTTGTGGATTTCAATGGCTTTTCTGTGTAGCCTGACATGGTGGTTGTCAGAGCGGTCAGCCATTTCTGTGTTCTCCAATATTTATTTATTTTATTTACTTTATTTATATACCGCTGTTTGCAGCCCGAGGGCGACTCACAGCGGTGTACAACATAGGAAGAGCAAATACAAGGCACAATATAAAAACAATTCACAACATTATACCAAAAAACAACATCACTACTAGAAAAACCATTCCGCGTCGTCTCATCGTCCAAACCACAATCCAATATCGTTTTCCGTTATTCCGTTCCTATAATCATTACCAATCATTGCACTTCTTGTCCGAACGCCTTCTTAAACAACCAGGTCTTTAATTTCCTGTGGAATATTATTAGAGAAGGGGCCAGTCTGATGTCCACGGGAAGGGTGTTCCACAGCCGAGCAGCCACCACCGCCAGCCGTGCTTGTGAAGCAGGCGGGATCGAGAGCAGGGCCTCCCCGGAAGATCTCAAAGTCCTGGTGGGTTCGTAGGTAGAGATGCGGTCAGATAGGTATCTTGAGCCGGAACCGTTTAAGGCTTTATAGGCCAACGCCAGCACCTTGAATTGGGCCCGGTAGCAAATTGGCAGCCAGTGGAGCTGGTACAACAAGGGGATGGTATGCTCCCAGTGTCCTGCTCCTGTTAGTATCATGGCTGCCGCACGTTGGACCAATTGTAGCTTACGGGCCTTCTTCAAAGGCAACCCCACGTAGAGAGCGTTGCAGTAGTCTAAACGGGATGTAACCAGAGCTGTTATGCTGTGTCCCAGTTGTTTCATCAGTTGTTCTGCTATGAATTGTCGAAGGCTTTCATGGCCGGAGTCACTGGGTTGTTGTAGGTTTTTTCGGGCTATATGGCCATGTTCTAGAGGCATTCTCTCCTGACGTTTCGCCTGCATCTATGGCAAGCATCCTTACTACTTCTGAGGATGCTTGCCATAGATGCAGGCAAAACGTCAGGAGAGAATGCCTCTAGAACATGGCCATATAGCCCGAAAAAACCTGTTCTGCTATGGATGTCTTCTCTGGTTGAATTAGTCTGCAGTGCCTTTCATGTTCCTTGATTCGTGTTTGGGCAATGCTGTGTTTGGTGGTCTCTATGTAGACTTGTCCACCGCTGCATGATATGTGGTAGACTCCTGCAGAGGCGAGAGGATCCATAGACATATAAACCTCACTTGACTAGTTTGCAACAGACCTCAGAACCTCTGAAGATGCCCGCCACAGATGTGGGCAAAACATCAGGAGAGAATGCTTCTGGAACCTGGCCATACAGCCTGGAAAACTAACAACCCAGTTTCTGTTCCTGGTTTGAAAGGGTTAATTCCTGTTTAATTGTACAATCCTTACTTGGAAAGTAGTTGTTCAAATCCAGAAACTTTGTTTTTTGGGGCAGCTACAAACTAGGTTGAATTGGTTGAGATTATATCAGATACTAGCTGTCCCCTGCCACACGTTGCTGTGGCCCAGTCTGGTGATCTGGAAAATAAAGTAATGAGAAAGTGTTGGTTTCTAATATATGTAATTTTTTATGCTTGTGAGTAAACAGTATTTCTTGCTGATCTTTGTCAGTGTTGATGTGGAGATTGTCTGGTTTGCCTACTCTGGAACATGCAACATAATTGTCCTTCTTTAGGGGTCCCTTTCAAATCTATGATACTATATCTCTCTGTGTGTGAATCATCTATCTATCTATATCTATGGCTGGATGGCTCTTTGTCAGGAGGCTTTGATTACATTTTCTTGCCCTGGTGAAGGGAGTTGGACTTGGTGCCTTAAGTTTTCTGTTGGTCATTTGGGGGTTCTGTGTGGGAAGTTTGCCCAATTTTGCGTTCATAGAGTTCAGAATGCTCTTTGATTGTAGGTGAACTATATATCCCAGTAACTACAACTCCCAAATGTCAAGGTCTATTTTCCATCTGTGCTCATATTTGGGCATATGGAATATTTGTGCCAAGTTTGGTCCAGATCCATCATTGTTTGAGTACACAGTGCTCTCTGGATGTAGGTGAACTACAACTCCCAAACTCAAGGTCAATGCCCACCAAACCCTTCTAGTGTTTTCTGTTGGTCATGGGAGTCCTGTGTGCCACGTTTGGTTCAATTCCATCATTGGTGGAGTTCAGAATGCTCTTTGATTGTAGGTGAACTATAAATCCCAGCAACTACAACTCCCAAATGACAAAATCAACTTTTTTTGAGTGATGGTCACTCCTTGGCCGGATAGGTGCCTTGTGTCCAAATTTGGTGTCAATTCGTCCAGTGGTTTTTGAGCTCTGTTAATCCCACAAACAAACATTACATTTTTATTTATATAGATTAATTGAAAAAACAGAGCAAAATGTGCTGTAGGATGTCCCTCCCACAAAAACAATTTGTTTGCAGTTTGGTAAACTTTCCCCATGTTTTTATGATAGAACTAATTTGATTCAGAATACTACTACATCCTAAACAAAAAAAATACAAACTACAATCAATCTATGTTATCGAATTGAAGGGCTTTACATTCTCTGGGGGATATATTATCTCAGTTTTCGTTTGAGATTTTTTTTTTTATCAATTATGCGTCTCTGTTCTGGATTGATAAATCGACTTTAAGGCAGCCCTTCAGAGATTGATGAACTGCTGTTCCCACTGGTCTGGTTGGCTGGGGCCGATGGGGAATGGAGTTCAACAACAAATTGGGATGCCACTCCCATCATCCTCAGTTTACATAACCAGTGCTGGGTGATCATGACAGTCGTGATCAACATTGAGAAGCTCAAAAAAGGATAGAATACATATGTTTTAGAATGTAGACATGTAGAACATTTGTTGCTTCAACAGTATATTTTTTACATGAAATGTTTATTATAAGAAAACATCAGTATAATATATATATCACACATACATACAGAACAAATTTAAATGCAATACAAAATGAATGACAGTAGTATCCTGCAATATATAATGCTGTAAATCAATGCAGTAATTTTACCATTAGCTTGCAATTCACCATTTGTTTAGGTGCTTCTGACAAAAGAATCATTCAGAGCAATGATGCAACAAGTCAGTAATACATACAGGTCGCCTGGTTAGTAAAAAAAAAATAACATCATGAGTAGCTTGATTAGCGTGTGTGTGTGTATATATGTATATATACATATACATATACATATACATACAAACACAGTAGAGTCTTGTTTATCAACCTTCACTCATCCAATGTTCTGACTCCTGCCCGGATCCACAGCTGTTTCAATACATTGTGATGTTTTGGTGTTAAATTCATAAATACAATAATTACTACATAACGTTACCGTGTATTGAACTGCTTTTTCTGTCGATTTGTTATAAAACATGTTTTGGGGTTTAATTTGTAAAATCATAACGTAATTTGACGTTTAATAGGCTTTTCCTTCATCCCTCCATTTTATCCAACATTTTCGCTTATCCAACGTTCTGCCGGCCCATTTATGTTGGATAAGCAAGACTCTACTGTATATGTCACATACATACATATATACACACACACTGTAGTTTGGTTAGTAAAAAAATATTGAGGACTAGCCTAATTTTTAATACACATATTATGAAGGTTCTGCTAGCAGTACAGCAAAAGGTTATGCTTTATATCCACTCCCAAACAGAGGTTTGAAGTGAAGAAATGTGCCTTGAAGGTTATTTGATTAATTTATACACCTTGCATTACTTACACTGGGAATGTTAAATCTTTGGTAGGCATTTTTCTTCTCACCCGTCTCTTGCTATAACTGAGAAAACAGCAGGGATTAGTGTGGACCAATCGGTTCCCCCAACTGAGGACTGCTTTCTGTCCCACCTCCATTGCTGCCAGTTACAATTCCAGATCCAAAAACAAAAAGGAGTGAGGAGTATCTCCTATAAGAAGGATAAGATTCAGGTGGCCTCACAGGTGTTGTGGGGCTGCAGCTCCCATTATCTCTTCACCACTGGCTGGGGAGGGATGATGGAAACTGTATTCCACCCAAGAAAAGGAGCACCTACAAATCCTCAATTTACTGTCATGGAAACCTGACCCTATGGGAGAACAAGAGATGGAACACCCTTGAAAGCTGCCTCAAAGAGACTTCAGTGGAGTCTTGGACAGCAAATGAGAAAGGAATACTTTAACAAAACATAAAGAAAAAAAGCTGGAGAATTACCATTGTCATTTACTAACCTGATGAATGAATTCAATCTATAAGACACACGGAGAAGTAGAAACTCAAAAGAAAGAGACTACACTTTCTATTCAGACCACCATCAAACGTGGTCAAGAATAGACTTGGTCTGGACAACAAACATCAAGATCCAAAAGATAAAAATTCTTCCAAGAACAAACTCAGACCAGTGCCCCTTAGAATTCAAATGGAAGACAGGAGAATATACAAGGAAATGGAGATTAAATAATGACTTCCTGAGATTGGAGGAAGATATAAAAAAGGAATAAAGATATCTTATGAGAATTCTTTGAACTAAATAAAACTGAAAATGTTTTGTACCAAACGATCTAGGACACAAGTAAAGCCGTGATGCGGGGACATCTAATTCAACAAAATGCAAGAAAAAACAAAGCAAGAAATAGAGAATCTCTTCAAGTAATGGCTGCAATATCGGAAATAGAAAAAGATCTGAAGAAAAACCTCCAAAAACAGAAATTGAAGAATCAATTGGAGATTTTACAAAAACAAAAGAATTAGAGATGGAACAACTTTCAAAGAAAATGAAATTTGCTGAACAGCAATATTTCCAAAATGCAAACAAATGTGGAAAATGGTTATCCAGAAAAATAAGGAAAAAAAGACCAAAACAACACGTAACAAAAATAATCTCAGAAGGGAAAATATAGAATAAGAATATAGAATACAGTTATGCATTTGATCTATAAGAAAATTGTTTAAAAATGATGTATAGGTGGTACATTACACCTCAGAAACAGGCTAAATGTTAACCAAAAGTTAACGACAGATGTTGGATGTGCGAAGACCAAACAGGCTCATTTTTTCACATGTGGTGGACATGTAAAATTGCTAAGTCATATTGGAAAAACATACACAAAAAAATTAGAAAATATATTAGATATAAAAATAGAATTAAAACCAGAATATTTCCTATTAGAATAACTGACTTTGAAATAGAACCTAATAAGGATAAACTCTTTAACTATCTGCCAGATAGCGGCCAGAATAAACTATGCAAGACTCTGGAGAACAAAAGAGATCCCAACACAAGAACAACGGCTAATGAAAATTACAGATATTATGAACATGGACAAATTAACCCAATTGATGAGCATAAAGCAGAATTTGAAAATATCAAAAACAGACTGGACACCGGTAAAGAATTTTATAATGCAAGAAAACCTGAAATGGATAATAGATATAAGATAAAAACTAATACCCAATGCTCTTAAGAAAGAATATAAGAGGAGCTGGCCAATTTTTGGGATAGTTTTTTTTAAATAAATGAAGACAAACATACCTGAAATGAAGAAGATTGGAAGTCAAAATATACCCCCCATCCTACCAAACCCCCTTCCCCCTACTATCCCCAAGCCACAAACCTACCCTACCCCCTCTGATCCACTTCTCTATCCCCATCTATCATGCCTTCCTACTTTCCTATCCTCTAGATATGTTCCCCCTCTTTTTATTGTATTCTGAAAAGTTTTAATAAAAATACATTTTTAAAAAAGCTGCCTCAAAGAGAAAACAGTGTTGTGGAGCTCCATACTGGGCAGAAGGCATCTGCAAACCATCAGTGATCTATGCATGCAGTCTTCCAGAGGTCTTGAATTATATGATCAGCCATGCTGGCTGGGAATAATGAGGGATAGAGTCCAACATACCCGGGGATCCCCTGTTTGGACAGTGGAAATCCTACATGATATACGATGATGATATGTGTTACCTCATGGCTCAAGGTGGGTACAACATGGTTTAAACATAGAAAAAGTATACTAATATTAAAATGCATATACTGCAGTAAATAGCCTATTATTTTAAAGCTATACACCCTTTGTAAAAGGCATTTCTTGCTCTTTCCTATACCAGCCTCCAAAATTAAGCAATAAGAAGCACAGTGTCAGTTTTATTAGATTTGTATGTGCCTCCAAGTCAACAGTGGCTTCTTGTGATGACCTTATCAGAGGGTCTTCTTGGCAAGGTTTATTCACAAGGGGCTCATCACCATTGGCTTTTTCGAGGCTGCAAGTGTGGGACGTGCCCAAGCGGTAAGTCATGTCTGAGTGCCGAGTTAAACTCTGGTATCCCAGCTCAGTACTTCAAAACAGCAGTTGTGTTGGTTACTTAGTTTTTATCTCTTGCCCATCTGAACAAATCAGCTTATCGCAGTCATGTTACTGAAAGATAAACGAATCCAAACAGCTTTGGAACAAGAGGCACAAAGGCATATATGCCTCCCCAGTGAAAACCGCCAGCTAAGATGACCTGGATCCTTTCTCATACACAAGGAATTACTTTGTTCCTGCCTAGGAAAGAACAGTAGCAGGCAAGCAAGCATGCAAAGAATCAGGTCTGATTCCAGAATTCACTGATATAAAAAGAAACTATCTATAAAGAAAGCAGCACAGATAAAGCTTAACGGAAGCTACACACATTGTGATATAGATCAACATTTTGAGATGTGTCAGCTCCATGAAGTGTTTATGCCCTTGGCTAAAACATAGGAGAATATCATATACCATCCAGCTGTGGACAAGTCTACATAGGGATCATTGCCCAAACACGAATCAAGGAACATGAAAGGCACAGCAAACTACTTCAACCAGAGAAGTCAGCCAAAGCAGAGCACCTGATGAACCAACCTGGACACAGCATATTATTTGAGAACACAGAAATGCTGGACCACTCTCACAACTACCATGTCAGGCTACAAAGCCATTGAAATCCACAAGCATGTGGACAATTTCAAAAGAAAGGAACAAACAATGAAAATGAAGAAAATCTGGCTATCACTGTTTAAAAAAACTCTAAAATTATAACAGTAAATAAAGAACAACATTCAAACACGGGAACTCCAGGCAAGAAACAATCAGGGACAGCTAATCACCTCTCAACAAAGGATTCCCCCAGGCAGTAAAAAGCCACCTAAAAACTGTCAAGCCATCAAATGCTAATCAAGGTGGCCAATTGAAACATTCACACCTAGCTCCAACAGACAAGAGTTCTTTCTTCCATCCTGGACGTCATTCCACAGATATATAAATCCCATTTCCCTAGTTTCCAATAGACCTCACAACCTCTGAGGATGCCTGCCATAGATGCAGGTGTAACGTCAGGAGAAAATGCTTCTAAAACATGGCCATACAGCCCAAAAAACCTACAACAACCCATAGGAGAATACTGTCAGGGATGCTGTTTTTTTTCCATACGTGATGGACATGTAAGAAGATGGACAATTATTGGTCTGAGATTTATACATTATTGTTTTTTAAAAATTAAAGGTCAAGTTTTTAAACTCACCAGAAATGTTTTTCTTGAGTACTAGGGATAGGATAGGATATAAACACAGACTGCTCCTTCAATGTGTGACAACAGTGACAAGAATGCTATTATAGCTCAAATATGGAAATAGATTGGGAACAGAAGAACAGATTGTAAAAGTTGCAGAACTTGCCTAAGCGAAGTGGACTGTACAGGATAAACCAACTGGAGACTCTCTGAAAGACTGGAAACAGTGTATAGATTTCTTGAGCAACAAGACAACCAACTCCCCAGGCAACTGGTTGGCTATTGTGTGAATGAAATGCTGGACAAAGAGAGGCCTTCAGAGTGAAGGAGTTGGGTGTTCCTTGTGCCCATAAGCTCTCATGGCAGGCCCTAAGGCTCCCTGTAGAACCAGCTTTATTCCCACACTCCAGAGTTTCAGTGAAGAGTTTTTTGTTGGCTCTTAAAGCCCGTGTACTCGCCCTTCTCACTAGGAAAAGCATCTCTGATCTTCCATCTGCAGCAGCTTGGCAGAACAGCTCTTTCTTCCAACTCCTCCCCAAAGCGCCAGTGAATGTACTGCTCGTAGGCACAGTGCCGGAGCCCCTTGTTGAAATCGGCCCTTAGGTCCAACAAGGGGTCAGTGTAGAGGAGGATAAACTCCAGCCTCGGCCTAGAAAGCACCAGCTGTTCGAACAACGCCGAGGCCGCAATGCAAGCCCCCTCCTTCCTTCGGCAGCAGAGCTGCTCCCAATGGCGCTCCGTCGGACGGCATTCCCCACAGCTGCACCAAGGGGGACGCTCACGGGACGGAGAGGCCACCCGGTCGTTTTGGAGGGGCTGCAGCTCCTGGGGGGTTCCACGAGATCTCGCTTCGTTTGGGGGCTTCAAGAGGAGTTTTGGGGCCCGCTTAAAGTTGCCTGTTTGTCTCTGTGATCAAAAGACAATACATATGCATCATCAAATGACCAGGTTATTTCTGTTTGGTGTTGCGTGTGACTTGGGGGGGGGGGGGGCATCCTCCCACAAAGAAAGTACGATGGTGAAAGTTGGGTTGACCTGGAAACTTTTAAACAGAGGCTGGATGGCCATCTATCAGGGATACTTTGAATGTGGAAAACTACATGGCAGGAGGTTGGACTAGATGGCCCATGTGGTCTCTTCCAACTATATCATTCTATAATAGTCAGCATGGCCAATGCCCAGGAATTCTGGGAGTTGAAGTCCAACATATAAGGATAACTTTATTCTTATTCTTCCTTTCTCCCTAGATTGGAAAAAAACATTACGAAGTCCATATATTTGGGGTTTTTTCAACCTATTCCTGGGGTTATTTGGGGTGTTGCTTCAGAAAATTGCATTGGATAGGCTACATCAGCTCCAGTTTCTTAGATATTGCTATAATGGTTTTCTATGGATGAGCAGATGGCAACTGGTATATGGCATTGTGTTCTGTATCTCAAAAATTAGAGCTGATAGGAGGATGGATACTAGTGTCATTTTTAGAAACAGCAGGTCAAATGTACCCAGAAATAGATCTAACATTTGAGGCACCAAAATGTGTGTTGGCCAGTGTTATATTTGTTGACATTTATGTATCCATACAGAGAAATACCTATATGCCTATGTATGTGAATATGTATCTGTTCACATACATAGGCACGCACACACACAAGAAAGATGCTCATCCGTATGAATGTTACAAAGACACACTTGAATTTGATCAAATGCCCAAGAAGTGATAACTCACATGAACAATTTTGCCTTTAATATTCTGTAGGCTTGTCTTCAGCAATTTGTCGATCATAAAGATGTGCGGCTCATCGACGAACGTCACATACAACACAGTCTGTTCGTTAAAAGAAAAACAAAGACATTTTTGTATTAAGCCTGGAGGAATGTTTGCATTTCACAGAGAAGGTAAGGGCAAGCGGACACCCGCCAACAATCACTCTAAGACAGAACAGAACTGCTCAAAACCACAGCACAATAAGAAATAAACAAGGAGCTGTTCTGAAGTGACTGCAAGAGATCCAAAGCTCTGGAAGTGAAACAGCCTTGGTCACCTTAGTGGATGGTCTATGCAGAGAACTGGACAAGAGGAGTGTGCCTCTGTTGGTTCTCTTGAACCTCTCAGCGGCTATTGATACCATAGACCACGGTATCCTTCTGGGACACCTTGCAGGAATGGGGCTTGGGGGTACTGTCTTACAGCAGCTCTGGTCCTTCCTGGAGGATCGTCCCCAGAAGGTGTTGCTGGAGGACACCTGCTAGATATCATAGCCATTGTCCTGTGGAGTCCCACATGGCCCAGTACTGCCCCCATGTTGTTTAACATCTACATGAAGCCACTAGGAGAGACCATCCAGAGTTTTGGAGTTCAATGTCACCTGTACGCAGATGACATCCAACTCTATCACTCCTTTCCACCTGCTGCTAAGGAGGATGTTCAGGTCCTGAACCGGTGCTTGGCAGCTGTGGTGGTCTGGATAAGGCCAAATAAACTGAAACTAAATCCAGACAAGACAGAGGTACTCCTGATCAATCATAAGGTCAAACGGTATAGGGTACACTCCCTCTGAAGACAAAGGTTTGCAACTTGGGAGTTCTAGATTCATCACTGAGCCTAGAACCCCAGGTCTTGGTGGTGGCCGGGGAGCTTTTGCACAATTAAAACTTGTGTGCTCGCACCTTGAGAAGCCAGACTTGGTCCATGCTTGTTACATCCTGAATGGACTACTGCAATGCACTCATTGTGGGATTGCCTTTGAAGACTGTTCAGAAGCTTCAAGTGGTCCAACAGACGGCAGCCAGATTACTCACCAGAGCAGCGTACAAGGAGCTTACAACCCCCATTGCACCAGCTCCACTGGTTGCCAGTCTGCTACTAGCAAAGTTCAAAGTGCTGGCTTTAGCCTATAAAGCCCTAAACTGTTCTGGCCCAACTTATCTGTCTGAAAGCATCTCCTTCTATGAACCATCTCAGGGGTGAAGATTGTCTGGGGAGGTCCTGTTCTTGGTCCCACCTCCTTTGCAGGAGCAGTTGGTGAGGACAAGGGACAGGTCCTTCTTAGTGGTGGCCCCTCAGCTGTGGAACTCCCTCCCAAGCAAAATCAGGTCAGCCCCCTCCCTCCTGATCTTCAGAAGGAAAGTAAAAACATGGCTGTGGGACCAAGCCTTTGACCAGTAGTACAGTGAAATAAGTAAAGATGGAATATGTGCAATAACAATTGGAACGGCTTGACTATGATTTTGGATTCCGTGGTTTTCATTAATGGGTTTGAATGTTTACGTTGCTTTTTAATTTTATGTTTTTAATGTATGTGTTTATTTTATTATGTCTGTTTGATATGGCATCAAATTGTTGCCTACTGTAAGGCCGCTCTGAGTCCCCTTTGGGGTGAGAAGGGCAGGCTGTAATTACAGTAAATAAATAATAAATAAATTTTCCTAGCTGTCCTATGTGTTGAAGGAGAACACTCAAAAGGTTTTGCTCCTGCTCAGTGGAAACGTTCTTCAAGGCCCAGATCCCTTTAGATCTAGGCTGAGTAGGTCCCATCGTTAGTAAAGGAGTAAACATCCTCTTGATGTACATAGAATTGTTGAAGTAAGGAAGAAAAAAATCTTCCCACATGTTTACACTCTCATTTTTGCAGTGAGGTGAACTCTGCAGCTACAACCATGAACAGTGGCAGGCTATTAATATGAGATGTATCTCTCACCCATCTTGGTCCAGGCACTGATTCACACTTTTTCTTGTAATAATACTCCCTCACTGGATCATATTTGCAGCAGGCGCATGAGTAGGATGTGATAAGAAAATCGACAGTTAGCTGAGCCTGTGAAAAGGGGAAAGAGGTTGTTATATCATTGTTAGCATTACTAATTTAAAAACATATATATCGATCCTTTCCAAAAGAATCAACATTCAAATACTACATTGTCTCAAAGAAGCCAATTTTCAAAGAATTCATTCTTTCTCACCATGAGATGGAAAACTGTCTCTTACCAGGCCAAAGTAGGACAGCGCTGAACCTATGTACACCAGCAGCTCAAAGAAATCAAATTGTCCTGCCTTTGGGAAAAGAAAAAAAGAACAGAAGACATTATTATTTTGTAAATAAGGGAAGAGAGACATTCCTTCTCAGAGCTTTTCCTGGGAGAGGATCTGGTTTCTTTGCAGAAATGTGCAAAGGAGGCCAATAAGGCTATTGAGTCATTGAGCATTCAAAGTGCACGCAATAAACTAGAAAGAGGTTTTCAATTAAAAACCTATCAGTCTAATAAGAAAATGAAATATCAAGTGAACAGTGTCAGCCATGACTATACATATACATTCCATCTATCTGACAATGACTTTCTAAGGCAGTGGTTCTCAACCTGTGGGTCTCCAGATCATAGAATCCTAGAGTTGGAAGAGACCTCGTGGGCCATCCAGTCCAATCCCCTGCCAAGAAGCAGGAAAATCGTATTCAAAGCACCCCCGACAGATGGCTACCCAGCCTCTGTTTAAAAGCCTCCAAAGAAGGAGCCTTCACCACACTCTGGGGCAGAGAGTCCCACTGCTGAACAGCTCTCACAGTCAGAAAGTTCTTCCTAATGTTCAGCTGGAATCTCCTTTCTTGTAGTTTGAAGCCATTGTTCTGCCTCCTAGTCTCCAAGGTCAGATGTTTGGCCTTCAACTCCCAGAAATTCTAACAGCTGGTAAACTGGCTGGGATTTTTGGGAGTTGTAGGCCAAAATACCTGGGGAGCCACAGGTTGAGACCCACTGTTCTAAGGTCTTTGGCAGCCAAGAGTCCTTCCCATCATCTGCTAACTGAACTTTTTACAATATGTGGACAATGAGGACTGAACTTGGAATCTTCTACTTTCAATCATACTGGTGCCTTTGTGAGTTGGTAATTGGATATTTATTTATTTATTTATTTATTTATTTGCGATATTTATATGCCGCCCTTCTCACCCCAAAGGGGACTCAGAGTGGCTTACAAGTAATATTTAAATACAATATATTATATAATTGTATGAGCAAATAACTATAATTAGTACCTTAACAAGGAACTGGATGGAATATCATCTGCATTTTTTCTTCTTGTATTTTCCTACATAAACAAGCTAGAAACTTTTCTTCATTCATGCTGGACACTAGGGAAGGGACTCTGAGACCCCATCAACACTGCCATATAATTGCATTGAACTGGATCCTATGGCAGTGCAGACTCATATAATGCAGGTCAATGAGGTTACAACTGTATTATATGGCAGTGGAGGGCTGGACGCCCTGCACTTTTGTGATGGCTACAGCTCTAGATGGTGGAATCACTGAAGTTTGTGGAGAACAGCAAACTAGACACTCACAAGAAGAGCTCAAATCTGTCATTTACTACATATATTAAAAAGTTCTAGCAGCCCAGACTCTTCTATAATAATTTCCCATGCATACCTATGACAACTTTTCTTCTGTTGTCAAGAAACACTATCTGAACTAGGGATGTAGTGGGGAGAGATGGAAGCAATTCATGGCCAGGGCCCTACTCTGAAAGACCCCTCCCCCTCTTGCCTCCTTTTTTAAAACAGCATTAACGCAATCACTAAGGTTGCTGTGAGTTTTCCAGGGTGTCTTGCCATATTCCAGAAGCATTCTCTCATGACGTTTCACCCACATCTATGGCAGGCATTTAAGCGATTGTGAGGTCCGTTGGAAACTAGGCAAGTGAGGTTGATATACATACCTGTGGAATAATGTCCAGGGTAGGAGAAAGCACTCTTTTCTGTTGGTGGCAAGTGGGAATGTTGCAATTGGCCAGCTTGATTAGCATTGAATGGCCTTGCTACTTCAAAGCCTGGTTGCTTCCTGCCATTCAAGTTGCAAGGCCATTCAATGCTAATCAAGCTGGCCAATTGCAACATTCTCTCTTGCCTCAAGCAGACAAGAGTTCTTTCACCCACCCTGGACATTATTCCACAGGTATGTATATAAACCTCACTGGCCTAGTTTCCAACAGACCTCACAAAATTTGAGAATGCCTGCCATAGATGTGGGTGAAACTTCTGGAGGGAATGCTTCTGGAACATGGGCAGACAGCCTGGAAAACTCACAGCAACTCAGTGATTCTGGCCATTAAAGTCTTCAACAACACAATCACTAAGGTGTCATTTGGCCCTAAAAGCCCTGTCTCTCCACATATAAAAATGTAGAGGTAGAACAAGGAAAATGAGGATAACATTTACCATGCCAAACACAAGGATGTCGAAGCGTATGCCGTAGGCTTTGATCAGGGTCCTCTCCTCCCTCCCGTTGGCCTGCTTGTAATACCGAGCATATCTAGAATGACCAAACATGGTTTGAGAAAGGGTTATATTGAGGTGGAAGAAACGAGGAGGGATTTCTGAAGCTCCCAAGTGTCTGGAAAATCTTTTCCTGCCCACGAGCTTCAAAAGACAGCATGAAATATTTTGTGCCTTTTAGTCAACTCAATAAAAGATTTTGGATTGAGGGGTGCTATTGATTTTTTAGGCAACATTTCACTATACTTGCATCTTGACCTCCCCTGCAATTTTTTTTCCGTGTCAGGAGCAACTTGAGAAACTGCAAGTTGCTTCTGTTGTGAGAGAATTGGCCGTCTGCAAGGACGTTGCCCAGGGGATGCCCGGATATTTTGATGTTTTTACCATCCTTGTGGGAGGCTTTTCTCAGGTCCCCGCATGGGGAGCTGGAGCTGACAGAGGGAGCTCATCCACGCTCTCCCTGGATTCTAACTTCGGTTCTGCTTGCATATGGGTTTAACCCATGGCGCCACCGGGGTTCCTTCCCTACAATGATTTACACTCACTTTGCTGAGGCATGTTTTACTAGCAAAGGCTCAGGTTCTGCTGACATCCAGGACCAACCCTATTTTTCAAAACTAACAAAAGGTACTTTGGATTTCCCCACTGAATGGCATTCTTCATAAATAAAGCCAAGTTTCAAAACTAATGTCAGCATGTGGGTTTTTCCAAAGGAAATATGGACTAAATATAATCCTGAGCCCCTCCTATCCAAATTCCACCAATCTCATGAACAATTCCTTTTCAGGAAGTGAAAGCGAAAGTGAGATAGGCAGCTCACAAACATCACAAGGCTAGTAGCTGATGTTAGGATTAACCGTTTTTAATACAGTAGAGTCTCGTGTATCCAACCTTCGCTCATCCAACGTTCTGTATTATCCAACACAGTCTGCCTCTCGCCCGGATCCACAACTGTTTCAATACATTGCGATGTTTGGGTACTAAATTTGTAAATACAGTAATTACTACAGAACGTTACCATGTATTGAACTGCTTTTTCTGTTGATGTGTTGTAAAATGTGATGTTTTGGTGCTTAATTTGTAAATACAGTAATTACTAAATAACATTACCATGTATTGAACTGTTTTTTCTGTTGATTTGTTGTAAAACGTGATGGTTTGGTGCTTAATTAGTAAATACAGTAATTACTAAATAATGTTACCATGTCTTCAACTGCTTTTTCTGATGATTTGTTGTAAAACATGATGTTCTGGTGCTTAATTTGTAAAATCATAACGTAATTTGACATTTAATAGGTTTTTCTTTAATCCCTCATTATCCAACATATTCGCTTATCCAACGTTCTGCCGTTTATGTTGGATAAGCAAGACTCTACTGTAATAATAATTACAACAACAATGCATTTTAGAATGATCTGTATGTGTTGTCTGTTGTTTTAATGCAATCTCTTTGGCCAATTTCTTCCACAGCACCAGGTACTCCTTGGTCATCTCCCATCCAATGACTAACCACGGCTGACCTTCCTTAGCTTTCAAAATCAGATGGGATCTGGTAACTTTTAGGGCAGGCATGGGCAAACTTTTTAACTTGGGTACCACATGGCGGACCGGAGAGGGATGGGTGGGCTGGGAGGGGGGGGGGTTCTCCCCAAGTCCCTTCCCTGCCCTTTCCTCCCCTTCCTCTTCTCTTTGAGAAGCAGAAAGTGAAGGAAAGACGGGAAATGTTTGGATCACAAAAGGGTTGGCCTTGGTCAGGATGAGATGGTGGATGGAAAGAAAAAGTGTATCCACTAGACCACATATTGCCTACTCCTAATATAGAATCCTAGAATCCCAGAGTTGGAACAGACACCCAAGGGTCATACAGTCCAACCCCCTGTCATGCAGGAAGGCACAATCAAAGCATTCCCGATAGCCTTTGCAGAAAAGTCTCCAGAGAAGGAGACTCCACCACACTCCCAGGCATCTTATGCCACTCTCCAACAGTTCTTACTAATCTTTTCAACCGAATCTCTTTCCCTGTCATTTGAATCCATTGCTCCCTTGTGCCCTGGTCTTTAGAGTAGCAGAAAGACCGTTTTCCCCCTCCCTACTCCTCAAAATTCCCTCTCTAACTTCTCTTCTCCCAGCTAAACATCCCCCAGGAGGAAGGAAAAAGCGAAGCAAAGAGAGGAAGGGTGGAAAGGAATGGAGGAAGGGAGGAAAGAGAGAAGGAAGGAAAGACAAAAGGGAAGGAAGGAAGGAGAAAGAGAGAAAGGGACGGAAGAAAGAAGAAAGAGGGAAGGAAGGATGAAAAGGTGGAAGGGAAGGAAGGAGGGAGGGAGGAGAAAGAGAGAGAGGGACGGAAGAAAGAAGAAAGAGGGAAGGAAAGAAAGAAGGAAGGAAGAAAAGGATGGTGAGAGAGAGAGAAGGGCTGCATCCAGGCCCCGAACCTGGGTTTGCCCAAAGCTGCTTTAGAGTATTTAGGTGCATTTTTAGCATGCTGCAGCATTATAGTTGCTGCAGTGTTGATGACCAATGACTGTTCTGTACTTTAACTTGTTACTATGCTTTTATTTGCAGGGAAATGCTTTTAAGGATAATTTTCAGAGGATTTCCCCTTCCAGTTAGCAAAGGCCCTTTTTCTTTACTGGTTCAATGGATTTTTAAAGTTGCATTTTAAAATGATGAATTGAAATCAGAAATAACTTCTTACAAAACTGTACCAAGCAATGGCTAATCATCATCATCATCATCATAATATAATAATTATTATTATTATCACGATCGTGTTAAAAAACAAGGTATGGATTGTTGATGTTGCAATCCCAGGTGACAGCAGGATTGAAGAGAAACAACTGGAAAAGCTGACACAATATGAGGATTTAAAGAGAGAACTGCAAAGACTCTGGCACAAGCCAGTCAACATGGTCCCAGTGGTGATCGGCACACTGGGTGCAGTGCCTAAAGAACTTTGCCTGCACTTAAACACAATCGGCACTGACAAGATTACCATCTGCCAGCTGCAAAAGGCCACCTTACTGGGATCTGCACACATTATTCGTCAATATATCACACAGTCCTAGACACTTGGGAAGTGTCCGACGTGTGATCCAATACAACCGCCAGCAGACTGACCTTGTCTGCTGTGGACTCATCTTGTTGTGTTTCAGATAATAGATAATAATAATAATATCATCTTGTAAAAATGGTAATAATAAATGGTAATAAAAATGATGGGGGAGCCAAAATGTTGAAGATGTTCTGTACTCTGTAATAAACCTGTGCACAGGATGATAAAAAGTAATGAAAAAGACACAGCTCTGTTCTCCAGCAGGAAAAGGCATTTTGGGATTCCAGTCCAGAAGAAAAGGAGGAGGAGGAGGAGGAGGAGGAGGAGGAAGAGGAGGAAGAGGAGATAACGACAATGATGATGGGTGACTTTTGCATACTGCAGAACTACAGCCTTATCATTCTACTTCAGCTGCCGTAGACATTTAGAATTCTCCACCACAGAACTCTATTGCTTCATCAAACTCCAAACTCCAGGGTTCCCTAGGATGCAGTCATGGCAGCTAAAGCGGAATCATACTGCTATAACTTTAATATGAAAGGGCTTCAGGAAGCTTGAAGTGACATCTCACTGAGACATTCTATAATCAGAATCTCAATGGAACAGGTCTTTCATAATTTCTTTTACCTAAAATTGTAGCCAGGGTACAACGCCTCACTGGTTTTCTTGTCATCCAGGCGCCGGAAACCATACTTGGGTTGACAGCGGTGACGCCATTTGTCCAGGTTACAATCCCAATTAATTTCAATGCCCATGATGCCACCCTTGAAAGGAAGAGTAAAATGAGCTCTTTTTAAATAGGGTTGATCTTCAGCAGAGAAAAAGAGAGTTGTAATTAGCTTCAAAAACTGAATTGTACTCCCATACCAAGTGCACTGTACTTTGCCAAAAGAGTGTGTCAAAATCAGGAAAATGCTCAAGGGACAGTAAACACAAGTTCTGAAGATTGCTGTCCAATCCCCTCAAAAATGCAATTTGTTTCATCAAAGTAAAAGAAAAATAAGAGAATTGTATTTTATGTCAAAAGCATTGCATAAATAAGTATTAAAACTGATAAAACAGTTTTAGCACATGCGGCTAAATAATTTTTGACCAAAACGGATGACAGCCACCACATTGTCTATAGCTTTGAACAATTCTTCCTCTGTACATGAGGCAGGGCATTGTGGATAAGCATACAGATGCGGAGTTGTCTGTTCTGCTCCACAGCTGCACAAGGTGGAAGATTCTTCTAGGTAGGGCCATTTTACCAGGTTGTCTTTTGATCTGCCAACTCCACTTCTGAGTCTGTTCAGGGACTTCCAAGTAGCCCATTCTTGGTTTGCCCTGGAGGAAGACCCTTGGGTGGGGGGCATCCAATTGGGATTTCCTGATTTAGCTGCCCAGAGGGATACTCTTGCTGTTACTGGGAGAACTTTAAGAGGAGTGGTGGTTCTCATGAAGCTTTTCCTTCATTTAAATCTAATGGAAGGATGCTGATAGCCATGCAGTGGATGAATTTCAGAGTGTTCAACCTTATTTCTCTCACAGTTAGCAGCAACTTCCGGTTGCACAACAAAAAATAACTTGTTCACAGAGACAGTGTTTCTGAGCTCACTGATTTGGTTGTTTTTAAGAGAAGGCCCAAGGCCCAAGGGGGGCGGTTCTGCTTTATTTTGCTTACCCTGAGATGTCTATACAAAGAAAATAATAAATGGCCAAATATCTGTCCAAGAACAAAAAAAAGAAAAGAAAGAAAAGTATTCTACAAAAATAAGCCATGCCACAGACCTGAACAGCCACCTCTGAAAAGTTTTCTCCTGATAACTGGAGGATATCTCCTAGCCTGAAAATGGGACAGGAAGAAGCCGTTCTCTCGTTGTATGTGCAGGAAGTATTAAATTCCGGTGAAATATTTCTTCTGTAAGGAATCAGGGCAAAAGTTAATATTAAACTCTTTATAATACACAACTTCTAAACATCTGGTCTGCGGAGAGGGAGGACAACTATCCAATCTATTCATTTCCTAAACTCAAGGGCTATCAGTCCACAGAGCTTCAATTTAACTGAACGTTAAGTTTAGTTTATTTTGCACTCCAGCCCTGTGAAGCATCCAGGCATGCAGATCATCTGATCCATTTTTAAAACAGGAACAGCTGAATCAGACATTGGTACTTACGTTGTGAAATTAAACTTTGGAAAGTGGATGTTGTTTTTGATGAGGACAGTGAAATTTTCAGCACTCCTCAAAATAGCAGGCCTAGAAGGAGAGACCACACATGGCAGTAAGGTTTCAACAAGCCCCCAGCTGGTAAAGCCGATAACCATCATCATACTCTTTAAGAATTAGCTAGAACACTGTGTCTTCAACTGTGGGTCCCAGCCCCAAATCGGGTGTCCTTCGCTCAGTGTTGGGATCCCTAAAATTTGTCAAAGTAAAAGGTTTCTGAATGCCACCTAGTGGCTGTTTTAGGCATTGACGAGAATCTGTTGTGCAGGGTTTACAGTAGTCCGCCGTACTTCATAAAAAGGAAAATCAGCTTGTTTTGCAAGTCTTGCAAAGGCTGATTTGTTATCAGTAAATATTTGATTTTTATACCTATTTTACATACCTATATCTCTGGGGTCATGCAAACATTTCTCACACGGAAGGAAAGGGGTTCCAAGTGAAAAAGTTTAAGAAGCACTGAGCTTGAAAGACATCGTGGATTTCATGCTGAGAGAATTGGAAAGCCTCCAGAAACTGTGAACAGCCCTCATAAAGATTGTTAGTGTTGTAAATAAATCCAAAGGTTGCATGGCCACCATCCAGCTAAATGCTAATGAAAGGAAAGGAGGATGGAGGCAATCCAAAGACAGACATGATGGGCTATGCCTTACTCAGGGGCACTTTTCATTGATTCCACAGGACACCATGCCTTCACCTCACACGTTTTCAATGTTGAGTTATACTGCACACATTTCCCGGTCTGGATTCCTACAGGAAGGAGAAAACCATTTTCATTCAAGGAACATCACCTTGAAGTTCATTTACTTTGTGTTGTCTCTTTCACAAAAAAGAAAACAACTTTTACAGCTATAGAAGTCAAACAGGATCCAAAGTGTTAGAATTCAAAGACATGGCTGCACAAGTCTAGAATATCAGTATTGTATCACTTTGGAGACTGAGTATGAAGGTGGCAGCTTAAGCTTTCACAGACTAAGTCTGCGTCATTGGATGCATCTGATGAAGCAGATTTCTTTGTTGCACACATCAACAATAACCAAACACTGTAAAAATGTGAAAAGACTTCTTTTCACATTATGGAGCTATTTGAAAATTATGGGCAAGAATTATGATTTGTGTCTTGCTGGACCCTATAGCATTGCTTTGTACTGCATTGGAAGAAGTGGGTTTATATCAGGGATCCCCAAACTAAGGTCTCCACAGTCATTTCCCCGGTCTCTGCCTTAAACTGCAGACTTAGAGTTTTTCTAACTATGAAACGACTTGAAGGCACATAACACAATAATCCTAATTAATTTGACTCTCTCTTCAGCCAAAAGCAGGCCCACATTTCCATTGAAATACTGATAAGTTTATGTTGGTTAAAATAGTTTTTCATTTTAAATATGTGCACAGGAATTTGTTTTTTTTTTTTTCAAACCACAGTCCGGCCCCACAACAATTTGAGAGATAGAGCACTGGGCCTCAGCTTAAATGTTTGCAGACCCCTGAACTAATACCTACTGTGTTATCACTGATTGGCAGGTGGCCATTAAATACCTTCAATAAAGAAACATGGAAAATATCTGCTAGGGGTCAACTGCATGTCCAGTTTATTTAAACTAACTATAATATCTTTTCTTTATTTATGACTAGCTTGGGTCCGTGGTGTTGGCCGGGTTATTTGAAAAAGTCAGTTTTTTAATTGTACAAAATGCATAAGGTTGTGGATGAACTACAACTCATATAATGTCAGGTTAACCCCGAAAAAGTTTTGTTATGTTGGGCAAGTTTGCTCTAGATGCATCATCAATGGGCTTCAGTGTGTTCTCTGGCTGTAGGGTAAACTACAACTCCCACTATGGTGAGTCAATCCCCTCAAACCCCTCCAGAAGGTAGAGTTAGTCATGGAAGTTCTATGTGCTAAGTTTAATCCAGGTCTATCATCGGTAGAGGTCACCGTTTCGCTGGTTGTGGGTGAACTACAAATCCCAGAAAGGAAGGTCAGTTTCCTCCAAACCCCTCCAGTATTCAAATTTGTGCATATCAGGTACATGTGCCAAGTTTGGTCCAGATCCATCAGTATTTGGGTTCACAGTGCTCTCTGGGTGTAGGTGAACTACAGCTCCCCCAAATCACGGTGAATTTTCCCCAAAAACCTCCAGTACATTTTGCTGGTCAAGGGGACTGTGTGTGCCAAGTTTGGTTCTATTCCATCTTTGGTGGAGTTCAGAGTGTTCATTGATTGCAGGTGAACTAGACTTCCCAGGACCTACAACTCCTATAAACTATGGTGAATTCTTCCCAAACCTCTCTAGTACGTTCTGTTCCAGATCAATTCCTCTGTTTGCTGTGTGCCATAGAAAATAATAGGAAAGGGTTATGGGAGAGACAATGGGCGGGGTCATGCAAATTCCACACCAATGGAGACAGTAAGAAACACTAGGATGTCTGTCTAAAATCTAGGATGAAATTGTCCCCATATGAAAGTCTTGGGTGGTGTGCAGTATGGTGTTTGTGGAGGACATTGGCAGGGCTCTTGGACATGTTCATGGTGCTCGCTATAATCTGCAATGTCATTTGAGGGAGCATCTATGGTGTTGCCTGAGTAGTGGGAGCTATAGCTGTTTGTGGTGGCAGGAGCTTGTCTGTGTAAGTTGACACCCCAGCCACACACATGCATGCACAAGCACACATATTTTCACTTTTATTATGTGTATAGATTACAAGATATTTGTAAAGTTAAAACATGATAACACCACCTATCACTCAGTGCCATGCCTCTTTGAAATAGAAAATAACAAAGTGTGCTGTGGCATATTAAAGACTTAACACATTCACTATTGTATGACCTCTTGCATACTATAGCTGATGTTTTTCTTTGAGTTTCCCATCATGGATCAAGTACAAAATAAATTGCTCAGTAATGCAATGGAAGACAGCTTTGAACACACTACAAAGGGCTTTTGCAGTGAGTTAACAAGATTATGTTGACATACCATTACTTATGGGATCCACACCACCTTTCGTACAACTTCTGTCGGTAGTACAAATTGCTTTGGCAATGGGGAACTGAGCAAAAGAAAAATGGGGGGGGGGGGGTGTTAAATATACAATTTCTACTGGAATATTTCACAACATGCATTTTGTTTTAGCCTTCCCTCTTCCTCAACAATTATCTCTCTTATGATGGGTAACACATCGGTCATATCTGCACCACTGATGGCCCAACTGTTTCTAGCAGGAGCTAACTAGAAATATAGCTTGGCTACTTCAGTTGCTCTCGGGGAAATTGCTTTGTGTCAATCTGCTTTCTATAATTGTCCTTATGCATCCACTTACAATATGTGTGTATATTATTTCTTATAGTTGTGTTGCTGTAAGTTTTTCGGATTGTATGGCCATGTTCCAGAATCATTCTCTCCTGACGTTTCACCTTTATCTATGCCAGGCATCTTCAGAGGTTGTGAGGTCTGTTGGAGACTAGGAAAATGGGGTTTATATATCTGTGGAATGTCTAGGGTGGGAGAAAGAACTCTTGTCTGCTTGAGGTATGTGTGAATGTTTCAACTGGCCACCTTGATTAGCATTTAATGTCCTAGCAGTTTTCAAGGTGTGGCTTCTTACTGCCTGGGGTAATCCTTCGTTGAGAGGTGATTAGCTGTCTCTGATTGTTTCTTGTCTGGAGGTCCTCTGTTTTTGAAAGTTGTTCTTTATTTACTGTTATGATCAATTTTAGATTTTTTAAAATACTAGCAGCCAGATTTTGTTCGTTTTTATGGTTTCTTCCTTTCTGTTGAAATTGTCCACATGCTTGTGGATTTCAGTGGCTTCTCTGTGTAGTCTGACATGGTGGTTGTGAGAGTGGTCCAGCATTTCTGTGTTCTCAAATAATATGCTGTGTCCAAGTTGGTTCATCAGGTGCTCTGCTATGGCTAACTTCTCTGGTTGGAGTAGTCTGCAGTGCCTTTCATGTTCCTTGATTCGTGTTTAGGCAATGCTGCGTTTGGTGGTCCCTATGTAGACTTGCCCACAGCTGCATGGTATATGGTAGACTCCTGCAGAAGTGAGAGGATCCCTCTTGTCTTTTGCTGAATGTAGCATTTGTTGGATTTTCTTGGTGGGTCTGTAGATTGTTTGTAGGTTGTGTTTCTTCATCAGCTTCCCAATGCTGTCAGTGGTTCCCTTGATGTATGGCAAGAACACTTTTCCTCTGGGTGGATCTTTGTCTTTACTCTCATGGCTTACAGCTCTTCTGATGTCTGTGGTGGCCTGTAAAGCCCAGTTTAGGTGGTTCAGTTAGTCTTGGAAGAGATGGGGTTCACAGATTCTTTTTGCACGGTCTCCCAGGGCTTTAATGGTGCTTATTTTTTGGCTTGGGTGGTGGTTGGAGTTTTTATGTAGTTATCTATTATGAGTTCTTTCGCCCACGCTGTACATTCCACAGATATATGAACCCCATTTTCCTAGTTTCCAACAGTCCTCACAACCTCTGAGGATGCCTTCCATAGATGTATGCAAAACGTCAGGAGATAATGCTTCTGGAACATGGCCATACAGCAACCCGGTGATTCCGGCCATGAAAGCCTTTGACAATACATCTTCTAGTTGTATTGCTCATGTAGCAAAAATGATCCTACTCACTCCTAAGCAGACTCGGGAGAAGCCCACTCTTTGTAACAGAAAGAACTATTTGTCAAAGGGGAGACAGAGTAACCCCAAAGCATAGATTTCTAAACACTGACACTGATCCACACATATGGCACTAAACAATCCCTGCATGCAAGGGGCCTGCAGATTCACAATGCGCAAAACAAACAGTCTCAACCAGTTGTGACATGCACTTCCTTTCCATCCAATGGGTTCAAATAGGTGGAAGGATGAGTTGGCATCTATAGACATAGGGTCGCTATAGTGATGAGACATGAATTCAAAACATCTGCTATTCATTGAGTAATTTTACTCCCCCCCCCCCCCCCCCGCCCAAAGGTTCGGATAATACTCACCTCCGGGCACACTCCCTGGGTCTGGCTTTCTGTCATGATGATATTGGTTACCACAAAAAAGGAATTTATTCCCTACACAGGAAAAGGTGGGGAGGGGAGAAAAGAGAGCTTTAAAACAAATTTACACATTCACATAGATGTTTTAAAAATGGATTAATTTCTCCCTATGAGTCATTTACTCTATAGCTAGTAGCTCACAAAGATGGCTGGAGGACATGGGGTCAACAGCATTGGTCAACCATTAAGTCCCCTGTTCATCCAAACATCTCGGCATTCCCTGGGCAACATCCTCGCAGAAGGCCAATTCTCTCACACCAGAAGTGACTTACAGTTTCTCAAATCACTCCTGACACCCCCCCCCCCTTTTTTTTTATGGGAGAGTAGATGTCTTTGGCATATCTCTGTTCCTAACAGTTTGAAGAGATATCCAGGTATATCAGTCTAACAGCTAAGAAACCTAATTGCCTTGCATAAATACAAGTGGATATTTACCATTAAAGAGAAGATTGACTCAAACAAGTTTTTTGGCTCTTCTCAGGAAGCTCATACTTTACAAAAGGGTTATGATTCTCCAAATGGTAATGAATGCCAATTAATCTCCAAAGGGTCACATTTCAAAAAGTCTTTGGAGACTCTGGTTTTTCAAAAGGTTAGGAACTAAAAAGTCATGCTTTTCCAAAAGGCTATGAATGCCTTTTCCAAAAAGGCTATGTGTCCAAAAGAATGGCATGGATCTGCCATTTAAAATCCAATTTCTAAGGATAGTCAGCAATCTGCTGAACTTAAGAGGGACAGAAGACAATCAGTCTATCCAGAATTTCTCAGGTCTTAGCCGATGGTTTGTTGACCAAAATAAAGGCTACTGACTGACTGACAGGCATTTCTCAGGCAACCCCTTTCAACCTGAGAATTTTTTACATGACCCCGGGGTTATATAAAATAGGGATAAAATCAAACATTTACTGATAACACATAAGCATTTGCAAGGCTTACTAAACAGCCTGGTTTCCCTTTTTGTGGAATACAACTGAGTCCACTATAAACATTGCATCTCAACAGATTCCTATAACTGGGGGGTGTTCAAAAAACTTTAACTGCTGTCAAATATTTTGCGCAAAGGGGCCCCATTTGGAATTGGGGCCCACAGTTTAAGAAGCAGTGGCATCAAGTAGTCAAGCCTACAAGCACATTCCTTAAAGGCGTACAGTTGGCCACAGTGGCAAGCTGGATGCTGGTTGAACTGGACCCTGGATCTGATCCAGCAAAACTCTGGTTATGCCTTTATAACCCAACAGTAAAAAAAAAAAAGTATTATTATTATTATTATTATTATTATTATTATTATTATTATCTTCCTTTATATTCTGCCTTTTTCCAAGACTAGGACTTAAAGCAGATTAGAAATTTAATCTTATCTATCTTATCTATACACATGTGAAAATGTGTGTATGTGGCGGAGGTGTCCGCTTATGCAGACAGCCTCCAGCCTCCACAAATAGGCTATAGTTCCAAATGCTGAGAAGCCTCCAAAGGCACTCTCTCAACTGACATTGCAAGTTACAGTAAGCACCATGAACATGTGGCCCAAACAATGCCAATGTTCTCCCCAAACACTGTGGCCCACCACCCAAGGAATGCTTTCATTCGGGGAGAATTTCATCCTAGCTTTGACATATTTCCTCCACCACAGGCAGGCATCCCAGGGTTCCTTATGTGGAATTTGCATGACCCCGCCCACTGCCTCTCCCTTAACCCTTTCCTACCCTTTCCTATTGCACACAGCAAACACAGAGGAAATGATCAACAACTGAACAAACTGGAGGGGGTCCAACAATTGACCAGAACCAAACTTGGTACAGAGAAACCCCACGATCAGCAGAACATACTGCAGGGGTTTGGGGAAAATGACCTTGATTTTGGGAGGTGTAGTTCACCTGTATCTCAAGAACACTCAACCCAGCTGACAACAGATCTGGACCACCCTTGGCACACAGACCCAACATGGCCAACTGTAAATACTGGCTGGGTTTGGGGAGGATTGACCCACGATTCTGGGAATTGTAGTTCACCCACATTGTTATGTATTTACTAATGGGAGCATTCATAAACAATGAAATCACAATCTGGCTTTTTCCTAATAAACAGTATTACTATTTAACTAAATTATATTACCTAACACCCTAAAACAAACATATTTTTTTCGAATAACCGGGATACTGCCGGGTACCCAAAATAGTTAAAAATAAATTAAAAGTGAACACCAGTCAGGGACATCACTAGAAGCCCATAATGTCCATTTCACCTTCAATTACAAGACTCACCTGCATGGGAATGGTATATTCCGCTGTGTCCCAAATCCTCATATCTGTCTGAGACACTCCTTTCACTTTGGTGTGTATCGAGCTGATGACATTGTCCTTCTTCTGGTAACGTTTGTCAGCAATAAGAACAACACTGAAGAGACAAAATGGGAAAAGGTTTGGGATATCACACCTCATGAGCTCTCCCCCATCTTCCCATGTACCCATTTCCCAGATGGGGGACTGCAGTTTAGAAAGAGGGAGATCTCCTTCATAGGGTTGCCAGATGATGGGGATAAAATAGAATTTTATAGCTCACCCTTGTCCCTTTCAATAGCAATTCAGTGTACAGAACTACTTTTGTCATGTGGTCATTCAAGTTATAGAACATGTGTTGTCCGCCATCCTTTGTCATCATGGTTTCTCTAACTCCACTTTGAGATAATAGTGCATTGTTTCTTCTATGAATACATTTTAAAGGATTTAAAAAAAAATCATCTAGCAGTGGTATAGTTTGAAAGTATCTCTTTAAGAGTCCCTGGCAACAGCATAACATTCATTCTGTGTGGGTGGAAATGTCATGTGCCAACCTGACAAAGCTGGGCTTGTCTAGAAGAAGGCCCTCCTCGTTTTAACCCAATGCCCAAGCGTGCCTTTGGAAATAAAACAACATTACAGATGAGATTGGCTTTGTCTATGCTGGCACAATCCAAATGGTTTCTCCATTTGTCAAACAAAGTTCCTTTCATTTTCCGCCACTGCCTTCGGTCATGTTTTCTCTAATCAAGAGATCTCAAACGCTTAGCATACACATTTCTACTCATTTGCTTGGCCAATTTTTTTAAAAAAACAAAACATTATTCTGGATTCTGGACTAATAAGACAATTCCTACTCTAAGGCTGACCACCTGAAAGACTACAGTAGGGAAAACAATTGAGAGGGGGAATAAGGAAAGTGACAGCAGGGACTGGTTCTTAGTTCCAAAAGGTTCTCTAAAGGGGCATCTACACTGTAGAATGAATGCTGCTTGACAACACTTGAACTGGCATGGTTCAATGTTATGGAATCCTGGGAGTGGTCGTTGATGAGGTACCTGTACCCTAAGGGCAGAGAAGGCTAAAGGCTTTGTAAAATAACGCCCAGAATTTCATGCCATTCAGCCATGGCAGTTCAGGTGGTACCAAACTGCAATCATTCTACAGTTTAGATCAGGCATCCGCAAACCGTGGCCCTCCAGCTGTTTGAGCCTTCAACTCCCAATTGTCAGGAATTCTGGGAGTTGAAGGCCCGAACAACTGGAGGGCCACAGTTTGAGCATGCCTGGTTTAGATGGATTCTAAGTTTCTCTCTTTCTTGCAGGGAGAAGAGAAGGGAGGTCCTGCAGTCTCTCATCTGATGAATAAATGGGGCTGGTCTAGTCTTCCTCCTGCTATAAGTTGTCATCTTGATTATGAATTGGATGAGAGACCAATATAATAATATAAAACTTTATTATATACCACTCTATCTCCCCGGGGGTACTCAGGGTGGTTTCCAAACAACTACATCAAAGCATATAGAGTCATAACATGAACAAAAAATAACAGTAACAGCAACATAAGCCTGGAATTACCAACAACCAGCAAATATGAAGAATCACCAGGGAAAACTAGAACACAGTTCTGGCTAAAGCCCTGGAGTATTCCTGCCAGACAGCGCTGCCAGAGCTGGCTGGCAAGCTCTGATTCAACATAAGGGAGGTTCTTATGTTCTTCTAATCTTCTTGGAAGGCAATGAATGGGACCATGTTCCTATCAGGGGATGAAGCGGTCTTGCCCACACTTTGCAATAAACCATGACAACACGCCTTTGCAATAAATCAAAACATTAAGAGCTGCATAGGAGAGATCCGAATCAGGCACAGGTCTACCAACACTGTATTTTGATTTTCTTGAAGGGGCACACTTTAGGGCAGCGTTTCTCAACTTGTGGGTTGGGGCACCTCGGGGGGTCATGAGGGGGGTATCAGAGGGGTCTCCAAAGACCATCAGAAAACACAGTATTTTCTGTTGGTCATAGGGGTTCTGTGTGGGAAGTTTGGCACAATTCTGTCTCTGGTGGGGTTCAGAATGCTATAAATCCCAGCAACTACAACCCCCAAATGTCAAGGTCTGTTTTCCCCAAACTCCACCAGGTAATAGTATGAAAGCTGGGTACGGAAGCTCTGAGCCTTACACTCTTTCTGCTTCGCTCCTTCAGGAGCGATGTTTGTGCAACACAGAACAGAACACAGATATTATGGAAGGAATGGAAGAATTCTTTAATGGTAAAACCCTAAACCTTACCCTAACCCTAATCCTACTCCAAACCTTTACCCTAACCCAAAACCTAATTCTAACCCTAATCCTAACTCCTACCCCAAACCATAAACCTTACCTTAAGCTTTATCTTAACCCTCCCCTCCTTTCTATCCTTCCACCAAATTGAAGTATATTCCCACCCTCAGAGTGCCACTCTCCCCTTCCCTTATTCACAACCGCCATTGCGGAATGTGTGTAATGCTCGGAGCTTCCAGACCCAGCTATCATACTATCACCCTCCAACAGTGTTCACATTTGGGCATGTTGAGTTTTTGTGCCATGTTTGGTCCAGATCCATCATTTTTTGAGTCCACAGTGCTCTCTGGATGTAGGTGAACTACAACTCCAAAACTCAAGTTCAATGCCCACCATACCCTTCCAGAATTTTCTGTTGGTCATGGGAGTTCTGTGTGCCAAGTTTCGTCCAATTCCATTGTTGGTGGAGTTCAGAATGCTCTTTGATTGTAGGTGAACTATAAATCCCAGCAACTACAACTCCCAAATGACAAAATCAATCCTCCCAACCCCACCAGTATTCACATTTGGGCGTATTGGGTATTTGTGCCAAATTTGGTCCAGTGAATGAAAATACATACTACCTATCAGGTATTTACATCACAATTCATAACAGTAGCAAAGTTACATTTATGAAGTAGCAATAAAAAGAATTTTATGGTTGGGGGTCACCACAACATGAGGAACTGTATTAAGGGGTCACGGCATTAGGAAGGTTAAGAAACACTGCTTTAGGGAAATCAAAATCTGGCTGAGTTTAGGATTGTCGCTAGACCAGTTCAGCTGCTATTCACTATAGTTTATGTCATGAAGTGGATTGAAATAAATTTCCACTAAAGTTTTTCTTTTTTTATCGCACGGTTAAAAACTGTCAATAAAAATTCTCTGATTGGGATGCAGTCTGTTTAAAAACTCAAATGAAATGAAACAATAAACCGAGAAGCAAAATGCAATACCAAGATGAAACTGAAAGGGAAAAATAGCTCTACTAGCACTATGCAACAGTGTGGAGGCACCAAAACTATCCTTTGTTTTTATCTTAACTTTCAGATGCAAATTAAACTCACTTCCAGCAGTACTTACTTACATCAGGTCACACGGATTTGATTTCAACGGGAATCCTTTTCCAAGGCTTGCAGCCCCAAAGCAGTTTCTTTTCACCTACTCAACTTTGCCTTCTTTTCACTTACCTGACGTATGTGAAGACAACTGTATGAATGGCCCATTTGAGGCTCCCGTAGAAAATGCTCTGGAAGCGCACAACTCTGTTAGTCTCATATTCGCAGATGTTCTTCAAAGAGCTGCAGGCGGCCATTGGCAGGGGAGAAAAAAGATCTCTTACTAGGCTGTCAGAGAACAACAGTTCCTTGGATTCTGGCTCCACACCCAAGCAGGCAGGGAAAAGCCAGTGACTTCAAGCTGCAGGGAGGGGGGAAAGAGCAAAGGAAGAGACATCAAATCAATCACCAGAATGATGCTGAAGCCATTGCTGCTTACAACCTGTTGCTGCTGCTTGCTGTTCTTTGAAAGGAAATCCTGCTGCAGACAAGAAAAGTGAAAGTAAAAGAAACACTTCAGTGACTAGCTTGAGTGGCCGGGTTATTTTAAAAAGTCAGTTTTTTAATTGTACAAAATGCATAAGGTTGTGGGTGAACTACAACTCATGCTAGGTTAACCCCGAAAAACTCCATCAGTACTTAAAGTTTGTTATGTTGGGCGAGTTTGCTCTAGATGCATCATCGGTGGGGTTCAGTGTGCTCTCCGCCTGTAGGGTAAACTACAATTTCCACTATGGTGAGTCAGTTCTGTGTGCCAAGTTAGTTCCAGGTCCATCGTTGGTGGAGTTCGGAGTGCTCTTAGATTGCAGGTGAACTATACATATCAGTACCTACAACTCCTAGCAATCCCAAACCTCTCTAGTTACTGATCAATTCCTCTGTTTCCTGCATGCCATAGAAAATAATAGGAAAGGGTTAAGGGAGAGGCAGTGGGCAGGGTCATGCAAATTCAACACCAATAGAGAGAGTAAGAATGTCAGTGGTGGAGAAAACACATAAAATCTAGGAGAAATTGTCCCCAAATGAAAGTCTTCACTTGGGTGGTAGGCAGTATGGTGTTTGTGGAGGACATTGGCAGGGCTCTTGGACATGTTCATGACGCTCACTATAACCTGCAGTGTCATTGGAGGGAGGGCCATTGGTGTCTCCTGAGTAGTGGGAATTATAGCTGTTTGTGGAGGCAGAAACTTATCTGTGTAAGTAGACACCCCAGCCACATACACACATACATATTTTAACTTCTATTATGTGCATAGAAGATTATATACAGAAAGTCTTTTGTGTTGATTTGGATGGTACTTTCCTCACTATTTCTATACTTTAACTGTATTTTCAAAACAGCTTTAAAACTAGTGTTTGATTGTGTCTCATTATTTCTTTACAGATATTGTTTTAACTTTTATTTGGTTTTAGCTCAAATTGTTATCTGTCTTGGATCCACACGGGGAGAAAACTGGGTATTAAATAAATAAGACGGGATGGCGCTTGGGAGTCTCTTCCAACTCTAGGAGTCTATATCAGGAGTAGGCAATACAGGGTCTCATGGATACACCTTTTATCTCCCATTCACCATCTCATCCTGATCTTCCTCTTCTCTTCTGGGATCTAAAAGAGAAGAGGAAGGGCAGGAAAGGGAAGAAAGGGGACTTGGGAGAACCCCTCCCTCTATCCTGAGTACTGTTCCTGATCCTTCTCCATGGTGGGTTCCAAGCAATCTTTCGTCCAGCTGGTCATCCTGCCCCCTATCAGCCAATGGAGAGGGGAAATCTGCACTGGAAGCAGGGAAAGCTCTCCGATTGGCTAATGGGTGTCGCAGTCCCGCCTCACGAAGGGAGTCCTCTCAGCTGGCTGTGGCGTCAAAGCCAGTTTTGCCAATCAGTGCGATGCTGACTCCAGCTGGGGTGAGTGGGAAACACAAAGGATTTGAATGTATAAAACTCTATGTTTTGCTTGTATGAGGCATCTCAGCTTCCTTTAGCGCAGTGGTTCTCAACCTGGGGTCCCCAGATGTTTTTGGCCTTCAACTCCCAGAAATCCTAACAGCTGATAAACTGGCTGGGATTTCTGGGAGTTGTAGGCCAAAAACATCTGGGGACCCCAGGTTGAGGACCACGGGACCACGAGCTGTCATCCTTTCCAGCTGGATAAAGTAAAATACCTCGGTGGCTTTCTTCTTCAACTGGTGAGATCTCAATTGGTGAAAATTGGGTTTACAGCTTCTTGGTCTCACCAGTCACAGACCTTAGTATCCACGCTTCAGGTTTCTAGTATCCGTGGTCCGGATCTCACTATCTGCGACCCATCAAATTTGTCCAATTTCAAGGAATCCCACTGGAGCATTGCAACACACCAAAATACCTGGGAGTTACTCTGGACCATGCTCTGACTTACAAGAAGCACTGCTTGACTATCAAGCAAAAAGTGGGAGCTAGAAATAACATCATATGAAAGCTGACTGGAACAACCTGGGGATCTCAACCAGATACAGCTACTTTGCTGCTGAATATGCATGCCCAGCATGGAATACATATCACCACGCTAAAACAGTGGACATGGCTCTTAATGAGACATGCCTCATTAACACAGTATGTCTACACCTCACACTGCTGGAGAAATTATACTGTTTAGCCGGTATTGCACCACCTGACATCTGCCGGGAAGTAGCAGTGACATCTCTGGCCTGTCCCCTGTTCAGGTATCAGTCAGCATGTCCACATCTTAAATCAAGAAACAGCTTCCTAAGATCTACAGAGATACTCTGTAGATCTTAGGAACGGTTGAGGATTTGAACAAGACATAGTTTTTATCATTTATTGCTTTTATGGTTTTTAAATGTATTGTGATTTTTTTGCTTTTTACTGATGTATGTATTTTTATATATGACATCTAATTGTTGCCAATTTGTGCGCCGCCCTGAGTGGCCTTCGGGCTGATATGGGCGGGATAAAAGTGATGTAAATAAATAAATAATTAAATACTTGCAGGAACACCTCAGCAAGCGAGAGTCCAAAAGTGGCAGTTAAAAACCCGGAACCTCAATCAGTGGCTCAGACTGGTGGAGAAACTCCCTCCTGGGCACATAGAAGACGCTGAACAGACTGCGTTCTGGCACAAGAAGCAGAGCCAACTTTAAGAAATGAGGCTACCAAGTGGAGTCCATGACATGCTAGTGTGAAGAGCAAACCACAGACCACTTACTACAATGTGGCCTGAGCCCCACCACATGCGCAGAGGGCCTTATCCCCACCACACCAGAGGCACTAGAAATGGCCAAAGGTAATAATGCCAAGTGTTTAACTTTGTGGTCTCTTTATACATTATAACTGTATTCTCAATTCGTTTCTGATACAATAAATAAACCATTAACTAAAAACCACTCGTTAACATCTGTGGGAAATTGGCTTGAATAAAATGACATACTTGTTTTTCTCATTTCAGGAGAATTTTTTTACCAGCTGCTGGGAGCAAAGGCTACCAGAAAGAGAACAAACACCCTCTCATTCCCACTCTCCCCGCCATTTCCAATCATGTACACTGCGCGTGGGCCAACGCCGGACCCGCCCCTTTCCAGATCGCACTGTGCGCACGCGCAATTCTGTTTCTTCGTCTGGACCTTCCCAAGTCCTCGTCCCGTCGCCATGTTGGTCACGTGAGCGAAACCGCCGCCTCGACCGTACGCTAGCAACCGTTGCCAAGGGGTTTGGCAAGTGGCTTCGCCCCGGTCGGAAACCGCGCCAGTTGATCTGGGCGTTTTGAGGAGGAACGAGGTAAAAGGACGAGGTGGGGAAGAGCGCTCTGGGAGGAATATGGAGCTACTGTTTGGCTCGAATCCGAGCGCTGGAAGCTAGGCCCCTGTTGGCATGGCAACGCGTAGCTGCCATTGGGGAGGGGAACTACTGAGGCCAGAGGATCTTGATTCGTATCCTTGCCTCACCTTTTTGATAGAGCAACAGAAGCCAAAGTTGGGAGAGAAGTCTGCAAATGTGATTTAATCAGACGGATAGAAAGCAAGGAGGGGAGTGAAGAGGGACCTGGGGAAGGAGTCATGAAAATCAAAGGGGAAAGGTTTGCCAGTGTCCTTCTTAGCAGCCTTCCTTGCTGGTGCTGCTCGGACCTTATCTACACTGCCATCTAATCCAGTCTCCGAATCCAGATGATTTGCTTTGAACTGGAATATAAGGCAGTGTATTATTTATTTATTTCGCATATTTGAATCCCGTCCTTCTCACCTCCGAGGGGGACTCAGGGCGGCTTCACAATTCATTCAGTGCCCACAACAGTAATAAATGACAAAAGCAGTTAAAACATAAAATGACTAAAACATTGTTTAAATTATTCAGGATTGAAATCATAGCCCAGGTCAGTCCATTGTCATTCACCACAAATTGGGTCTCATTCTAAATTGCTGCCTTTACTGTTCAAACACTTGATCCCATAACCAGGTTTTGATTTTAATTCTAAAGGACAAGAGAGAGGGGGTCAATCTAATGTCACAGGGTAGAGAGTTCCACAGGCAATGGGTGACCGCTAAGAAGGTCCTGTCTCTCGTCTCCACTAGTTGCACTTGCGAGGATGGTGGGACCCAGAGCAGGGCCTCTCCCATCAATCTTAGACTTCGCCGTGGTTCATAGCAGGAGATATGTTCAGACAGGTAAGGTGGACCAGAACCGTTCAGAGATTTATAGGCTAAAGCCAGCACTTTGAATTGTGCTCGGTAGCAGATTGGCAACCAGTGGAGCTGGTGTAGCAGAGGAGTTTATGCTCTCTGTATGCCACTCCGATGAGCATCCTTGGTGCCATCTGTTGGACTAGTTGGAGCTTCCGAACAGTCTTCAAAGGCAACCCCATGTAGAGTGTGTTGCAGTAATCTATTCGGGATGTAATGAGAGTGTGGACCACCATGGCCAAGTCTGACTTCCCAAGGTACGGGCGCAACTGGCACACAAGTTTTAATTGTGCAAAAGCTTCCTTAGCCACTGCCAAGACCGGTTCTAGGCTTAGCAATTAGTCTAGGATCACTCCCAAGCTGCGAACCTGTGTCTTCAGGGGGAGTGTGACCCCATCCAGCACAGGCTGTAACCCTATGCCCTGTTCGGCCTTGTGACTGACCAGGTATATGATCCAGTTCAAAACAGATCATCTGGATTCAGAGACTGGATTAGATGGCAACGTAGATCCAGCTTCAGAGTATTATTATTATTTTATTTATTTATTATTTTATTTATTTATTTATATCTTGGTTTTTCTCTCATTCGGAGACTCAGAGCGGCTCACTACTGAAAACATTGCAATACAGCTTCAAGTATACAAGTATTAAAACAGTATTAAATGCTGGAAATTTGGAATAAATTCAGGAAAATGTTAATGACAGAAGGCTCAATAATAACTCCAATTATAATGGAAAGGAAATTCATCCCAAAATTGTAAAACATATGGGATAAAAAATTAAGAAAAAAATGAGATAAAATAGGGGACTGGATAAATGTTGGAGTGAAGAAGGAAAGTATGAGGGAGGAATTGAGTGAAAACTATCATGGTTCCATAGCACACAATTAGAACAATGGTTTAAGAATTGGTTAAAGATAATAGAAACTGAAGTAAACTGACCCAATTTGAGCAAATAGTACAGAATGGAAGAGACACAGAAGAACATGAACATTTGAAAGGAATAACTAGTAAAATGTGTAAGATAATAGTTGACATTCAAAAGGGAAAGCAAAGAACAATATTCTCAGGAAGACATGGGAAGGAGATTTGGGGATTAAAATAAGTGATGTGGACAACTATGGGAAGAAAGACATTAAAAACCTATTAATACGTGTTAAAGAAAACGATTATAAATTAATATGGAAATGGTATTTAACATCAGTAAAATAGCAAACATTAACAAAAAGTAGTAAAAAAATTGTTGGAGGGGATGCACATATGTGGTGGCAATGTAAATATGTAAGTAAATTTTGGTATCGCAGGGCCCGGGCAGGTTCGTACAAGGGAATGTGGTTGGCCAAATAGCCAGGACCTGAATCATCATGGGCTTTAAAGGTCATAACCAACACTTTGAATTGGGCATGACATTTCCTCCCCCATGTCCAGGCACTGGACTGGCACAGATTTTGTGATCCCAGTTGCTTTCAACCCCCCTTTCCTTCTGCTCTTCCAGAGATTGTCCAGCCAACCATCATGAGCGACCAACTGAAATTCATCGTGGAGAAGCTCAACAAAGAGCCCTTCAAGAGAAACTTCAATTTAATCACGTTTGACTCACTGGAATCAACACAACTCTTACAACTGCTCAATGACATCCTTGGAGAAATTGACCCCAAAGTAAGGGTGGCCTTTGAGATCTTGACATAAGCTCGCGGACTGTTTCCATGAGAATGAGGTCCAAAGTTACCATCAAATAACCTGGATTTTAGGAAAGCTACATTTTTGGACTATATTATTATTATCATCACACTTTCTTCTCTTAAACAAGACTAAAAGTAGCTCACAACATATAGACATTCAGAAAGAATTAGATGTAGATCAGTTAAAACATGTTGTTAAAATCAACTAACACTATTACAGACTGTAAAAGAAATGAAAAGACTACACAGCACCCCCTGGCTCTCTCTTAAAAACTTTCTTATAACAGTCAGAATCCCCTATGCCTAGGAATTGAGAATTCTAGTCCAAAAAAGTAAATTTACGAATCTCTGAAATGATCTCCAAGTATGCATTCTATAGGTTGCCATGATGTACCTGCCCCATATGTCCTAGGAGATCTTGGTTCTTTGCCACAATGGTTCTCTTTTTTCTTAGCATGATGATGATGATGATGATGATGATGATGATGATGATGATGATTAGAGTATGCCCATCCAGGGACCAATTGATTGTATGGCTTCGATCAGTTTTAATCCTGTATTTTAACCAGTTTTAACTGTTGCTAATTTCATCAAACTGTGTGTTAAATCAGTCAGCTGTTGTTAATCTTATTAACCTTGCGTATTTTGTACAGTTACGAAGGAATAAGGGTTTTGGACCATAATAAAATGTTGTTGTTGTTATTAATTCATGCACCACTTTCCTCTCTTAATCGAGACCCAAAGCAACCCACAACATTAAAAACAATGCAATTGAAAACCTACAACATATAAATATTAAACTAGAATCAAACTGACAATTATTGAAACAAACCAATTCATTGACGTCCTCCTAAACTAGTGTAACATGAATGACTTATCTCAAAGAAAGCATATTCTGTTCAAGAAATACCTTCTCCATCAAAAAAAGGCATCATATAATTTCTTTCCTTGATGTCCTAGTACAGGCTACAGGAACATGTGATCTCCAAACAATGTTAGCTTGTAACTCCCATTATCTCTAGCCAGAATAGCTAGTGCTGAGGGATGATGGGAGGTGCAGTCCAACAACCAGAGGGCCATGCATTGCCCCATTCCTGTAATAGTACATTGGTCTGATAGAGCCATGATCCAAGACCTCAGTAGCCAAAGGGTTTGGTTAATGTGAATACTTTCTGTGTCTTCCTTGTCCATCCTCTGAGGCTTATGTCCCCATATACATCCAGGGTTTCTCCGTCTCTTATGTTCTCTCTCCACCCCTTCATTCCCTCAGCTTTCCCTATAAAAAAAATAAAAAAATAATGAAGACAGAATACTCCCCCCATCCTATGTATGTTTCCATCTCACTCAAATGAATAGGAATGGGCTAATATTTGAACAGATTATATTTTCCCTTTTACACAGGGCACTATATTAGCTGTAGGTTTAATCACCTGTTTATGAAATATAATGGTGCCTTACTGAGATAAATACCATTTGTGTTAGTAGCTCATTGGTAAAGCATATGATTTGCATTTAGATTATCAAAGTTCAGCTTTTGGCAGCTCAAGGTAGACTTGGAAAAGTCTCTAGTCCAAAATTTTGAAGAGGCATTACTGTCAGCTGAAAGAATTCTGAGCTAGATGAACCAATGGTCTTACTTGGTAGAAGATAGTCCTGTGTTTCTATGACAATCTGATCAGGTTAAAGAGTTCCTGGAAGGAAAATGATAGGAGTTTAAATGCAGCCTGCCTTGTTACATACGCAACCTTTCACTTTTGCTCTCACAGAGCCGCCAATGGGCAGTTCATATGTGTTCTTCTAGATTTTGTTTTACTTGTATTACAAAGTTTGTCATGTTAATTATAGCTTTGCTATTTTTAAACCTTTCAGCACGCTGTTGACATTAGAGAAGAGTTGCCAGAACAGACAGCTAAACGGATGTTGAGCCTTCTTGGCATTCTTAAATATAAACCTCCAGGAGGTACCAGTGACTTGTAAGTATTTATGTTCTGTTGGTAATTATTAAATTCAGCCACTAGCAAAGATATTTGAATCTGTAAACATTTATACATTTTTAAAAAAACCTTGTCACTTGCCAGAAAATTATATTACTAACATATGTCATGTTATTTCTTAGTCTTACTAGCTATTCGTTGGATACAAGTTCACTCTGAAAATGAGTATGTGTTTCAGAGAGATTTCATTGCTTTAGAACTGAGTGTAAAGGTGAACTTAGAATAGACAGCGGTTAAAACTGAGACACTAGACATAAGAATGTATGACTTGTGAAACATTATCCAGGCCCTAGTGATAATTTTGACATGTTGCAGTGTATAATAATGTTCCTTCTCAAAAAAAGTGCTTGAGTGTGCAGAATCAAGTTGTGTTCAACCCAGACACCCAGAACCAGAAAATAAAATAAAGTGGCATAATTTGCAATTCAGTCAGATTAAATTTAACAAAACATGTACATTGTATTGAGGGATATTTCATGATAATTCGGTTTCTTCTAAATGAGTTAATCCAGACTACTAAAGCATGTAATTTCTGCTTTGCCAATATGCTACATTATGCTGGGACGAGTACCCAATGAAGAGAATCATTTTATGTTTTTTGTCTCCGAAACTATATGTGACAAGTGTCTGGAATTTGGAGGCATTGTTTACAGCTGTACTTGTGACGAATGCTGTAGAATGCCTACATTGTGGGTCGGTCTATATGGATTCTGCAGTTAACCTCCTCTGTACAAACCTTGCCAAGAAAATCCCACGATAGGTTCACCTTTGGATTGCTGTATATTGGAAGTGACTTGAAGGCACCCAAATTAAGTGCGTGAGGGTTAATGTGGGATTTTGTAAAGCATACTTTCTGTTAAGTTTCCTACAATGCTAATTGTAAGCAACAAAGTCCAGAAAACCAAGCTGCCTGTGTTCTTTATGTTGAACGCTAGAGGGTGGTATTGTTCTATCCGTAATTGAGTTCCCACTAAATTCGGCTTGTGATCCAAGATGGACACACTATGGATTCAGATGACTAAAGTGAAGACATGGCTGCATTCATACATGTCAAGATTTAGTAATATCTGTTAGCCAGGACCACATGTTGGATCTGATGTTTTGAGCATTCTCTACACATTTCCATAAAGTTTCAGGAACACTGATTTTGCAGACAACCAGATTCCCATGTATGGAGATACAGACATTTTAAAAACAGAGGAGGTGATGGCTTCTGCTTGGAACCTCATCGTCTGAAACCACTAACAAAGATAGGCAATATTTTTTGAAATGGGCAAATAGCTTTGGCAAAGGAGTTAAGAGGAGTGAATAGGGGCAGCAGATAAAGGAAACTAGTAACATAAAAAAACAACAGGCAGTAATGTAGGTTTTAATAGAAGAGAATTGATAGGTGGCTTGATGATTGGAAAGAATAATAGCAGCAATAATAACCAGAAGTGACTTGCAGTTTCTCAGGTTGCTCCTGACATGAAATAAATAAATAAATAATAGCAATATCCTGCCTCGAGCCGCGAGGAGAGGTCAGTAAGAAATAAAATTATTATTATTATTATTATTATTACTACTACTACTACTACTACAATGTAGTATGACCTGGAGCAAAGTAAGTTGGGAAAAGTGGACATACTTTCTCACTTTTCTCATCACTGAAATGTATTGTTCTTCTGAATTAAACTGGATATGCAGTTAACTTTTATACCTGATGATAAGATATCTTTTTTAAGTTGTGGAATAAAAACCAACTCTTCTTCCCAGTAAGAAATAGTTGCACATAACTCAGTAGTACAGCACCTGCTTTGCACGCAATATAGTCTAGGCTCAGTCCCTGGCATCTCCAGTTCAAAGTATGAGAGACACAATGATGTGAAAAACTTTCTTTTGCGAAACCTCTGGCCAGTTGGAATAGATGGACAAAACGTGGTCTGTCTTAAGGCCATTTCCTATGTTCTTTGTACTCCTCCAGAAGAGCTCATGCTGCTGCATGAGTCACTGATTTGGCCTTTCACATCATTGCAAAGAAGGAAGACTAGTCCAAAGCAGTGACTCATGCAGAGGGACAACATGTAGTCTGCTTTAAATGCAGGACATTCCACAGTGTTTCTGCCTTGAGATGGATTGAGTGATCCGGTCATATATGTTCTGGGGAAATAATAGACTGATTGGAGGAATGCAAGGCCACAGCAGTGACCCATACAGATAGATAGCAGGTGGACATCTCTCTGCTCTGTAGTTACAAGAGCAGAGAGTTTAAAGAGCAATCATTAAAAGTATTTCTCATGGGACACAACTTGGAAATGACTCAGGGATGTAAGTACTTCATGATGCAGACAATCTGCCAGCCAGGACTTTCAGAGAGTAGCCACTGGCAAACTTTTGTCTCATGTAGCTTCTCATGCATGTAGAGTATAAACTGAGTATCAGGAGTCGCAGCCTTCTGGTACTTCTGTGGCATGCCGAGTAAAAAGTAAATACAGCTGGACTGGAACTCAGATGTTTGTCTATCCGTAGTTGCGCTCAAAAGCATTAGTTGGAGAAGGGTGAGGAGAGGAGGAGGTAGCAGCAACAGGTAGAGGGTCCTAAAAAGGTGGAATCGGTGAGCATGCAAGACAGGGCCACGACTTTGAAACACTCTCTTGCTGTTTGGTGCTTGTTTGTGAAGGCCTTGGTGGCCAGGTGGTTATGATAGTGAATTGAATTGATGCTCTATTGTTAGATATTTTAGGGCTTTTTCTGTAATGGGTCTCTTTTAAATTCTAAGACATCTGGTGAATGGTTTGTAGGCTCTCTTCCTAAGGCACTTTGGATCTGAAAAGTAGAATTCAAAATGGCATGGATAAAATTTCCATCAGTTACAGACCTGTCAGTGGCCTAAATACTAGGGTTGTATAGGTTCGTTTGGAAGAACCTAAAAGACGTAAAAAAACTTCTGATTTTGGGCTTCCGAAGCAGTTTTGAACCTTGCAGGAAAGGTGGGACAGGCAAATCTGAATTTGAACCACTTACCTTTTCCCCCTGGAAATATTCCATAATGTTCGGATGTCTCCCAAGGTTATTTTAATTTTCACAACCATTAAGCAACTTTGGTAAAGCCTAAACAGTTTAAAAATCTCGTGGTTTCCCTTCCCCGGTGATGCAAAGAGGGATGAGGTGGGTGTGGCTAAGCACAGCCATTGTTGTAGTTTGTGAAGGCCAGGCCCCCAATGGCAGAGATTGCAAAAGGCCCTGCTGTTAAACTACATTTCCCACACTGCCTTGCTGCCCATTAGCCAAAATGACTGAAGGATCCCTCCCCTATAGCTGTCTGTAGCAGTCTTCATCTAAATATAAAATAAAATGATTGAATCTACAAAGATGTCTAAAGAGAAGGCAGCAAAGCAATAAGCAAGCCTAACCCTTTCTTTTTCTGTTATCCCTGCAATAAAGATACGTGTCCAGTGTCCACCACAAAAGGGGTGCCTCCATGACTCCCCACACATTCCTTTTCGGCACAACATGTGCCTTGGCTCCCCATGCCCTGCGTCCTGATGTTTGCCATTATTTGCCACTATTTCCCATGATTTTTCCTTTTTGCCATTTTTCCCTGGCAGGGATTGAACTCGTGACCACTCAGTTCTGGGGGCGGTGTGCTCTCCGAGCCACCGACTGCCCTGCAGCAAATATCAATTGGGAACTTATACTTATTCACTTCCCAGCAGGAAAGAAGGGGGTCAGTCTAGATGTCCCTTGATGGGGTGAATATGATTTCTGTTCTCCCCCAATCTAACACAGTTTGTGCCACACAAAGTTTCTGAAGTAGAACAACTACTTTCAAAGTAAAGACCACCCAATGAAACAGGAAATAACATTTTCAAACCAGGAACAGATTTTCTTTATTATTAAAAAATGTTCTTTATAAAAACTTTGAAAAAAAATTCCCTAACAGGGATCGAACTCACGACCTCCTGGTTCTGGGGGTGGTGCACTTTCTCAGTGAGCCACCAAGCGCTCTGTAGCAAATAGCAATTTGGAACTTATACTTCACTTCCCAGTGTCTATAAAAACTTTTTAATAAAAACGTTGAAAATTCGCCAAAAATCCATGGATAAGTCAAAAGTTATGAAATTTAGTGAGCTAACAGTGGTCCACGTGTTCTACCACTGTAGCAAGTTTCATCACGATTGGTCTAAAAATGAGGGAGGGAGAATCCCCTGAAGTTTCCCCAGTGCCAGTGTGGGTTTTTTCCTACTGCGCATGCATGTCTGCCATTAACAAAGCAATTCGGAAGTTTCGGAAGTGACTTTAGAATTGAACCAATTAGAAGCACCCCCTACATCTATCCGAAACGGGTTTTGAAACATTTTTTATCAACCAAGCCAACTAAATACCCTGAAGGCACCAGAACCCATCTGAATTTAGAAGCTAACCAGGGTCAACTCTGGTTAGTATTGAAATGAGAGACTGCCAAGGTATGCCAGGTGGTGTAGGCTATATTTCAGAAGGAACTGGAAAAAAAAACACCTCTGAGGGTTTCTTGCCTAAGAAAATGCTGTGGAATTCATAGGATCATCATAAGTCAATGGGCAGTTTGAAGGCACGTACACATACACCCAGAGTGCCACTTCTCTCCATTGGTACATGCACACACAACAGCCACAGATTTGCATGCCACCAAGGGAATAGATTAAAAGGTGCTTTTCGGGTTAGGAAAAGTGCCAAGTAGATACTTCAGCGTTATTGTCAACCTTATGATGAGGAAATAAGTCCTCTACAGTACTTATATATCCTTCAAACATCGTTTGTTTTGGAAGGATCTGATACTTGGAATTTTATTACTGTTATTATTTAGGAGTACATTTCGCCAAGGGTTGGTTATTGGAAGTAAACCTGTCATCCATCCTGTGTTGCATTGGCTCCTCCAACGGACAAATGAGCTCAAGAAAAGGGCCTACCTTGCTCGCTTCCTCATCAGAGTGGATGTGCCAGCTGACTTCCTTCAAGACGACACTGTTGCCGACACCAATAGACAGGTAGCATTGCCCATTCAATTCACTTGCAGTAGAGGCTAAGCTGACCCTTTTCACTATGGCCCTTCTACTGGGAGGCAAAGATGTTTAATTCAGACAGTCTTTTGGTAATTTGTTTTGCTGCTGAGGAAAAGGCTTTTAACTGCAGTGTGGGGGGGGGGGTGATATTTAAGAAAACCTTTTATTGTGGTGCCTTCTGAAATATTTTAATTACTTGATGGTTTTTGGTGGGTTTTGTATAATCAGTCTTTAATAGTGTTTTAATACTACAAAGCACGGTGTTTTAATCTGTCCTTAATCATGTTGTGAGCCACCTTGAGTCCCTATGAGAAAGGGAAGATACGCATGGAATGAATTAATTAAAGCAGAGAGGTGTTTGCTCACAGTGTTCCTTGATGGAGGATGAGCCTACTCTGGACCAGAAAAAGCCATGTAAAACTTTTTGCATTTTAAAAGATGGACAATGCTAAAATATGCCATGCTATTTATATCTGTATATCCATTTGGTTTTTCATTATGACATGTTGTGTGGCCTGCTAGGTTTGTGTCTGCTTGAATGAAGATAGGCCCTAATAAGACAAATGTCTTTGGCTTAATGCAGAAGGATTTTCCCAGCTTCTCTCAGTTGCCCCTCAAGTCCTTTCAGTTATCTCTGGGGTGTCTTAAGCTGTTGCCATCAAGTATAATCTTTGTGTGTTGCTGGTACCAAGACACTGGAGCTTCATCCATGTCATTGCATTGGAAGGACTGAATGTAAAATGGCAATAGAAGTAGCATATGGGCTTGGTGTTTCTTCTGGTGCATTCTGTCGGCCAGTTAAAGCAGGAGAAAGCAACCTTGCCTCACAAGGAAGCTAATGTTAACTTTTTGCTTTGCGACAATATCCAATATTATAATTAAAATAACTAAACAAAAGCTGCCTTTTGAGAAAGGAATTCAGCTTGTATGTTTGTACAGCGTGTGCCACTCCTAATTTGTATAAAGATACAACTTGGCAGTTTCCATTATGTAAAATGTGCTCCAATAATCTACTGGCTTATCCAAAATAGAAACTGTAATAATACACCACCCTTAAAACAATATGGCCATGTGAGGTTGTTTAAATGGTTGTTTAAAGAGCCTAAAAAGCAAGCAATTTTGCTGATGGTACCTGATAATTTCTATGTGCAATATTTTATTTTATAAACAGAGATCAACTATCCTGGTTCTTGTTCACTGCAAATATTTATTCAGTGTGTCTCTTTGCTCTCTGCTAATTTTCCAGAAATCATAGAACAAATATGATCTAGATATAGCTTCGTTGGTTTGCTTGCAAGACTGATTAATTCAGGAAAATGTTGCCTGTCTGCTGGTCTGCTCTCTTGTCATAGTTTTGATCTCTGTGAATGTAAATTACAGTGACAATACTTCATTTCTTAACAGTGCTGGCTTTAAGAGTTCTGTTTCTTTCTTTCTCTCGATGTCTTACAGTATGAAGAGCTGATGGAGGTATTCAAAAACCTACATAAAGAATGTGAACAGCTCAAGACCTCTGGTTTTTCTACGGCAGAAATACGGAGGGTAAAATAAATGCTTGAAATCTTAATTTTAGAAAAGCTCCCCCCCCCCCACATTATTTGTTAATTGATTACGTGTGTACCATGAAATTGCATTTGAGAACGTTTGTTTCTGTAACACCAAGCAGATAGATGCATTTTAAAATATGTCATGGGTTTTCTGGCATCTGGCAAAGTTGGCAGTGTGGTGGTAGCAAGTGTTGGGTGTTCCCCCCATTCCTGATATGAGGGAAGTAAGAACATCTCTACTCGGCTTCTGCCCTAATCCTTGCTCAGGTGGTTTTCTCTGCCATTGCAGTAACTCCAAGCAGTAGGAGGGCATGGGCAGCTGAGCACTGTTGGAAAGAAGATTGGAAAGGTGTATGCCAAATGTACTGTAATAAGCAGATAGGTTGGGCATGATTCAGCCATCGCAAAGCACTTTAAGTCACTGCAGTTTGAGAGACAAGATATGCTTCAATCTCCAAACTTGAAATCAGTGGTGTTGAATAATCATTACTTTTGTCTGGATTCCACTTTATTTCAGAATGAAGATATCTTTATTCATGATAACTTTGTATGTCAGAAGGAGGTTTGTGTGGTCCCTGTGTTGCTGTCTTTTCAGCACCATGGAAATACATTTTATGAGTAAACAAAAGAGTTGCTTTTATCTATTTATTTTTAGCCTTCAAAAATTTGCTTCTGTTTGCAGTGGATGTTGATACAGAGTGTGTCTAAGATTCCCTGGAAAAATGAGGAATAAGATATGAACTCAAAACAACTTTGTTATACACACAAAAACATTTTGCTAGCCATGTTGGCTAACTTATGGTAACTGTCGCCCATCTGCCCCCAGAAACAGTGTTCTCTTTTGTTCTTTCTTTTTGTAAGGATGTTGAGATTACATGTGTTAAAATGTTTGGTTTGGCTTCTTTTCCTTTTTTTTCTTTGCGAGATCAACAGATTCAATAAGGTTAAAATGTACTGTGTTAAATATGTTGATGGGGCATTAATTAAGTTCAATAAGAAAAACTAATCAGAATGCTGAGAACAATTGATTAATTTACATGATTGCCAGGACTAATTTTGCTCCTAGAAATTCAGAATTGTACAAAAAAAATCAAATTGTCAATTTCCTCTAAATGTTGCCACTTTCTAGGATATCACTGCTATGGAAGAAGAGAAGGATCAACTGATGAAGAGAGTGGAGCGTCTCAAGAAGCGGGTAAATGACTAATAAGGCTGTGGCATTTGGGTGTCATCCTTCCCTTGCCAGTTTGAATAAGGAATGCAAACATGGATTAAGGCTAGCATGCCGTAAGGCAGGGGAAGGAATCAAATGGCAAACTGGAGGAAATGGATCTACTCAAGGCAGTCGTCCAAAACCTTTAAAGACCTTGAGCCAAACACTTCAGTGGCAGCTCCAGGAAGTACTGCATGTGAGGAAGAAAGTGTGGTGTGAAGCTGCGAGACACCCGATCGTTATAATTGATTTCTCAGCTATGTTAACTTGTCCCACTTATCCCCTTTGCCATAGGTGGAGACAGTTCAGAATCACCAGCGAATGCTGGAAACAGCAAGACAACTTCGGGTAGAGAAGGAGAGAGAAGAATCTCTTGCCCAACAGAAACAAGAACAGAAAAATCAGGTATATATCCAGACTACGCTACTAAGATCATCAGTTTTAAAACAGTGAAAACCTAACAATGTTAAAATAATTACAATTAGCAATTTGAATAATTAAAATAAATAACACATACATAAATTAATATGTTTTTTAAAAAATCTGTTTTTTATCAAAACCCCTTTAAAAATTTGTTAGGCACATTATTAGTTGAAGGAACTCTTTTTTTCAGTGATTTAAAGCTTGTTCTCAGTATGCTGGATGAAAATTATGTGAGCAAAGTTAGGTGTACCAAAGGTTCCCAGTATCCCTCACCATTGATTGCGCTGTTTAAGGATGCTGCAAGTGGTACTTCATTAACATTTGGAAGGCTGCCTTTTCCTGCCTGGATATGATTGCATATATCTTTCACATGCTGGGGGAAAAATAGAAGAAACCACTGCCTCTTGATGCTCAGCTATTCCAGATCCAGTGACATATAACTGGGAAATAGGATGTGGCCTAGATGAATAGGTGTGCTGTTGAAGTACGTATCAGAGTTTGGAAAAAATTGAGGCAAAGTTGTACAACTCCCAGAATCCCCCAGCCAGCAGGGCCACTTGGTTGTGTTTCCTAGCAGATTCTGGAAGTTGTGGTCTAGCAGAATAATGTTCAAAAAATTGTACATTAGCTTCAAAATTAAGCTCTTTGTGCATGGAATATCAGACATCAGGATCTTGTTTTAAGCATCATGAATCTGGGCCGACCGTATAGTTAGGTAAAATGAGGAAACTACATGAAGCAACATGTGTTGAGTGTAATATAAAAAAAGAGTAGCAAATATTTAATTAATTTTGCCAGGATTATATTTTCACTGCCCAGGAGTGAAAGAGATGCTTGAATATTCTCTGTCTTATTTATGAAAATAACTTGGCTGATTTTGAGTACTATGCATCTGGAACTTAGTTGAATTGGGTGGCTGTTGACATTTGGCATTCAACCTTAGGAATAGCCAGAGTTTGCATTCTCATCTCTTGACCTCTGCAAGAGAACTCTGTTAATTGTGTGCTTGATTAATATAATCCAAAGATTAATTTGCCAGACCTGCCTAATAATTCATGTCTTTGGTTAGTTCAACAGTTGAACAGGTTGCAGCATTTTTATTGCCAGATCTCCTGATAGAATGATTGCTTGTTACGCCCCCTTAAATACTAAAGAAAGGGCACAGTATGTGCCCTTCCAAATCTTTTAGTATGGTTTGATTCGATCTTGCCTCCCTTTTTGCATTATTGTGCCGTATGAGTATGTATTTCCAGAGATTAAGCTTATTAATAGATCTGTGCATATTTTCTAAGCTTTTTCATGCAGAGCAGAAGCTGCAAAGAATCCAACTCCAGCTCAAGGATATGCGTCATGCAGCAGTGGATTCAAAGCCAGAAAGTAAGTAGGAGTTTGAAAATGTTTCCCCCTCCTCTTCTACTGCCAAAACTCTCAGAAGGACATTTTTCAAAGCCAGAGAAAGATATAATTTATACCCCTTGAATTTAAATATTCATTTTAAAGGTCTGGCTTGATCAAAGCCTAGGTGCTGGATACTTTTTTGATGCAAAGACTCATAATATTCATGGCCAAAATTTTAATCTTTCATAATGTTATTTTTAACATTTTCTGGCTTGTTAAATTAAGTGTGGGCTACTGCATCTGTTGGATAGGGACCTTTCTTTATGGTTGTGTCACTTGCTAAGGGGAGATGTACACAGATGGCCCTTGAACAGTTAGAGAAACAACAACTGAATCCTTTTGGGCTAGTCATAGAAATGGAGGATGAGCGTATAACAAAGCAATGCCTGATGGAGCAATATAAGCGGGGAGGTTGAGCTCAATACTGGTTAGCTCTGCTCCACCAGTATGTTGATGGGTCAACAACAACAACAACCTTAATACAGTTGAACAAAAAGGCGATTAGAGACAAAATCTTTGAGATGGATACAATTGACAACTTGCGGACTAGTAAACAGCAGGGTTTCACCACTTGGTATCCTCTATTTAAGAATGACCAATATTGTCAACAATTATCTTCTGTAGTCCTTAGAAAAACATTTACAGTCTTGTGCTTTCAAACAATGTCATCATGCTGGCAAGAGGGAAGATATAGAGGGATCCCTCATGCCCAACGACTTTGTATTTGTCGGTCCGCGGAAAGAGAGGATATAATACACTATCTGTTACATTGCTCTTTGTATAATGACAGTTGAAACAATCTTCTGGGAGCCCTTTTGAAAGAAAGGGCAGCATGGCAACAGTCAGTAGTTATCTGTGACCTGTTAGCAGATCATTCCAAAAATATAACATTAAAGGTTGCCACATTTGTAGTTGCAGCCCAAAAAATCCGAGCTAGTAAAGTCCACAGCGGAGGCTAGAAATAAAAATGGAAATAGTTTGGGATGATACAAATCAGACATTTGTTATTGTTATCATGTCACTGCTATTATAATTTTAAAGCGCCAGTATATGGAATAAGTTTTAATATCTTTATTGGAAAGTGCTTATTGGACTTATTGTTTTGTACTTTTGATCTTCCTTCTTCATGTCCTTTTATGTTGCGACTTGTCTTTTAGATTGTGAGCAGGGATTTCTTGTTTCATGTACTCATTGATCCCATGTGTAAGTCACTCTGGGAGGTTTTTTTGTCTGGAGAATAGGGAAAAAGTGCTTAGAATAAATATATAGGACTTGAAGTACAGGCACCCTGACATGGGCCTGTTGGAGATGGGGAAGGATTCCCAGAGTGTATTAAATAGCATGTTTATTTTTAAAGCAGGTTGGTCCTATAACTGGAACTGCTAAGCTGTCTTGGACACAGGTATCTGATAATCAGTCTGCCTGAAAAAATATATATAGCAATCAGACTGTCTGCTTACCCTAATTCATGTTTGTTTGTTTTTCAACTGATGCCCCCGGTGGCGCAGTGGGTTCAACCCCTGTGCCGGCAGGACTGAAGACTGACAGGTCGCAGGTTCGAATCCGGGGAGAGCGCAGATGAGCTCCCTCTATCAGCTCCAGCTCCTCATGCGGGGACATGAGAGAAGCCTCCCACAATGGTGATAAAACATCAAAACATCCAGGCGACCCTTGGGCAACGTCCTTGCAGACGGCCAATTCTCTCACATCAGAAGCGACTTGCAGTTTCTCAAGTCACTCCTGACACGACAAAAAAAAACAAAAAACCTGGTGCTACTTATCAATTGATTCTATTCACTTTTACCCATCATTATGGGATTCTAATTTTTAATATGCAATATATGAGGCAAAGAGGAACTGAGTTTTGCTATTGGTTGACTACTCATGTTGGAAGGCTACGTAAATGTTACTGTCACTTTCATAATATTTTGATTATGCTGTAGAAAACAAGAAAGAGGTTTCTAGGAAGGAGCAGCATTGACTCTAGAACTTGGGCATTCTACTTGAATGTTTTAATATGTAATTAAAAATAAGAAGATCTTAAGGTCTGATAGGGAATGTTGGACTTCAAGTTTCCAAAAACTGTTTGGCACACTGCATTGTATTATTTTTAAAGTTAAGTAAACCATCCCTATTTCTATTTGAGTCTTGCTCATTAGAGCTGTTGATCAAATAACGTAGCATCCCAAGTAAGCTAAATAACAGTGGACTAGAATCCATCTAAAGTTAAGCACTTTGACATCTCATTTATTTCAATAAGGGGTGATGCAAGTAGGTGAATAAGTCTATACTAAATAACCACCGGCCTATTTCTGTTCTCCCCTTTCTGGAGCAGGTGGTGGCCACTCAACTCCAGGATTGTTGGATGAAACTGATTATCTGGATCCATCAGAATCTGCTTTTAGGCCTTGTCACAGAACAGAGACAGCTTTTGTTGCCTTGGTTGATGACCTTCACAGAGAACTAGACAGGGAGTGTGTCTCTGTTGGTTCTCCTGGACATCTCAGTGGCTTTCGATACCATCAACAATGGCATCCTTCTGGACTGGCTCTCTAGAATGGGTCTTGGGGGCACTGCATTGCAGTGGCCCTGCTCCTTCCTGAGGGATTGCACCCAGATGGTGATGCTGGGGGACACCTGCTTGGATCCCCAGCCTTTGAACTGTAGGGTCCCTCAAGGTTCCATTCTTTCCCCCATGCTTTTCAATATGTACATGAAATCACTAGGTGAGGTCATCTGGAATTTTGGAGTTGGGTGCCATCTTTGTGCAGACAACATACAACTCTACTACTCTTTTCCACCTCATTCCAAGGAAACTCCTCAGATTCTGGATCAGTGTCTGACTGCTGTGATGGACTGAATGAGGGCCAACAAACTGAGAATTCATCCACACAAGACAGAGGTCCTCCTGGTCAGTCATGAGGCCAATTGGGGTATAGTGTGGCAACCTGTGCTCGACAGGGTTATACTCCCCCTGAGGACACAGGTCCCCAGTCTGGGGGTCCTCCTGGACTCATCACTGATGCTTGAAGCGCAGGTGTCAGCAGTGGACAGGAGGGCCTTTGCACAGTTAAAGCTTGTGTGCCAGCTGCAACCATACCTCAAAAAGCCTGACTTGGCTACTGTGGTCCATGCCCTAGTTACATCTAGAATGAACTACAGTAATGCACTCTACATGGGGCTGCCTTTGAAGACAGTTCAGAAACTGAAGTTAGTGCAAAGGTCCACTACCAGATTACTAACTGGGGCTAGCTATAGGGAACATACAGTGACCCTACTAAAGCAGATCCACTGGCTTCTGACAAGTATCTGGGCTCAATTCAAGGTGCAGGTTATCACCTATAAAGCCCTTTATGCTTCAGGTTCAATCTATCTTCGAGACCACATCTCTTTCTATGAACCAGTGCGGGCTTTCGTTCCCACCACCATCTCAAGTGCAGTTGGTGGGAACGAGAGGGCCTTCCCTGTGGTGGCTCCCCGGCTCTGGAATACCTTCCCAAAAGAGATTACTTTAGCCCGTGCCCTTGAATCTTTCAAATCCAGCCTAAAAACATGGATTTTTAAGCAGAGTTTTGACCTCGAGTAGGTTAAAATGGGCCCATATGAGGTTGACACTCTGGTACTTTAGTTGTGAATTGATGGCAGCTAGTTTTATCTACAGTTGGTCTGCGTTTTAAAATTGTTCTATTTTATTTTATATTATATGTATTGATAGTGGTTGTTTTATAATTTCCATGTGATATTGTTTTATACTCATGTACCATTTATATGCTGCCCCTAGGAGTGCCTTTGTAAACTGTCCGAGTCCCCTTGGGGAGATGGTGGCGGGATATAAATGAAGTTTATTATTATTATTTGTGATGCTTAGGAGAGTTTCAGTTTGTCGTATTAGTGCTGATCATTTTTTCTTACAAATAATATTACACTGTGGAATGAATTTCTAATTTCCGCCATTTTGTTGTTTTGATAAGTCCTGGAATGAAAATTGCTTCTTTTGGAAAGTGGCCACCAAGAGTAGTGAAAACTCATAACTGATGCTCCACTCAAAAGATAGGCTTCGTTTTGATGCTGAGTCTTTTCTGCTGGCAAAAACACAAATAGCTGTTGCCTAGCCTTGTCAACAGAATGACTTAAATGTTTGGTCCTTCTCCACAGTACACAATTCTCTTTGTTGGCAACTATATCAGGATTGGGAGAGTTAGATTGAGAAATATTGACAGTGATAAGGAAGGAAAAAAGGATGACTGTATGTTTGCTTTTTCCTTACCAGCTGGTGGATGACAACCTGCCAGTACACAGATATTTTTCTGAGACTGCAAACAGGTATCCTGGCTTGTGCATTTGAAGTTAGTATAATCAGTGGGTGCCTGTTTCTTTGCCTCAGAAAAGGAGAGTTTCTGTTTGTGTGCAGTACAAAATCTGTGTAAAAAAGGTAGCATATTGTCTAATTTTTCCTGCTCTGTCCTATTCAGCATCTTGGACACCTGTAGCATCTCCTGATTTGTCAGAATCATACAAACTATTTTGTAACATCTCAGATGCTAGATGGTTTACTGGAGCACAAGCTTTCATCAAGAAGAATATCTTCCAAATGGGACAATTGACTTTTGCCTGCAGGAGCTCAAGGCAATCCTTATCGTTTTGAAGTAACAGGTCCTAAGGGTAGAATTGATGCTTCCTCCACAAATATATGTCCTCAGATGTACGTTTGCCCAAGTAATATGCAGGGTAGAGGTGTTTGTAGATGAGAACTGGCTCCTGGGATGTTTAACCATTCCTTACCCTGAGCATTCTCACACCTGATGTTCCCTAGGCTCATTTCTAATTTCAGATCAAGTATGGTAGAATCAGAATAAGTTTATAAAGCTGGGAAATAGGGAGAAGTATTGTTTGGTGTGGGTTAGTGGGGAGGAGAACCTATTTCCTTTTGCACGTTCATCCTCTTCTGCTCCATTAGCATTACAAGGCAAAACTTTTGCAAGTTCTGCCATGAAAATAATGTGATTTCACTGCATTTCACTCTTTCTAGATTGCACCTTTGAATCAGATTGTTCCAATAATCTCAGGAAAAGGCATGTGGGCACAATCTAAAGACATTGTAGAGGGCTCTAGCTCTCAGAAGAAAAGTGTCCTTGACTTAAGCCACACTGCAGGGAAATTTGTTTGGATGCAGGCATTTATCATCATAGGTTCTGGGAAAAGTAGTAAAATTTCTAGCATGGGCAAGTTCATTATTATAGTCTAGCAAAAAAAAAAAAAAAAAGGGGGGGTGCCTGGTTCCCACAAGCCTGAGCAAGCAAACCACTCTTCCTTAATCTTTCTTGCAACAATAAAAATAACTGAATGGAAAGCGTGATGAATAGCTATTAATAGCTTTTCACATATAAGTATGCTGTTGGTAAAATGGAACTTGAATAAGATTAAGGTCTGGAACCAAACAAACTGTGCGATGTAATATATATACAAAGGGATATATTTCTCTCTCTCTTTTTCTCTTTCTCTCTTTCTCTCTCTCTCTATATAAAAGGTTCTCAAGTGGGGTAATGGAAAGGCCTGAAGTGCTCTTTATTTCTTCGTCTCTAGCCTCAAAAATTGTGAAAGGCAGGATACTCTGAATAAGTACTTGAAACTGCAAAAAAGCTGAATAACTTATTTCCCCGTGTGAATAACTTCAGAGTTTGGGAACATATTACTGTTCCTGTGCAACTTCCAAAATTGGGCAACTGTCCTTATTTCTTTGTGCACATTTAATGAATAAGTTTTTGTGCTTTAACTTTTTTTTCTGGTAGTTACATCAGGTCTCAAAATTTGTTTCCTCAAAAAAATAAAACTTTCTTACACAATGTGTGCCACACTTGAATCACTAACCTTAACAAGTCACAATACAACTGAGTAGGAAACAAACCAGTTTGCTTTGAGAAATAGGAGAATTTATATGCAAATTCATTCTAAGACAGAAAGTCTTTCTAGGGAGCTTTCCATCCTCCTCCAGGCAGTGATAAAAATTATGTTTATGGGCCTTGTGTTTTTCACCCACGGTTGGACATAACTGCTACAAATACTGGCCACAATCCAATGATTCTGGAGTATATTTGTGAGATCTGTTGGACACACAACATTTACTGTATGTATAAGCTACCACACCTTGCGTCTAAACTCCCCATAGTGTTTATGAACCTTTTGCCTTCTAAAACTGTGGTGATAGTCTTTGCAACATCACAATCTCACAAGAACATACATCCTCTTTTAGAAAAGAAGGCTATTATAGCTCACCTTGTTGTATACTGCTAGATTGTGTGTTTATCCCCACAGTGTAAATTGCAACTCAGGAGACTCGCTTCCTATTAGCTGGCATGGAAATTAATGTAATTGACTGCTAAGTAGTTGGCTTAAATTAGTGTTATTACTGTATGAAACCAAATTACCCTCCTCATTGCTTTATTTAGTTATATGTTGCTAGTGATGGTGGATTGTTTTGTTTTCCTAGGCTTAATGAAGAGACTAGAAGAAGAGACAAAATTCAATACATACTTAGTTTCTGAAAAAATTCCAAGAGAACTGGAAGCAAAGAAGCAGTCACTATACCTCTTGCAAAAAGTGGTTGCCGAGCCAGCGATGGGCCAGTCTGATCTCGGTGAACTTGAAACCAAGGTATGCTGCTGGTGGGGAGTTTCCATTCTCATGTTTATTCATTGAAAAAACATGTCACTAGCAACAGATCGAGAACAAATAATGTATCTCACATTAGATAACCACTGATTCTGTTTCAAACCTCATTCTTTCTGGACATTCAGTTGTTGTGTCAAGTACTTTACAAATAGGACTATTTATACAGGGCCTTGTTTGTACTTGCTATGCTATGGGCAAAAATGGTGGTTTGCATCCCGTTGATAATAGAAAATGTTGCTTTTGTTTGCACTGCAATGAATTATTGGGAGCTATCATGACATGTCTGCAGCAGCTGGGAAAAGAGTAATATGCATATATTAGCTCACATTACTGTTTTCTGGGGGGCAAGCATCTTAGTTCGCTGCAGCAAAACCAACAAATTGTCTGGTGGAACTGTGAAAATGAAAACATTCTATATGCCATAAGCTTTTGAGGCCTGCAGTCCACTTCATCAGCTGTATAGCTTTTTGTCTCACTTAGGACATTGTTATGCATATGCTTGGATGGGATGGTAAATCGAGGAATGTTTTCGGCAGAGTGAGAGTGTAATGAAATGCAGAATGTACAAACATATATAGAAAAGAAGAAAAATAAGATGAAAAAATGATAGAACACAAGTAAACCACAACACATCCTTTCATGTCTGTCGTTTTTAGTGCATTTGAAAACTCTAAAAATATTTTTGAAAGGAATGAAAAAGGTACAAAGGGTGATTATTACTGTAACATTGGTTGCCAACACAGGCATACTTGAACTGGTGAGCTGATTAACACTTGTATTGGGATAAAATGCCTGTCTCTCTATTCAAGCTTCAGGAGATAGAGCTGAGCTTTTCTGTTCTCTGTTCTGCTTTTTCCCACTGGAATCTCTTTTCTAATTTATTGGTATTTATAACAAAATGTGGCATTATGATTCCATATTCCACATGAGTGTATTCTGTTTTTGGAGCAAGCTGGTTGTAATTAAACTTTACTTTAAAATATATGTTGACAGGTTTGATATGCATTCAACTAGCCTGTAGTCATATTTTTGAATCCCTGACTTTTAAAATAGGCTTCCTGTCACTGTTTTAACTGACTTTAAAATCATAAGAAAATTAATTTTAACTTCATCTTTTCTGAAAACCTCCAAGGTACTCAGTAAATATCTCTGCAAAGACATTACTCAAAGCTTATTAAAGAACTAATATTACTCATTTGGATTGTGCATTTGAAAAAAAAAAGTGCATTTCTTCACAATCCTGTATTGGTTTAGAGTTCTTGTGGGACTCGTAGTCAAGAGTAGAATTAGATCTCAGACTCTCAGGTAATTTTGCAATAATGACTGTTCCATTTGCGTGAAATCATGCACAAATGTTAGATTTTCCCAACATAGTAGTGCTGTGCCTCATTGAACAGTAAAAGTTAAGATAACTCACCACCTTTATTGCATTTGAAATCTTGAAAACTAGAACCTGAGTCACCAACGGCTTTGATTGCACTGCCATCTTTTCATTGTCATGGGAATGGATAATGCAGACTATAAGATTTGCACATCACTGGTCTTGTGTAGGCTCCAGATCTGCTTTGACATTTATCAGACATATGGGGAAGTAGCTAAGAAACATCTTGTATTTCAACAGTGAAATTAGCTTAGGGGGTTATATGTTTTTATATCCTTTTCTGTTGGAATTGCTGGGTTTGTTTGTCACATATAGCTGTGAAACACCATTGTGGTAGAAGAGCACAGCTGCTGTCTGTCTGTTTTGGGATAAAGTTGGGACATATATGCAATAAATAAACTCACCCTCCTTCTCTTTTGCCCAGCCAAAGCTTGGGAAACATCAGAATGGCGCAGTCTAGTATTAGGATTGTGCTGTTATTGTAGTTCTATTGTTACCATTCTTGTTGGCCTCCTTGGATCCCCCATGTACAAATTAGGGACATAAATTGACATTATAAAAACATGAAATGAAAAGAGACCAGTTAGATTAACCTGGGGGTACATTCAGTCCAACACCCTCTTTCCCCCAATGGCCAACCAGGTGCTTTGGGAAGTCCTGAATCAGGACATAAGTCCCTGGCACAGGGAGAGCATCATGTGACTCAAAAGTCACTGATCTCCTGTCAGACTTTGATTTAATACATACTGTTGTTGTGCAGTGGCACTTGAGCGACTCATTTGCAACAGAATGGCCTCTGCATCATCAGAATCTCCTGAAATAGATGCTGAGGGTTATCCCAGGATAACTCTGAACTTCCTGGTGGCTATCCTAGGGTCCCCATTTTGTATATATGAGCAAGAGCTGCAAATGAACTTTTGACATTTTGTCCTCGTTCACATAACATGGAAAAGGTACTTATCTATTGCATACTGATGGGAGATTTTTAAAAGTAGAAAATTAACTCTATTTTCCTTCCAAACATGAAATATTTGGATGCATTTGTTTGAGAAGGGGAAATAAGAAAGTTGTAAAGATCTTAGTACCTATCTTTCTTGTCCAAAGCTGTGGGCTGTTGGAATAAGAAAATTCATTTCCAAGGTCTGGGCCACAAATGATGCCAGGGGCATTCTTCCAATGTTCAAACTGGCCATTGAGAGATTCTAGTACTCAAATGTATATTTTTCATGTTCTAGTTCAGCGGGTATGCAATGGTAGGAAGGTCAGTCCCAGATGTTTTAGTTACAGATAGTTAGCCTTCCTTTTCATCTGTATCTTCTTACCAGATTACGCCTGAGTAAGTAGGTATTAGTTAGATGTGTCTAGGTTAGTGACTAAGGAAAGCTTCAGAAAAAGAAAAATCTTTGCAGAACAACATCCTATTTGTACTTTGGCTTTATTTTGGTCATTGATGTTGTACTTAAACTCTGAGTGAAAAGACTGAAAAATTGTATCGAAATAAACAAAAGGTAGCTGATACTGACTTATTTTACATTTTACTTTGGGGAGAGTTGTTCAAAATTTTTGAACAACTGGGCTTTTCTTTGGTGATGTACCATTGTTTCATTTAAATCCCTCATTACATTTTGAACCCATTTGTGGAAGTTGCTTTGGAACTAAAACAGAACACTTTTTTCTACAGTGCAGTAGAATTATTTCCTTTCATGTTAGCTGTGAAAACCCTTCTCAAACATTTTAATTTCTTATTCCAGATAAATGAGATCAATGTACAAATCAACCAGTTAATTGAAAAAAGGATGATGAAATATGAACCAATTGATAGTAAATTTTCAATGTACCGTCAACAGGTAAGTATAAATTCCTAGCAAAGCAACATGTGAGGAAATGTAATGGAGTGCAGTAAAATCCTTGTGAGCATTTGAATTCTGCTTGGATCTTGATATATTTGCACAGATTTGATGATGAATACATTTATATAATATACTTTTACAAGGGTTCGAAAATCAGTAGTCAGAGTGTTTAGTTAGATAGATTATGCTTTTGGGTGGTAAATGCAACCTGAAGCCTCTTGTTTTTGTGAGCGATATGTGACAAGGTTAAGAATGCTACATAATGTGCTGGTACAAGAGACCAGCTGGCTGTTAATATAAAGTGCTGACGTCCCTTGGGTGAGTGATTCCAGGAATTCAGAGCTCTTCTCTTCGTTCAAAAACATATGGCAGTCTCTGCACAGCTCCACAGGATGCTTTTGTCAGCTTTACAAGAGCACCCCATGTGTTTTTAACACAATTTGTCACTGCCGGCCCAGTCTGGAGAAGCACAAGGTTGGATAACACGCAGGCTGAATCATCTTTGAGAGAATGCAGGAAGCTTTTTTTAGTCTAGAGCGTGGAGACTATTCCCAAAGCTACTTACACGATTGTATGACCCATGTTTTAAGAAGTAAGAACAGTGGGGTTGTATTTAATTCTAGGAAACTTGTAACTTAATATGAAACTGTGTGTCTGACATGGAGTGTTCTATTCTTGATACAGAGCTATGCTTCTAATAATGTTTGTTCTTGTATTAGATAACACGCAACACTGAATAGACTATGTGAGAGATAATACGAAAAGCACCGTCTGGTGTGTTTGTGCGTGTTTTAATTTTATCCTGAAGAGACGGATGAAATAAAATTATCTCTGAACTGCTATCTTTCCTTGTATCATCTGCCGCCACTGAAATCAGATTCTGTATTTCCACTGTCTGCACCATGACTTCATATAGGCTTATTGTGTGATAGATGAAGAGCATGGTTCAGTAACAGAGAGCATGGTTTGCAGGCACAAGGTCTAAGGCTCAAGTCCTGGCATCTCCCAACTGAATTACTGTCAGCTGCCTTGAGCAATGGCAGAAAGGCAGGATTAAATATTTTAAACAGACTTGGGTAATGGTTATACAAGACTTGGAAAATTGTTGGCCATCAAAAAGCTAATGTATTGTATCTTGCTGAACTGAAGACATCAGTGTCTGGGAAAATATGGAGACTATAAGCCAACATGTCTTGGGGGCTGCAATATTGTTCTTGCAGTCTTCAACTCCCAGCCATGTTCTGACTTGAGATGGGTTGTGCCTCCAGTGAAGAACATGGATATTATAGTTCCTCCAGTACAAACGTAGGATCTTGGTCTCAAAATTTCTAAAAAAAACCTGTCCAATCTGAAAGGTTTAGAGGAATATGCATCTTTTTCCTGATAATTTGTACTTTTGATTGCTATACTTCAATGATCTGTCATTCTTTTTCAAGTTTTCTTGTTCCATACCATGTATTTATTTGTTGCCACTGTCCAGTGCCTCTGAGGCTTCCGTTCTTTCCATTACTTTTCCCTTTTTAAATTCTTGAAATGTAAGGATGCTTTCATGAACAGTGACCTGATTAACCCTCTTATTATGCCCTCAACAGGCTTCCATCATTTCCCGGAAGAAAACTGCTAAGGCAGAAGAACTTCAGGCTGCCAAGGAAGATCTGTCCAACCTAGAGAAGCAAATGTTGCAAAAGTCAAGCCAAGCCCGTGACCTGAATGGTACAGAAGTCTTAAAGGGTGATGAGGTAAGTACGAAGCCAGGGTTGGACAAAGTTTTTAAAAAAGTGAATGGGCCTCAGATTGCCTTATACTTACACACCCTCCCTCAGCTGTGATTGGGAATCAGGACAGTTCTTACCATAGGTATTTGGGCGCTGTTTTGATGTTAAATTATTGTTTTATATGCTATTGGTTTTATCTTTTATTGTATTGTGTTTTTATTTTATGTGTTGTTTTAGGCACATTGTACTGTATGTAAGCCGCCCCGAGTCCCTTCAAGGAGATGGAGGCAGGGTACAAAAATAAAATTGTTGTTGTTGTTATTTGAAATACAACAAGATTAATACACAGCAAACAAGTGTCTAGGACTATGTGATGTATCGGCAAATAATGCGTGCAGATCCCAGTAAAGTAGCCTTTTGCAGCTGACAGATGGTAATTTTGTCAGCGCTGATTGTGTTTAAATGCAGGCCAAGATCTTTAGGCACTGCACCCAGTGTGCCAATCACCACTGGGACCACCTTTACTGGCTTGTGCTAGAGTTTTCAGTTCGATCTTTAAATCCTCATATCGTGTCAGCTTTTCCTGTTGTTTCTCTTCAATCCTGCTGTCGCCTGGGATCGCAACATTGACGATCCATACTTGGTTTTTTAACACGATCGTGAGGTCAGGATTATTGTGCTCCAAAACTCTGTCAGCCTGAATTCAGAAGTCCCGGAGTAGCTTGACATGTTCATTTTCTATAACTTTATCAGGCTTGTGATCCCACAAGCTTTTTCAGGCTGTGACAAAGATCAGGCTTGTGATCTTTGTCACAGGCAGATGGTATTTGTGGCACATGTTCCAATGAATCATCTGAGCAACGGTGTTGTGCCTCTGCATGTAGTCTGTCTGTGCGATCTTCTTGCAGCAACTGATGATGTGATCTATTGTTTCATCTGCTTCCTTGCAGAGTCTACACTTGGGATCTGTCATCGACTTTTGAATTTTGGCTTTGATGGCCATTATTACTATTATTATTGTTATTAGGATATGGGCAGCCAGTACAGGTGAATAGACTATCCTGGGAAAACCTTTTCTTTTTAACAGTGGTTTTGATGTTGCTTGGGAGGCTGATGATCAAGAATCACAAGGCCAAAGCCCACTTCTGCTTTCAGGTTTGCATAATTTTGCATATTGACTATATATTTTACCATGGACCCAGATAACACCCCAAAACAATTATTTAGCACATAACCAAATTGACTATGTCACTTTTCCATTGCAAGATTACTCAAATTGGTTCTTTTAAAAAACCAGAGTTTTTTGGCCACCTCTCAGAGCAGAATCTTCAGCCTGTATTTTACATTCAATCCTTGGGAGAAAATGCAAGATGCAACTCACTGGTAGTGAATCAAGACAACCATATTCTCTATGAGCAGAAGAGAAGTTGTCCATCAATGAATTAACTCCTTCTTTTGCCCAGGCTTGTCAGAGGACCCTGTGATTGAAACCTTTTAAAAATTATATCCCTGCCATGTGTTTCTGTGGCCCAATCTGTGTATATGTGCTTTGTGTGTGTGTGTGTGTGTATATATATGTGTGTGTGTGTGTGTGTGTGTATGTGTGTGTGTGTGTATATATATATATTTGTATATGTGTATATATGTGGTTTTGCGCCTGTGCTGTACTGTATTTTTATTTTTGGCTTTTTAAGTCCCTTCTGCTGTGTTTTTCAGTGTTTTTATAAGTGATGGTCACTCATTGGCCTGATAGGTGTATTGTGTCCAAATTTGGTGTCGATTTGTCCGGTAGTTTTTGAGTTATGTTCATCCCACAAATGAACATTACATTTTTATTTATATAGATTGTATTTCCTCTTGTACTAAAAATCCTCTTTATGTCTCTTCAGAGCCTTTTAAATCCTCAATTTCTTGATGCCTTCAGAATTCTTTGTTTCCCCTACTTTAATCTATCTCAGCTCCTCTAGGTTCAGGTCGAGGAAGACTTGAAGTAAGACCTATACATCAGATCAAGGCCATAAATTACCCAGCAGGGATGACTGTATCACAGAGAATGTTAGTGTTCTCTTATCGTCCTCTTGTTTTCCTGTGGCAACTGTAAGGAGGTGCTCCCAAAGGCAATTCCTGATTCTTCTGCTTTAGCTGACTCTCCAGAACTGCCAGGCACATCCTAAGCTGTGGACTGAAGAGTTTGAGCTTCAGTTCTTTTTTCCCCTCAAAGTGACCAAGATCATTCAGGCAGTCAGCCAGATTGAAGAAGAGGTTGGCAACTCTGTGCTGTTAACCCATTTGAGGATGTCCCTTCTCTGCAGGCAAACATGGATTTTTACTAGAAATGCCAATGTACCATTCCCCCCCCCCCCATTTCTGTTTATGCAGCTGCACATAGATCTGAGACCTATGAACTCAGATGGAAGTAGCTACAATCTTTTATAAAACTTAATGGCACAGAGAATTGCCTGCTAGAGATGGTGGGGGAAGAAGAGACGATGGGATAAATGGGTAACGAAAAAGTTGATATTGAGAGATCAACAGCTAAAGGAAGAAGACGTAGCAGAAGTCTGGGGCTCTTCCTGAATGTGAGGAACTTCAGATTAGAGTTCTGTCCCTCCCGGCTGTATTCTCATCTCTGTTTGAAGTCAAGGGCACAGTTTCCCATACTAAATATGGCTTTAGCAGTCACTCTTTGCAACATAAGACAACTAGATGACAAACTCTTGAGATTAGACTAAAGGAAAATTACATTCTGAGACAAAGCTCTCATAAAAGCATTCGTCCTTAATGCTCTTAGCCTTATTTCCTATTAATATGTCAACCCTTTGTTTTTCCTCTACTTCGTAGTATACTAGTTTCACATTCATACTGGGCTTTTTATTTTGGTGGGATTTGAAAGCAGAACACTGTAGCTCATAGCATTCCAGCTGTGGAGAAAGCAGTGACAAATTTCCTAGCAGCCAAGTGTTGCAAGAGCGCAAGCAACCTGCTAACACTTTGTCTTATCTCTTGGGTGTTCACTGTATTGTAAAGTACATAAAAACGTTCCACGTTGTCAGTGCACCTGATGACAGGAACAATTTGTTGAGTAGCTGAGCTACTGAGAGTAATAACAGCACCGGAACAGGAAATTGGGGTAGAAAGATGTTGAGTTTATGGCTCCCTTGGAATGTAGATCAGGGATGAACACAAAGAGTGGTTGTGTGTGTATGAATAATGTTAACTTAGGTAAGGAGAAACTTCATGGCATATACATAAGATTAGACGTAGGAGTCTCCTAACATCAGACCAAACGAATATTTATAACACCATTCCTTCCTCCCAAGTGTTGTTCCCTTTCATCTGGAAAAGAGATTGTACCTGATAGAGAAGCACAATTTCTGGCTCCTCATCACTTCTTGACTTCTCAGTGAACTTATTATTTTAAAGCCATCTACATTGCTGTCTGTCCTCATCTCTTGTAGCAAAAAAATTCCATACATTAAGTACATGTTTTGAGAATATTCTTTTTTTCAGTCTGTCCTGAAGCATTTACAGATCAGTTCTGTAGTATGACCATGAGACAGGGAAGAAAACATCTGCGTACGATATGTAGAATGTTATATAGTTATCATATTTGCCTGTTCCCTTACTGAGTTAGGGTCCCGTCCCCCCCTTTTATGTTTTATTTATTTTTTGGTGTCAGGAGTGACACCAAAAAAACTCCAAGTTGCTTCTGGTATGAGAGAATTGGCCGTCTGCAAGGATGTTGCCCAGGGGACGCCCGGATGTTTTGATGTCCTTGTGGGGGGCTTCTCTCATGTCCCTGCATGGGGAGCCGGAGTTGACAGAGGGAGATCATCCGCACTCTCCCCGGATTTGAACCTGCGACCTGTCGGTCTTCAGTCCTGCTGGCACAAGGGTTTAACCCATTGTGCCACCAGGGGCTCCTTCCCCTAAAATGAAAACAGTACTATAACAAACTGAGGAAATCTAGGAGTTGTAGTCTTAAAAAGTACATTTTTTCAAGTTCTTTGTTTGAAGTAACCTAGGACTTGCCATCTGGCTGAGCTTCTTCCCTGAGCTATCTCACTGGTGACTGCAGAAGGCAGTTTGTGCTGGACTTAATACTTTCCGTTTGAGAAGTTGCAGTTCCTGGATCCTCATGTCCTCAAATATGTGTGTGGGAGATTTGTTTGAGAGATAGCTCTTACACCCTTTTTCCTGTCTAGTATTTTGTAGACAGATTGGTATATCTCTTTAAGACTTTGGACATGGTGCTGTAGAACCCTAATGGTTTCTTGTGTGATCCAGGTTGTTGCGTTCCCCCTGCCCTGCATTGTTGTATATCCCCTTATGGTCTGTTCCTCGCTGACTTTGGCATGACAATGAATTAATGCTTTCTCCGCCTGGCCTTTCACATACCAGCAATTGTATCCTCAGCTGAGGTCTTAGCACTTCATCCACGGAAAGGTCAGCCCCTGGCTTATGTTTTTACTAGCCAGCATGTTGCTTTATCTTCTAACGATGCCGAGGAGCACACAGCTTTCCAATCCTACTGAAGGCCAGCGCTTGGGCAGATGGCTGGGACTGACAAGCCCAAGCGAGGGTACAGCTGGAGAGATTTGGGTAGGAACTGTGACAAAATGTGGGGGCAGTGGGGAGCAAAGTCTGGTCTGTTGCAAAGATAGCGACGTCTGAAAAGAACTTTAGAGCAAAGTGCTGAGAACAAAACACAGACAAGGCTGGCAACCGTTTTCCTGCAGCTGTCAGATCCTGAAAATTAGAGAATTGCATTCCAGTGCTTAGAAAGGGTAGGTGGTTCAATTACAAGTGATCCTAGGTAAACCAGAGCTATTTTTAGCTCCCTTTCACAGCACATTGTTCTCTTCAAAGTGGAACATAGGTTCTGGGGAGCCTAGATTTTTTCCCTCCTCACCAGCCTGCTGGGACTGAAAAACAAATCAAAGCGCTGTTTATCTCAGAGAAAATATGGTAGGGTTGTTTTTTTTTTTTTGTTTTCTTTCCATTTTAAAGTTTGTTATTTAGCT